GGGCAAACCTCAGAAAAACAAAATATCATGATAATGTCTTACAGTATCGTGATGGCATATTTCTGCCACATTGCCAAGCCCTTCCTAAAAGCACACGTTAAAAATACACATACATGTATATTTCAGAAAACTCAAGATACACAGACAAACTACATACATACAAACATACACAGCACAACTTCTGGATTTAGGTAAGTCCATTCCATGGAACTAGCTGTGCTCCAGGGCTATAAAACGCTATGAAGCCTGTAAAAGTCATTTCATGTGTAAGTTAGGTAACTACGACCCAAACACACTGGCAGCCTTCATGTCTCATCGCCGCTGCTTAAAGTGAGCTCTCAGGCTAGGTAGTAACTTCCCGCTGGACTCCTAACGTTAACCCCGCTGCCTCTTCCCGCATGTGGCCGCCCCAGCGGTCCACTCACGGCCGTGTGCGCACAAATCAGAGCCGTGTCCGCGGCTCCGCGGCTAAGCTACAACAAAATACCACTTAAGTTAACGGCACGGGCTCCTGGGTCGAGCTGTCCCGCTTACGGACAGAAGGCCACAGTAGTTTTGGACTTTCCAGCTCCAACGGGCCGTTCAGATCAGCTCACTGTAAAAAGTGTGCAGGGCTTTTGAGCGAAGCGAGAAAAAACTTGAGTGATACCTTACAATATCTTCTCCATCTCCGCAACTCAGTTACAAACTCGTTTGTCTCCTAAACTTTAACTCCAGCGCTCACATTACCGACCACGCTAGAAGGATTACAAACAATGCCAACCATTCCTGAGATTTTTGTTCGCCAAACAGCCTCGCTTGTCAGTAGCGCTGGTAGTTAGCTAATTAGCTTAGCATGCTGGCTAGCCCTCCGTAGCCAGAGACTTCGGTCGAAGCTAACTAGCGAGCTAGCCATAAGTTGACAACACAACCAGACGCCTAACAAAGTTCACTTTTACCCACAGAAAACTGTCCGTACCTGCGCAAAAGTAACACTGGAGTCTGTTTCATTTAGTTACACGCCGACTTTGAGAATCTGACAGTAGTTGAATGTTTACAAACTCACCTCGGCGCCCCTCTCTCACCCTCACCCTCTCTCTCTCTCTCTCTCGCTCTCTCTCTCTCTCTCTCACTCACTCTCTCTCTCTCTCTCTTCTCGCCAGGAATCTGACACTCCCCTCCCCGCTGAAATATCGCGAGATGAAACGGCAGGCTGCACAGTCACAGTCCACCTTATGGCATCTGAAAGAGATCATAATGTGTGCCATCTGAAAGAGATCATAATGTGTGCGTATATGTTTATATACACATACACTCACGTCTATCTACAATTAATAATGAACATCCATCCATCATCTAAACCGCTTATCCTCCCGGGTCGCGGTGGGGTCCCAGCTGTCATCGGGCGGAAGGCAGGATACACCCTGGACAGGTCGCCAGTCCATCGCAGGGCACACCTAGGGGCAATTTAGCATGTCCAATTGGCCTGACTGCATGGTTTTGGATTGTGGGAGGAAACCGGAGTACCCGGAGGAAACCCACGCAGACACGGGGAGAACATGCAAACTCCACACAGAAACGACCCTGGTTACCCGGCCGGGAATCGAACCCAGGCCCTTCTTGCTGTGAGGCGACAGCGCTACCCACTGCGCCACCGTGCCGCCCTATGTATTAATTTGTTTGTTTAGTTACTTTTTAATTACACAACACTGTGTGTTATTATTATTGAGGAGTATTAGTGAGGTCGGGGACTGATGTTGGATGATTAGCTCTGGCACTCCAACTCATCCCAAAGGTATTGGCTACATCACTCCACAGAACGCAGATCCACTGTTCCACAGCCTGAAGCTGGGGGCTTTATACCCCTCTAGCAAACGCTTTGGCAGTGGACATGGTGACCTTAGAGTCATGTACAGGAGCCTCCAGTTCTATTGGTCAGTGCTTTCAATGGAGATTATACAAGCTGTGTGTTGAAGGCCTGTGTCAGCAGTGGGTGCACCTTAAAGTATACAATATATGTAATTATGTGGACGCCTGACCATCACACCCGTATGAGCCTGTTGGACATTTAATTCCAAAACCATGGGCATTAATATGGAGTTGTCCCTCTTTGCGGCTATAACAGCTTCCACTCTTCTGGAAAGGCTTTCCACAAGATTTTGGAGTGTGTCTGTCGGAGTTTGCAGCCATTCTGTCAAAAAAGAATATGTGAGGTCAGGAGCTGATGTTGGATAAGAAGGTCTGGCTAGAGAGCAACGTGTCTGTCATCCCAAGGTGTTCAGTGGGGTTGAGGTCAGGGGTCTGTGTAGGCCACTGGAGTTCCTCCACACCAAACTCATCAAACCATGTCTTTATGGGCAGTCATGCTGGAACAGAAAAGAGCCTTCCCCAAACTGTTGCCATATGGCAATTATATGGAAGCATGTAATTGTCTAAAATGTCTTAACATTACCTTTTACTGGAAATAAGAAGCCCAAACCCTGAAAAACAGCCCCAGACTATTATCCTACACCCAGACTGTCAGATAGTGAAGCATGGTTTGTCAATTAGTCACTCCAGAGAACATGTTTCCAGTGGCAGCATGCTATGCACCACACCAGCCAACACTTGGCATCACACATTATGATCTTAGGCTTGTGTGCAGCTGCTCTGCCATGGAAACCCATTTCATTAAACTCCTGATGTTGCTTCCATAGTTTGGAACTCTGTAGTGAGAGATGCACTAAAGCTCTGTGAGTTTGTGTGGTTTACTGCTTCATGGCTGAGCTCTTATTGCTCCTAGATGTTTCAATTTCACAATAATAGCACTTATAATTGACCACAGCAGACATAGCAGGGCAGAAATTTCACAAACTGACTTGTGGCAAAGGTGGTACAACCCATTCTACTGACAATGCTTGTTTAAGGAGATTGCATGGCTATGTGCTTGATTTTACATACCTGTTAAAAATGAGTGTGACAAACACCTAAACTCAATAAAATGAAGAGCATTATCCCAATACAGTGAGTTACCCAGCCCCAGCCCTATAGCCCACCTGCACAATAAATTTTTTTTGTGCTTTCAGCTCTGACACATCTGATTCTGTTTAAGAAGGACTTGATTGTTAGCTAGCCCTGTGATGGACTGGCAACCTGTTCAGGGTGTGTCCTGCCTTCCACCCAATGACAGCTGGGATAGGCTCCAGCATCCCCCTGCGAATTGGATAACCAATTTAGAAAATGTGTGTGTATGTGATTGTTAGCTAATGATGGGACTACGTGCACAGAGAACATGCAGTTGGACTGGGAGGCACAGATTAAATAAGAAATGTTCTGTAGACTATCCATGTAAACAACATGCAAGAATTTCTGTGGCTCATCTGATGTGGGTGAAAATGAACACAGATTGCGCAACATAGCAATGTCTGTTCGCACCTCCAGCCATCTCCAATTGATGATATTATCATGGGGTGGTGGACGAAGGTAGGCAGGTCGCTTTCTCATAACACCAGCACGCCGCCTGAGTGTGTTTTAGGTTTGCACAGAAAAAGGAGCTGTGAATATGGACTGCAGGCTGCTTCTTATGCAGACAGACTGAAGACAGACACGTTTCAGCACAGCAGGTTATGTGGTAACACTGCACAGAGGCCCAATTAAACTGGTATCTCTTGCTATGGTTTGGTTGTTTTTTCTACAGGGTGATAAATCATGTGTTTACAGCCTTTACATTTCTTCTTGTTAAAATAATAAAATCCCCATAAAGACTACTATTATTGTAACTGCCTAGTCTTCTTAGTTCTTAGTAACTGAGGTAATCACAATGTAAAAATCTTTTAAGCTCCCATTCATGTGAGAAAAGGCTTTCCATGTGTGAAACATGCATAATCACACCTAAGAAAAAAAAAATATGCACCACAAACAGGCATATTTCATTTTTACATGACCATTTTCCAAACAGTGTTTATCCTAAAGATTTAAACAGACAGTTCTGTTTAGGAATGACATGTAAACAAGCTCTGTTCTGATTGGCTGTCCTGTGATGTGCCTCATTCAAAAAGCATTCCAGGCTGAAACTGCTTTTAATATCAACATCCAGGGCTTTACTGCTGAACAGGCTGAATAGGTGGATATATGGAAATGCACTTGGTTTTCTTTCATGACATCACAAAAAAGTTGATATCCAAACAAACTGTTTGTGCAGGTCAGTTTCTCTATGAGGACTGTATGGACTGGGGAGTGAGCGGCAAGTTTTGAAACTTTAAGTGTTACATACTACATCAAACTGTTATTTATCTCAAACAAGCAAGGAAATGTTGTTTTTTACATTATATGGCCGCAGATGGTATGTTGTTGGACATTTGAATGGTCAAACTAGATTGGCAATCATGATAGATGAAAACTATGACCTGAAGCCTACATTCCAGGAAACAAAATAACATGTAACCTCTACCCCAAATTAAAAAATGGACTGTAAATACTTTTTTTTGTGAATAGGTGCTTCAATGTATTAATGTACAAAAGTGGTGCACTGCAAATCTGATATATGCCAATTACTGCATTTTTATGGCCCTACCATTTTAGGTGAATAAGTATTAGACTGTATTTAATGAAAACACCACCTTTCTTCCATTCATCAGTACTAGGCCTCGGTGATCTATAACAACAAATTAAAGAGCACCCCATTTATCAGCCTCCTTCGAAACGCATCGCCACCACTGACGTCAAGTTTTCAGCTCATTGTCTCTGTTCTCTGAAACTGTTTTCCCATCGTGAACCTAAGAAGGAAGCAATGGCTTTAAATATTTATCTATCCCCAACCATAATGTCTTGCATAATTGCTGAATTTGTTCCAAGCTCTTGCATGTGGGCACCATTTTGGACAGAATGAGAGTTTCCAGCTGTCAGCTAAGTCACTGACAGTAAAAAAATCAATATTAGTTTTCTCACAATGCAGCATGAGATTACATCTATTTGTTACCTAATACAACAGAGGTGTGTTCATGGTGATGATAACAAAATGGAGGTGTGGAGAACACAGGAAGTTAATTGAGAGAGGGCCCTTTATTTCGTCCTAGTGTTGTTTCCTTCCTGAGCAATTTTTCGTTCTCTTTAAAAAGGACGTCCTGTACTTAGTCAAGTGGCTAAAATAGAATGATAAAAAAAACCTCTAGCCCTACTGAACGTGTCTTTCAAATCTATGATAGCACATCCTTCTATATACATCCAGATGTGTGGTTTAAATGTGGGAAAAACAATTGAAACACATTTGGAAAAATAAAATACACACAAAAGCATCTACAAATCAGCTACATTCTCTACTTGCAAGGCAATTGTACCTTCTTGACTTTTGGCTTAAGTTATCAGGCTACCTAAAAAAATTCTGCTTTCATTTTAAAACTGATGCTAAATCATCTACTGATCTTGTTTCCACCATTTGGGGGTCTAATTAAAGCCCTAAAAATAAAAACCCTACAGAAGCACTATGTATGCTTGATAAATAAGTCATCGCATGCTGGAATCCCGCAGGCCTCTTGGTGAGAAAGATATCTTATGGTCTAGAGCCCCCTACTGGTGCACAGCTGAACATAAACCAAACACTAAAGGTTAATTAGTCCGATTTTTCAACATTTCTGCATAATTAAATTATTAAGATGTAAACAAAGCCATTCAGAGTGGTATGAGGTGAAATGCACTGTTGTAAAAAACCTCACCAAGTCAGCACTTTTCACAGTGGTGGTGACTAGAACCAGACATCCAAAATGCTCAATGGGTCTAGTTTTGTCACAGAAAGTTCCTAGATGAAACTGTTATAAATATGCTGCTAGATGCCTGAGACATTGTTTTGTGATAAGGTTTTCACCTAATTTTGAATCCATTCATGGCAGAGAGGTAGAAAGAGATGGCAGAGAGGGACATCGTAAGTACCCAAAAAGTAGCCAAACAAAACCAATTTTCTTAGATGCAAAACATGTAAAAACTCATATGCAGGTTCACCAATTGTTTTGGATAGCAATAAAATGGCTATATTTGTGATTCTGATGTGTCAATCCATCAGCGGCATTGCAAAGAAATCTACGCCAATACATTTCTCTAGAATGGTGCATTTCAAACCACTGTAAATGATGTTGTTTACACAAAAAATGACTGAAGTATGAAAGCATAAAAAACTGGTGGAATTCCTCTTTACATCTGCAGTTTACCTACTGTTTGCCACCAGCTATGAACTCAACCTCCACACAAAAAGGGGAAAAAAACCTTGTGTGATGCAGAAAGGCCTTTACTTGTTGAAATTTGAGGGTGGGGGGGTGCACAGTGGCTGCACAGAAAACTCTTACTCTCCAGCTTTAAGCATCACATTTACTCATTTCTAAACAGGCTGTATCACTGTACAAACATAGACTACAGTGATAAGAGGAAGAAAAAAAGCCACTTAGGTTTCACTCAAGACTCAGAAGTTAAGCTGGGTACAAGCTCATTAAATTCCTTGTTTTAAGATATCCTAGTCAAGGACAGTCAAAACTTGGAATGATCATGCTGTGTTAAATCAGATTAATCATTAACATCATCGGTTCCAAAAACCTGAAGGATTTGCAACCTCTCAAAAAAATAAAACTGAAAATGCCCATCAAAACCTTTTCCTTTTCAGACTCGAAACATCACATGAACCTGTACCCCCAGCACCAAATAAAAGATGTACAATACAATCTCTACTGCTAAAATGGTCTAATATGAACACAAATAATTATTCAAGCATTATTTTTCTTTTAAAAGTCTTGCAGAGACAATGGCCAAAGGAACGGTCAACTAAAAGTCTCAAATAATCAAACCTCTGTACTGAGCGGAACAAAGATGTTTATGAACAGTTCCAGGAACAGCTGATAAGGTAAACTTCACAACAAATTAAGAAATTCTTATATTGTAAGTATATACAACATTTTTTTGAGAGAATTTAGTGTTAGTTTTGTAATATTCTGAAAGTATCAATGGATTATAACTGCCTTGTAACTGCCAATAACAACATCTCTTTAAATTTAAATCTTGCACTACGGACCCAACCCTAATGAGCTTATGTCAGTATAAAAATTAGAATTCAAAATTCACTCTCTCATTTATACAGGATTTTGACAAACAGGCTGTGGCGTTCTGATAGCATTAAAAGAAAAACACAACTACCTCCTCATTGTCTTGCATTACAGGCAGTCTGTTCTCTCCTCTACTCAGTCCTCAGTCTCTGAGGAGTACATACTCTTTGACAGACTCTGGCAATGGTAGCTGTTTCACAGCAGTTGGGAGATACTGCACTCCGAGGCTGTTTCGAACAGCGCAGCGAGCCAAGGCTCGCAACAAAGGCGGCTGGGCCACCATGCTTGTTAGACGCGCCAGCAGCTGAGGATCTTTGCTGAGCTCACGGGGCAAGGAGCCATCGGCCCTACGGATATCAAACTTCCCCGCGGCTCGGCACAGAAGCTCCAGGCACTCTTCCTCCTGCTCTGTGCCCAGGCCCCGCGCCAGTAGAGCCACCAGTCGAGAGATGGGCGTCTGGCCCTTGAGGTTGGTGACGTGAACCTGGGCTCCGTACTCCAGTAACACACGCACGCTCTCCAGGTTGCCCTTCATGGCTGCCCAGCTAAGCGGGGTGTCATTGTTGTAGTCACGGGCATTGGGGCAGGCACCACTCTCCAGCAGGGCACGCACACATTCAGGGTTGTCTTTGAAGGCAGCCCAGTGCAATGGGGTGTCCTTGTTGCCATCCAGTGCATTGGGATGAGCTCCATATTCCAACAGAAGCTCCACGCAACCCTCATCCTTCTCTGCAGCGTAATGCAAAGCTGTGCGGTTATAGCCGTCCAAGGCATTGACCTGTATGTAAAACAGAGCATGACTGGATAGCATTAATAAGATACCTGAGATGCTGATTTTTTAAAAAATACTGATAATTACGTGGAAGATACAGCACCACTTTAAATTACTATGTGTTTGTTTTGTTTTTCAAAATAAACCCACAGTTTCTTAATATTACACATGGATTAATTTAGTCCCAGGCATGGATTAAGTTTAATCTTGGACTAAACTTCAATGCCAATAGTTCTAGTTTAAGCCAGGTCGTAAATCGGTCTGGGAAAGTGGCTCAAGTTTAATCCTAAACTAAAACATATTGTCAATAAAAGATCTCCAATGCCTGGCTTACAGGGCATTCCAGACTGAAACTTTCATCGGTTTAACAGAATTTGTGATTTATCACTGTCATGTTAGTATGTTTTCCTCAATGTTCTCACTACAGTGGCCAGGATACATTATGCAAGTTCATCACACAACAACTGGAAATCCCTGTGGTGTCAACCAATTCAGACTGCTAGCCTAGCCACTGCACTGAGCTATAGACTAATAAATCTGACCAGGCTAGCATTAATGTAACTCTTACGTCAAATAAAACAGCTCCAAGTTTTTACCCTTTTAGCCAGAGAAGCCAAAATAAGGTAATATATCTAGACAGCCAGACAGCTACTTTGCTGACTTTATCTTTAAGCTTGCTCCCTCCTCACCTGATGAGTCATTTCTGTTGAGTAATGCATTCTAATGATATGAAGACAGTTAGTTCTTTCATTTTGGCCAGAATGTTGCTTTAATCTATCTGGAAAATCAGCACTATGGGATTCAATTCATTAAAACTGCTGTACCTCTGCACCTTTCTCCAACAAAAGCTCCACACAGTCTGCATCAGCCACCATGCAGGCACAGTGCAAGGGCTTCAGGGTGCCATGCATTCTGTTCACGTCCGCACCCTGAAGGGGAGGAAAAACATGTTGTGGTCAACCACAATAACTACTGTATTATACAAAATTGGATAAGACAGTAGACCTGTCTCATCACTAAGGATACAGCCAACGTTGACAGCATCTCTCATCCGTTATGCTACTGTCCCATTTCATAAGATCAATCGAATGCAGAAATGCTGAAATACTGGCCGAGTTTGCTTTCTCTTAGTTTCGAAAGTGCATCTAGTTGCAGTTACACTAGTCTCATCTAATATTTATCTAATATTTACTTAGATGAGCACTGAGAAATAAAATGAAGCTGCATGAGAAGGAGGAGAAATGCGTAGCTCAGGTACCCTGATGTGTGTAAATTCACATAGAAGCGCTTTGCAGTCGTTTAGCTAGCTTAAACCTTAATGAGTCAAAGGAAATGGCTGTGTCTTTAGAGAAGTACAGTTTGGTCATTTCAGCAGCCGATATTTGAGTAAAAGACTTCAGTCGAGTCTAGCTCACGTCTTTGTTTTCAATATCCCTTTTGCCAGTGATTATGGTTTCTTCGGTTCACTGTTATTCTCTGCATTCTCCTGCCAGAGCGTAGTGCAGTTTACCTGAGCTAAAACGCTCAGAAATGGATCCAAATCATCATCATCATCATCATCTTTTACAGCACAAAGATGGCAATTTAAATCGATTTCTGAGCCTTTTTGCTCTGGTAAGTCACACTATAGCCCACAAGCTGTTTTTATATGCGGCCCATAGCAGGTCAGACCATCCTTTTTTATATGTTTAGGTGACACTATATAGTTTCTCTGGGAAAAAAAACATCACTCATGATTAAATAAGTGATAGAGCCATAAATTAAGCCTTAGTGTCATTAATGTTTGTATGTAACTGACATACATAATACATGGTGTTGTAAATGAAAAACTGTGTATATTTGTTATAGCCAACTGCAATTACTGTTTTTTTCTTAAGTTACAATTTTTTTTATATTTCTGATGTTTCAGAGTCAGTGTCACCTCCCACCCCAGCACCAAAATATATTTCAAATATGTGGGACAGACTAAGCCTTGACTTCGAGACATGACTAGTGTTACCAGATCCAGTCATGCAGTACCCCCTGAACTAACATACCTAAACCAGATCATGACGGACTCTATCATTGCAGAAAAAAAAAATAAAAAATTGTGCAGCACAAGTGGACCACAGGGCTGCAGTTGGTAAAACAAATAAAGAGCAATTACATTTATAAACCTTACCCTGCGTATAAGGTCCTCCACATTGTCGTGTGGAAATGAGCGGATGGCCGCAATGGTTCGGATGAGCCTTTCCGAAAGTGAGTATTTACTCTGAATACTCTGCATGATGTACCACATAGTCGAGCTCATGTGGAGCAAAAGGACATTGCACCCGGCCGGGTGGCGCCTCACAACAGCAAGTAACTGAAAAGCAAAAGGGAAATGACCCCATGAGATGTCCAAATTTGTTTATTAAGACATTTTCAACACTGTGTAAGATTAAGCATCCACTAGGTTTGCACTTATCTAGCGCGATCAGTGGGCGTGTTCATGCAGTCACTCAGTGTTTACAATGCTCAATAACATTTGTGGCCCATACTCAGGCCATATATAGACGATAAGCTGCAAAAAAGAGTTTTCTTTGAATGCAGTGTATTTGTGACATCACAAAAACCAACGTATTAACACATATAAACATATGTCTACTCAGTCTACAGCAGTTTAGCTCCGCCCATTCATGTGTGAAGTTTTAAGGAGCGTTTCAGCCCAGATTGCTTTTTGAATGAGTCACAGTACAGAACATAGGTCGCCTACATATCAGTTTCAAAGGCACAGTAACGTAAATAGCCCATTTAATTCGAGTGGACAAAGAGAGGTCAGAGATAATAATGTAAACATTAATCATTTTGGTGCACTTTTGGTACATAAACCCACACAGACGTTCTAAGTGGACCCCAGGAAAAAAGTAAATACAACAAAATGTAGGATATAGCCCCTTTAAGCTATCAAAGAGTATATGAAGGCTTGGAGAATATAATTTTATTATATTATAAACGATAATTCGGTAACGTTAGCTAAAAAATGGCAATTGATGATGACGTTACACTTGGCAGATTATTTTAGCGGCAGGCAATGCCTGACAAAAGTGACATGACAGAGGAAATGTTTGCGTGGCTAACGTTACCTTAGCTATGCTCCAGTCCGGTTCCCTCTAACACTACTGCACATCTTAGTGATGTCCTGCTCCAACACATTAATTTCAACCTCGTGAAGGCTTTTAAAATGAGCTGATGAGCTGACCCGGGTGTGCCTCAGCAGGGAAACCTTAAAATGTGCTCGTAGTTCAAAAAACGGCATTGGGATGCACCTGTCTAGAGTAATACTAGCTGAAAATCACAAAGCTGAAGACAGTTTCTTATTAAATTTTCCGTTCCACCTTAAATGCTGCAGCAGTTGCATTACGGCGCCTGAACAGGTGTCAGAATGTAACGTAAGTGCTGCACCATTTAAGGTGGAACGGAAAAATCAAATAGGAAGCTGCGAAGAGGCCAAATTCTGCCTCATTTTAATACTGTCTACAGAAATGAAGCACTCTAATCTAGTTTAAAAATCAAAATCAATCTCTTCCATTCTTGGTTCCACTTATTAAACCAAAGCGAACGCAATATCGTTAACTGTTTGCGACTAACGTTAAGCTAACTAGACGCTACGTGAGTTCGGCTAGACAGCAAGATATCATCTAAATTCAAATTGACACGCTGTTTTCATCCACAATTTCGCTCTGGAGTGGTTGTAAACAAACCCTGCAACGCAGAACGAATAACACAGCGAACTGTGCTGATAAATTACACTAACACAGCCCGTCAAACACGTTGTTTTGTTATTAGCTTCGTCGGCTTTTCTGGCTAGCGCTAAACTAGTGTCGAGCCGCCGTCAACGCGGACTGACTGACTGCTTTCTTTTCCCCACAGCGAGTTAATACGCTACGAATGAACTCTCATCGATGTGAATGCAGAATTAAGTGCCTTTATCTATGTACTCACACAAGAAACTCACAAATACAAGAAAGCCGTACCTTCGAGGTCTGTCTGCTTACAAGTTTCAGCCTGTCAGTCGAACCAAACCAAACCAAACCCCCTCAGCTCAGCCCTGCTCAACAAAAACACGGCCATGGAAACGTCACTGACGGGAAGTGACTTAGAAAACCTGCATCCATCCCATCCACAGTTCACTTAACGTATTATTCACAGAACTACCGGCTACATGGCCCGTTCAGCCTGTGGTCAAACATTTAATGACTGAATTACCTAAAAGCACAGCTATAAATAGTTTTAAACATATCTCTCCGTCGTAGACAACATTCTTCCCATACCAAGCTGTGCACTCCATATATAGTCAGCACATGGCAGCCGGCTCCTTCCAACACACTCTAGACCAGTGGTGCCCAGTCCTGGTCCCGGAGGCCCACTGTCCTGTACATTTAAGTGCTTCTCCTTCTTTAACACAGCCATTTTAACTCAATAATGGGCTGTTAAAGAGCTGCTTAGTTGGATCAGGTTTTGTGAGCAGGGAAAACGCTAAAAAAATGCAGGGCAGTCGGCCTCCAGGAGCAGCGTTGAGAAACACCCCTACAGACCAGAGGCGCCCAGGCCTGCTCCTGGAGATCCATCACCCTGCAGAGTTTAGCTTCAAACCTACACCTGATTCAGGTAACAAAGGTCCTCAGATGCATCTGAGCACTGGAGCCAGGTACGTTGCATGTGAACTTTCCAGGGTGGTAGATCTCCAGGACATGGAGTGAGCAGCACTGCCCTCACTCAGACTCTACACTAGGGGTGCCTAAACTTCTTGTCTTGAGGGGTCAAAGTGCAATATTTATGATGGGCTGAGGGCCAAATAGAATTTAATTAGTCATGTATGCAGTCGCACGCCCACCGGTTGTATTACAAATGAAAAGAAGTATAAGAATACTAAGTATAAGAAAATAAGTGAAAATAACATCCTCCACAGAGAACACACTTCTGCACATTTTAATACACAATTGCTATTTATTTGCTGAATTTAACATATTGGGAAAAATAAAGCATGAATGTGGTCCATGAAAAATAGTTCTGGCACATTAAAATTTTGTTTTCAATGTTAAATTCAGTAAATAAGCAGAAATCGTGCACTAAAACTTTCTGAAAAATGTCATATTTAAGTTTGCTCTTGGTAGAGGATGTGCTAACTTATGTTCACTAAGAAAATCAACAAAATATGTAATTTGACCAGTGGAGGTGTTCAAACTTTTGCCTACAACTGTAGCATAAAATAAGGATGCATGATAGAAATCAACAGATTTTTGCTCCAAAAAAGCAAATGACAATCAGCCAGTTATTATTTATTATTAAAAAGCTATTACATTGTTATTTTATAATCTAAATACACTTGCGCTGTATTTGAAGTACCAATATTGTGTTAGTGTGTTCCATGTATTTATTCAGCCCTTACATTGTGAGCGTCAGTTAAAAAAAAAAATCAATTTAACTTTAAAGGAAGCATAATTGGCTATAAACATTCACAGGTGGATTCCTAGTATAAAATGAAGTTTGTTCTCTCATTGGATGAAAGGTTAGATTGACTTTCTGGCAGGCCAGAACACGGTGGGCAGCCCTGCTGTACACGGTGCCCTTCTCCATGTACAGTGGTGTTTCTGGACTTTTTGGGCCCTAGGCCAAGAAAAAAACAAAAAACAAAAACACCCTGTAGGCCTTATCAAATATCCTCCGTCTGTTTTGTCAATGCATTGACTGCAAAATGGAATATTTTACTAGCCAATCAAAATCCAGGACAAAAAAACCATCCAGATCGCCAGACTGCATACCAGCCAATCACAACAGGGAAAATTCTACTTTCATTAGTTGTAGCAGGATCAAAACATTTTAAAATAATATAAAATGCATTTCAATTCCATTAAAACCTGTGTATTACTTAGTTAAATTCCACTCCAATTTTTAATTGTAGTATTTATTAAATATTTCAGGTAAGCTAATGTCTTTTAACAAACAAGATTAAAGAACTCATTATATATGGCAATTTTTTCCCCACTTGTGGTCTGATTATTATGTTTGCATGGTTTTATGTACTAAGAACAGACATAATACAATTTTACATACAAATTTTCCAACCTCTAATTATGTCTCACAATGATTCAGGCTATTGTTTCTGTGTTAATATATGTAAATGACCTCTGCTCTAATTGGGTGCTCTGTATTGTGCCTAATTCAAAGAGAATTCTGGGGTAAAACAGTTCTTGTAACCTCAGTGCAAATAGGCAGATATATATAAACACAGTTTTTCCATTACGTTTTCCATGTATAGGCTTTAACAGTTTGCACACTACATCAAACTCAGATTAAAAACAAAAAATGAGGACAACTGGGTTCTTAAGCAGAATGAGTTTCTGCTCCGGTTGACAACACATGCTTTTGAATGAATGACATGCCAATTTGGCTGTTTGATTTTGATCAAATGTTAGCTCGATACTGCTGGCTACATACTGATGTTTGCATACATGCATTATCTGTGCTGTCTGATGTTAAACATTCAAAAAGTTTGATTAACTTTGCATGGTAGGGTTCTGCTACAAGGGTTGTTGAATAGGCTTATTGTTCTATAACATTATAACCACCAGACATACAATAAGACTTGTTTATAGTCACTGTCAGTACAAAACCTCATATCCTTATAAAGCTACCTACAACTTTTATTGGAAGCTAATGGAGAAATTATTTATTCCAAGCTATTTTGGAGCATTTCTATTGGTCCATTCTTCATGAATTTGGATACAATGTAAAGGGAAGCTGGCAACGTCAATTTGTGTCAAAAAACGAAAGAAGTGGAGACGCAAGCCCCCCCGTCCCCGCCCCCCCCGTGACCACCATTGTAAAATTAAAGTCAGTAAGTCTTTGTACAGTGAACCATTTCACAACATACCACTCTGAATGACTGTTTACATCTCACTTATTCAATGTCTAGAAAAAATGCTGAATTCCAGTTATTCACATTCCAACTGTTTCTTAGAAGGAAACAGGACACGTGTGGCAACAAATGAGCTGGAACTCTAAGGCCAAAACAAAATAATTTATTTCTTTTTTGTGACATTTTATGCAGACAGCTAGAATTTAGTGTCTCAAACACTTTCGATCCATTGTTATATAGTTCTTCCCTTTGCCACACCACCCCAAAAATCAATTAAACAGTAATATCCCAAACATTAAGGAGAATGCTATTCCTGTAGATTTTTGCAAGCCTGTCAACATCAATATCATTATCTTATGCTTCTAATATGATTTCACATTACATAACAGTAATATTTTTTTTAAACAAGTTAGTGCACTTTGTTTCATTACACTAAACCACTAGCTGCTCAAATTCATTAATGAAAACAAAAGGAAAAAAAAAAAAGTAAAAATAAACAATAAAAGCCCCAGTGATTCGTTAATTTACTGCATTACTAAGCCTCTAGTAAATGCATCAAGTATATTCTCTCTGCTGAAATCTCAAAAATATACAAATGTTATATCTGATATCTGTGATTCTCTCCCAATGTCTTTTTTTTTTTTTTAACATAGTCAGGAACCCATCCTACGAGGACTGGGCTGAGGTGTGTGGGTGGGAGGGGAGGGGGCAGCAGGATTAAAATAAATAAAAAAAAAAATAAAAAAAATCAATTTCATAAAAGCAATACTTACAATGAATTAAACAGCAATACTGCATCTTCCTCTGATTACATTTTTTGAAAATACACAGCACCAGTTCACCTTCACGTCACATTTTTTTCCTTTTCTTTTTGGCGTTTGCAGAGTCCCTGCTTCCGTGAGCATGATGCCCAAAAGGTGACGTCTACGTCAAAACTCTATGTTGGGCGGGCCCCATATGCAAAAGCAACTCTGTTATCCAAGTGGTTTAGTGCAGATTCCACAAGCAAAAGCTGGTCTATATGAACTGAGCAGCTTCCATTCTTCCCCACGCTCTCTCATGTATGCTGGCGCCATCAAGAATCTTGCACTGAAGCTTCTGTGAAGGAATTTCAGATATTGCTATAGCTATCTGAACAGTCAAGCAAGCGGTAGATATCGGTTTCATATTTTGGTGCTTCAGAAAGAAACATTGCTCACATTTGTTTTTATAATCAAGGAGGACACAATAAGTGAATATTAAGCATGTAGACCGATTTCTCCCTGTTTTGTTACATGAAATGACTAGTGTACTACAAAATGAAGAAGACCACATGTGTGACAGTCTGATGTAACTGACAATCCTTCGGGCATGGAAAAAACAAAGTGGTGCGAGAGGATAAATGCATTCCAATGCTCATTCTTTTAGCAAGGAAATCCAGTATAACTTTCCAACGGCCTTCAGTTAACATTTCTTCTCTCAAACAACCTATAGAAGACTTCTCAGCAGGGGAAGAAGCAGTTTCATGCATAATCTGACCTCTGCACTGCCCACAGAGACATTTAGATCCAGCAATGCCAGACAAATCTGTCAATGAGGCTCTGAATTTTGAATGACCACCACAATCTGGTGCACACACTGGACACAACTCTAGGGCAGCCCCAGAGATTTGTCATAAGTTCACGTTCCTGTCCTGTAGCCGTTGTTCTTTGCACCATCTCTGGAGGTCAGAAGGAATGAAATGAAACGTTAACTGAATACAGGGTTGTTTCTCGTTTCTGGATGTACAAAAATTTAACTGACCAGAACTTCACAGTGGATCCTCAACCAATGTCTGCTGTTAGATTGTAGTTACAACTGCGACAATAAAGGATATTGACATCACTCGTCAATAAAATAGGCTTCAGGCTTTCCTGACCTATATCACTATGACAAATCTAAGCACAATATAGTAACTTGCCATTCGTTATTAATATTGAATGTCCTGATCTTGTTAAGAATAACAAAAAAATGTCACCCCAAAATGAAACCAAAAAGCAGCCATTGGCTTAGCCTGTCTATCATTAGCCCAAACCAACACAAATGTTGTAAACACAGCCATGTGCCTGCCTGATTATCAGGAAATGCGAGCTTGCTCAGAAGCCATTTTGGGAGGATAATGCACAAAAAAAACAAAACAAAAAAAAAACAAAAACAGAACATGTATGAGATGATACAAAGAACTTGAGTGTCTATGTACCAAACTGTGATATCATGATCTTTCACAGGCTCTTGGTTACTCAAGCGAGCTAAAAACAACTGTAATCAAAAGGAAAAAAAAACAAAAAAAAACAAAAACACCCTTCAGCAAACCAGTGATCCAACATCACAGCATGATTATTGGCAGGCTTTGACCATATAAAGTGATGTATACGAATCATTACCAAGGCTCAACAATCCTTCAGATCTTACTGCGCATTACACAATGTCTAAATACAGACTTGATTCCGAGAGCGCAATGTAATCAACAACTATGTCACGCATATTAATGCAAAATTCCAGATCAACAGCAAACCGCACTGTTGCTCCTAGCTAATCTGCCAATCCACTCAAGCACACTTTGCATGTTCTATATGGGATCTAAATCCCAAAACGGATTAAATCAACACTACTGCAAAACACATCCTTCCACTCAAAGATCAAGGTTCATGTACATCTCCCCCCCTCTCCAACTCATTCCACACTCTTTTGCTTTCCTAGTGCCCTGCAAATGCAAACAAAGCAAAAAAGAAAGAATCAGATGATCATTGCATGTCAAAAGTGATATTTGTATAGGTACATGACATGTACAGTATGCATGTTCCTTTTTCTTCTTAGTGCATATGTTCTTTGCAGACCACTATTATTGTTTCAGTTCTACAGCACAGAGCACTGGGTCCCACCTCTCCCTAACTGGGTAAAAGGCCCTCTTCTCAAAGAAAGAAAAAAAAATTTAAGAAAACAAAAAAGGGAAAAAAATATAAAATAATCGCATTGATACATTCTGAGGGGACATTGTCAAGTGAGAAGCATACATTTTTTTCCTATTTGAGGACCTCCTTCAAAAAGCTTATAGTAGCTTCTGATTTTTCATGCCCATATGCCTGGACGTCCCAGTCTGTGCAATGTCATTTTATAAGATTTTTCCTCTGGATGTGCTCCAGGCAGGAGGGGTGGCTACCATTAGATTTTAAACTTTTATATTTCATCTTTTTAATATATATATTTATATATGTATGTGTGCTTGTTATATATATATATATATATATATATATATATATATATATCACACATAAAGGATTTTTTTTAGTCTTTACTTTGGCGATATAGGGGGGATGTTCTGCTCTTTGCCAGTGTGTCTGGATCCTCCTTGGGGAGAAGTGCGGCGGTTAAAAGGGGGGCGTCTCTGCTGCTCGCGGAGCTTAAATCCTCCCGTATTGGCTCTTGGGGGGCCGTTGCTGCGATAGAAGCCCTGGGAGTCACGGGCCAGCCGGCCCTCCCTGGCCTTACAGTCTCCTCCTCGCTCCTGAGGCCGCTCTTGTCGTTCAGCAGGCCTTGTGGACTGCTCCTCCACCTTGTTGACCCGCAGCTCTCTCAGTGGCTGGGAGGCTGCACTGGCAGGGGCAGAGGTGGCCGCAGGAGGAGGAGGCGGAGGAGGGGGATCCTTAGGTGGTCGCTGACACACTTCGGCGTAGCTGAGCTTGCGAGGCTCCTAAAGAAGAGACAGATAACAGGAATGAAGGGAGTTTGCAAAATGCACTGTGATTCATCAATCTGAATTGTGCTAAAACTGCTTTGGAATGTCAATTATGATGATCACAGGAATAGTACACAGTGTGTGCGTGCATACATTTTCTGGCCAAACTAAAATTACAGAAAGCTTGGCAATACGTTTTTATTAACATGTGACAGTGATCATTTTGCAGTTTGAATAATACAGAATATTCACACTTCATTATAAAAGGCGAGTTTCGCAGATTCTCCACTCAAATCACTTGTGTGCACAAACGCATGTATGTTTATAGTTAAGAGTTTCATGTATAATGCTGATCCAAAATGTGTATGTGGGTAAAACTACTTGAAGTAAAATGTTTTGTTTGAAATACAGCTAAGAAGAGTTTGGTCTTAAGGAAGGATTCACTACAAAACTACAACATGAACATGCAATATGAATGTGTGTTTAAGCTTTGGCTAAGAAGTACTAAACCCTGTGTGCTAAGTGAACATAGACCACTACCATCTTAGTTCAGAATTAGGGAATTTCAACATAAGCGCTCAAAGTTAGCATTATCTAAGCAGTGGTACGCAGGCTAAATGAGAATCTACCATTCTTTAAATCGTTTCAAAAAGGACTGATGTATTGAATCACTGTGTGGCCAGTGATTTATACCCCAAGTGGTCACCAACCCCTCTGATGACCCAACTACCTTCTAGTAGGTTTGCTCTGCATCCTAAATCTCACAGATCCAGTCCAGCTAGTTAGGGATCATGTTGGATCAGGTGAGGTGGATAAGTGTTGGAGCTAAGCTCTGCAAGAAGACAGATCTCAAGAGCAGGGTTGGTGTCCACTGTTCTGAATAAAAGGACCTGTTGTCCAAGTCCTGTTGTGGAGAAGGGTCTCACCGGTGTGGTGGTGCTGGAGTGAGCAGGGTTGGCCTGTGAGGCTGCAGGGCTGGCTGGATTCGGCTGAGTCTTGGGGGCAGGTGCAGGCTGCGTGGGGGTTGGCGGAATGGCTGCAGTGTGGGTTGGGTTCACAGGCATCTCTTTATGGACCAAGGGCTCAGTTTTCTCCAGTTTCTTCTCCTGAGGGTTTGTGCTAGGAAGCAGAAGCAATGGAGACACAGAATCGACACTGATGAAGACTGCACAATAGCTGCTTTGGAGTCTCTTTTGTCTTCAGGAAAGCAAAAGCTAAGCAATACAGACAGGATACATGGCTACCTGTGAGTAGCAGGATCCTCAGAGTGAATAGTCGGTTTGCTCGCAGGTTGAGTAGGCCTGGGAACGGTCTCCTCCGAGGCTGGACCAGCAGGACTCACAGCAGACTCTTTGTTTGCGTCCGACTGCTGGAAAGGGAGAATTCTTGCAGTCAAGAAAACTGAACCTCACAAGCTCTTATCAATAAAACAACATGCCTTTACGTTTCCTAAACTAACCTTGTCTCTGTTCAGACCCCGTACCACGTCAGACATGCGGTTCTCCAGCATGGGCTCCCCCTGTGGGCTGACAGAGCAGCCAGGTAGAGGAGGAAAATTGGAGGCAGCCAGGTCGAATTTAGGTTGTGGAACCTTCACTTCAGCAAGTGGAACTGGCCTCTGAAAAAGTTAATAAAACAGAAGAAATTAATCTTATGATTTGAAAAAAAGAAAAATAAAGCCAACAAAAGCTCTAAAACAGAAGCAGCAGTCGCATTCATATTACTGTTGTGCGTTCATCCTCTCTCCTCCTGCGACCCCCTCTGTATGTAGTCCTCCTGTAAACACAGGTTTATAACTTCAGTATTACAGGAGAGCCATGCAACAAAAGAGGGCTGAGTGTATTGTTGGGTGGCAATTAATTCAATGAGTCACTCTAGTCTCTAGAGAGCTCAGATCAGGTAATCTGACTTCATGTCGGGCTTGACACGGGGGATTAGGGCTTTTGTGGGGGAGGGGGGCAAATTTGTTGAGAGCTGTATAGAAAAGTACGACAGAACTCAAAGGAGTGCAGAATTCATTATGCGCAAACTATAGAGACATTCTCTGCCAAAGAATTGTACATTTTCTCCCTTCTCTAGTATACCAGTTCTAGAGAACTGCTTACAGAATTATCCATGGTGATCAGCAGAAATCGCTCACAACAACTGGCCATTAACTTTGAAAGGCCATTTTTAGTGTTTGCTGCAATTCTAATGTGATGACAAACCATATGAACAGCAACAAGCAATTAATATGCTATTTACTAAAAAAATTAGTGTTGGTTAAACAGAAATTTCAGTTTCCACCTACCCCAAATGTAACCCATTACCCAAGACTCAATGTAAAACCAGTCCACTTAATAAAGCTTCTTTTACAAAACTAGTGCCTGATGATCTACAGTACTGGGCAAACACAGCAACAACCCTTCATTTATTTAATTTCCAGTCCAAATGGCCATTAAGCACAAATTAGCCATTTTTCAGCATGACGAAAAACACAGAAGATATATTTACCAGAAAATTACACAGCCTCAACTAAATAAGTATATTTTAAGCATTTAGTGTGTCCACACTCTGCTTTTATTACAGCCTTCATTCTTTTCGGGAGACTCACTTTCAGGTTTTCAAATAAATCTGCAGAGATATTTTTTTACCATGTAGTTCAGTCTTAGGAGTACATTTTCTGCAGCTCACAATCCAAGCAATCCCAACTACAAAGTTAGACTTTTCAGCCAATAAAACCTTACTGTACTTATCTCAGACACTCAATTTCAATGTTCTAAGACAAATTTTCTTCTGTTTTGTCCATTTCTTTTGTCTGTCTGAAGGGGAATATAATGCAAGCAACCGCTTTGGGAACAGCTTTTGTTGGAAGGACACAACTGTAACTGGTTGGTTTTAAGACGGAAGGATGGAAGAGTTAATGTGGCAGCAGGTGCGCAAAAATAAAGAAAGGGTAAATTAAAACCTGACAGATTTAATATTATACTTAATGTCGGAGGCTTTTGGGGAATTTTCTGTTAAATGTTTCCTGCTTTTCTCCTGACACTGAACTTAGTGGCTGTATTGACTGGAAATTAAATAAACAAAGAGTGTTCCCTGTCTTTCACAGTATTGTCCATCTGGGGAAAAAGAGTAAAGCACTTTTAGTGAATGATGGCAAGAAGAATGAAATACCTTCCACGTCCAGCCCCAGTGCTGTCTTCGGTCACGTCGGTGGAGGCCAGGTGAGGGAAAGAAGAACTGAGCTCGGAAGACCCCAGTGCTGGGCCACTGCTAGAAGGGGGCTGTGGACTGCGGAGTCCATCCACCAGAGACACAGGGGGGACAGTAGAGGTCAGCCCATCGTTAGCCCGTGCCTGAGGTTTCACGTGGTTCCTGTTCAAAAAGAAGCTAGCATCAGATATGATTGCAAGTTCTCATAAAAGATATCTACTGTCATCCGATAGATCAGTTCAGACAGAGGCTCATGATCCGTGGACTGGGGCAGCATGCAGTACCTCCGTAATATAAATGTACTTGCAAGCAAGTATAGAAGGACATTCAATCACTGCATTTCCCTGTCAGTGGGCTAACTTTGACCATTATGTCATCGGCAACACAAATTAGTCCATACAGTGTATTACTTGTATGGCAAGTAGTATGTATGTGTATATATATTATATATAAAATGCAAGTCATAATTTAGCTGCACTGAAATTGAAGCAAAAAGCCAGAATTTTTTGTTGTTTCATGAAGTCAAATGTTAAAACACTGGGCAGGGATTTTAATCAACTTTAAAAGCCTGCTTTGTTAGCCTGTTACTTTGAGAGCTACACCTCACCCACAGCACAGTAAAGAATGACCAAAAACACAATGTTAGTTATGGAGATAATGTTATTTTGACACAACAGAGGCAAAAAAAAGAACGCTCTTTCTTGCATCATAGCGGCAGAAAAAGGGTCAAGCATTTCCGACATCATGGAAAAATGCAGATTGGTATGGCATTCAATTTGAGTTTGATGTTTCTCCCCACACCAATACAAGCTTCACTGCATAAGCATGGCCAAAGTAATACTGTGTAACGTCATTTAAATCAAACACAGGAAGTATTAATATAAATGGAAGGGAAAGGGTGTTTAGTTAACCACAGACATTGGTGGGAAGGTATGTGCTGCAGTATTACTGGATGGTTTATTTTGATGAGTTATTTCTGAGGTATGAAAAGGGTGGAGTGATAAGGCAGGTATAATGATTTTTCAAGCTTCAACAGCTGTACCTGAAGGCATTTATTACATTCTTTCTTGAATAGAGTGGAACACTGTGGGGACAATAAGAAAATCAACATGAAGGCTTGAAAACAAACAGATCACATTCATTCAAACAACCTACCTGAGCGACCGGTTATATTTCACAGTTTAAAATGGAGCCATGAGTTAATTAGAAAGCAAACATCTAAGCAAAACCTTTTCCAAAAGCTAAAGTAATTGTTTACGGAGCGTTAACATGCATACATACAGGCACAGAATTGCCTTTAACTAGCACTAGTTTGCAGCTACTGTACCTTCTGCACTCTTAAAAATTAAGGTTTTCTTTACTAAAGAACCCTTGAACAAGCATCATTTTTAAGAGTGTGCTGATCAATGTACTATGAAAGACTGCCACATTAAGATAAGAGAGTCTCAAAAGGACAAACCGGTTTCTGCTGAAGGGTCGTCCAATGTTGAGAGAACTTGAACCAGTTTTGTAGTGTCCGGCTGAGCTAAATCCATTGACAAAACCACTGTTGGGAAAAGGTGCCTGTGGTAACAGGAGAAATAAATAATAGCAAATTTCATATAAATGTTAAGGTGAGCAAATTTTCAAATTAATGTGAATTCTACAGATTTTTTTTTCAATCCTCAAAATACATTAGGATATAAGCAAGATCATTCAGAGTGTTTTGACATGAAATGGCCCATTCTGGAGAAATTTAGAATCACAACAGTGTTGACAACACCTGAGACACACCAAGCCAACTCTCTGCTTCTGGATACACTCAGACAGTCAGCTGCTGTCCGCTGTGTGTCGGTGGTTGGCCACAACCAGAGAGGGTGATTGAGGGTGATTGAGGAAATGAAAATGAAAGCAAGAAAGAAATCTACACATGAAAACGGCACTCTAGTAGACACACATCGAGAACAGCATGTTTGGAATGGGCATTTGAACTAGTTTTTCCTATCCAATGTCCGAACATTTAAACAAAAAATACATAACTATAGTGCTCCCAACAAAAAAAAAATAGTTATGAATAAATATGGATGCGCTAAATCTCTGAAGGCACTCTGATAACACAAACAAAGCTTAAGTTACTTTTAGTCATATAATTATGAAAATGAAACCACACATTTTAATTTACTGTTTAAATGTACAAACATTCAACAGCCTTTCAGCCCCAAATACCGCTACTAACATTGGTCTTCTTTCACTTACACACTCTAGGCTCAGCTTACATATGGACATTTGAAGCTAATAATACATTCAAACAATATATTGCCACTGTCTAGAGGAAAAACAAAACTCCAAAATGGCCTCTTTACAGAAGAGGGCAAAACTGTTGATTATTTTTAATAGTTCATGTTAAAGTTCATGTTAAACAGTTTTATTCCAAGCCATTTTGGAGCATTTCTCTTGGAGCATTAAATACGACATTTTCACACTAAGCAACGGGTAGCTGGTAAGCTAAAATGATGCAAAAAATAAAAATTGACAAGAAAATGAGATACTTGGGTTTTTTGGACAGTCACTATATTCTTGAGATTGTATGCTCCAGTTTTACAAATTTAAGCTATTTCTGATTTAATACTATTTTACCACTATCAACATTACACCTGAACTCTGACATGCATAGGTCCACTGGTCAATCTGAATAGCAATTAAATGGCTGTATTTGTGTTGTAGATGTCTTGACTCCAGAAATTTACCATGTCCGACTTCACATCAAACCACTCTGAAGGACTTTACATCTCAACAACTGATCTGTGTGCAAGTTTTGAAAAATCCAGTTTTCCCCTTCAGTACATTTCTAACTGATTGTAAAGGCCCACAATCAAAGCATCCTGTTGCATTTTAAGCTCAACATGTTTGAGTAGCAAGCCATACCAGGGGAGTCTCAAAGTATGGAGTTGGAGATGGAGTCCAGGTGGGAGGTACAATGCCATAGAGTGGATACTGTTGCTGAGGGCTGTAGACAGGCTGCATAAAGAGTGGTGAGCTGTACTGAGACTGCGTGTGAGACTGCTGTTGGTACACGTTGCAGTCCAGGCTGCGGTAGCCGTTCTTTGCAAAGAAGGTGTTGATGGCTTTTATTCTAGCCTGTGGACAAAAGAGAAGACACATCAAATGAGTAAATGGGAGTATTTTGTTAAATAGGAGAAACTTGTTTTACGCAAAACTCACCATGATTGGTTTTCCCTGAAATGTTTTCACTTCTTCCCTTAAATATTTGTATGCCTGAAAGGAGGGGGGTTGGGGGGGGCAATGTAATTACGCAAAGATTAAAATTAGTGTGATGATGAGCTTGTACTGGCAACAGTTATTACAAAAAGCAAAGTAAAAACCCTGAAACTATACGCTATATGAAAGACATAAGAATTCACAATAATAATCAGAATCACATCAGTATCAGCATATAGATGTTATATTTCTCTGTAAAGCTTATCCAGGTAGTTTCCCAATTTCCACATTTTCAATCTGGATACTGGATAACAGCAATGGCACAATTCCCATACTGGGGCATAACTAATAAAAACAATGCTTTTACCTGTTGCGCGTCCGTATCTGATTGGAATGTAATGTACCAGTTATTGTTGTGTGCAAACTCCACACTAATGACCTTAGGACAGTTGTCATTCTTGAACAAAGCTTCCACTTCCTAGCAACAGAAAACAGTACGAATGAGGCATGGGTGAAGTTCAGTTAGAGATGCTTCATTCTTCTGCATCTTCCTAACATTCTTAGTACCTCCACAGGGGTTGTTTCAGGGAACCTCTCGCAGAATGATGATGCAGCGTTTATGATTCGGTCGCACTTTCTCCCCTTTCTCATCCACTTGCACCATAGGAGATGCTGAGGAGAGAGAGTAGAAACGAGTCATAGAGGAACAAAATGACCTCCAGACAACATGACGCAAAAAGGTAACTACAAAACAAGTATGTGATCACTGCTGTCATATCAAAACACTGCAAGTCCTTTGTTTGCCTTTTTTCTTTTTAAATGGCCCATATGGAAAAATGAGTTTCCTTTGTTTTTTAATAAAGCAGTTAAAAGTAATATGCAAACATTTTTAAAGTTTAAACATGTACCATTCACTATCCAGTCCATATGGTAAGCAGCAAAAACAGCCCATTTTAAATTGACTATGATGCTGTGAGAACCAACTATTTTATATAAATCCACATAGCAATCCACAGCAATCTAGCACCTCCCATTCTCACTGAAGTTCTAAGGAGTGTTTCAGCTCAGAGTGCTTTTTAAAAGAAGCACAAAGCAGGGCCGGTCACAACAGAGGTCATTTATGTCATCAGTCTTAAATGCACAATAGGAAAAACAGCCTGTTAAATTATAACCATTTTTGGTACATAAACCACACAAATGTAATAAATGGACTACAATGGGAATAGATACATGAAGAATGTTGGACATGGGTCCTTTAAAACTTTTTTAAAAATGCCAGTTGCATTTTATAGTGTAAACATTTCAAGATGAACCAATAGGAATGGTTCAAAATGAGTCGCTGCAAAACCTTATTACATTAACATACACTATGTGGACATCTGACCATCACACCTATATGCACTCGGATATCCCATTCCAAAACCACAGGCATTAATATGTAGTTGGGCCCTCCTTTGCAGCTATAACAGATAGTGAAGTGTGATTCATCACGCTTCCATAGCTGCAGAGTGTACCCCACTCCAGTTGATGTATGGCACAGTCCATACAGATCTTAGGCTTGTGTGCAGCTGCACACCATGGAGACCTATTTTATGAACTCTTGATGCACTGTTCATGGGCTGATGTTGCTTTCAGAGGCAGTTCGGAACTCTGTAGTGAGTGATGCAACAGGAAAGTCTTTTTTTTTTTATTTAAAAAAGAAAACAAAAAAAAACCCGCACAATGTGATTCAGCACTCAGTGACCCCGCTCTGTGTGTTTGCCTGGTCTACTGCCTTGTGGCTGAGCTGTTGCTGCATCTAGATGCTTCCTTTTCACAATAATAGCACTTACAGTTGACAGGGGCAGATCTAGCAAAGCAGAAATGTCACAAACTGACTTGTGGTAAACGTGGCATCATACGTGGCATATATACGTTACAGTGCTGTGTTTATAGTCACAGAGGTCTTCAGTAAGACCCATTCTACTTCCAATGTTTGTCTATGGAGACTGCATGGCTATGTGCTTGATTTTATACATCTGTGAGGAATGAGTGTGGCTGAAACTTCTGTATTCCATAATTAGGAGGGTTGTCTACATACTTTTGCCATATAGTGCACTTTAAGTCATACATAAAGTTAGGAACACATTTTCCTTCTCCTGTACAGTTACCATTTCAAAGATGCAAGGTTTTAGGACAACAGCAACAATGTGAAACAATAAAGACCTGCACCTGCAAAACACTGACATGTAAAAGTGTAGAAATGTAAAAATGTAAAACAATACATACATCTCAACACATCCAAGATAAGGTCCATGTCAGTAGTAAGGACCTTGATTCCTTCCATGCTGGCAATAGTCCAAATCGGGACAAACTGGTCACTGTCCATTTGAGAAATCAGGTAAAGATCCTTTGATAAGTTTTCCCTGTTGAACATACATAAGTTAAGTGACAGAAAGACTCAAAACCCAAATACATACATTTAGTGAGATCTGACCGCAGATGCCTCAGAGACCAGACCCACCTGGAGAAGCAGAATTCCAGCTCTTTCTTGAGAGACTCACGCAGACTTTCTGCAGAGAGAGGCTGCTCCTCAGACAGTTTGGACTCCACTGTGTAACAGAAACACAAGCCATCAGAGAACACAGTCTGATTTGTAGATGTTCCTACAGCCAATGGCACAGACGAATGAGACTGAATTTGACACTGAGTGTAACATAAATCCAAGTTGAGCTTTGGTGTTTATACTACTAACCATTAGTTCCACTGGTGGGCTCACAAACAGTGAAGTTTGGATCAGGGGGATCCATGCCGTTTACCACACCCTCCGCAGTGGCCGAGCTACTGTTGCCCGCAAGCACAGAGAACCCAGGCGTGTACGGTTTACATCCATTGGGCTCTGAGTAAACACAGTCCAATCAAAACAGATGTCAGCAACATCGCTAGCATTTGTCCTACCAATGTTGAGCGCACCAGGACGGGTAGGCAACGTTCCTTGTGATCAGTTAAGTTCTATCTGTCTTTATGACGATGTGTTATCATTATCACTAGGGATGCAAACTGTTTTGACCGATAACCGATCATCATCGTGTTCAGTTGTTAAGTAAATAACCTAAAACCACTAATTCGACCCATTAAACTCAAACACAGAATTGCAATTTATATAAACACGGCTAAAGGTTTTACTGAATAAAAAAACAACAGCCAGTAACAGTAACAATGTAGTGTATTTACTTACCAAATATTATTAGCCCAAGTTAACATAAGGCCTAAAAATGGCTAGCTTTAAGTTTATATGTATAGTTTAACCAACAATCAACATACAGTAGCTCACAGGTTGTAAGCATTTTCATGGGACTAACTAATCATTAACTAACACAGGTGTAGGCTATAGCTTAAGGCTATACTGAACAGTTTAAACACTTCTATATCCCTTTATCGACAGCTCTGGCCAGTTAAAATTAAGCCGAGTGTCGAGAGTCAGGGTCAACTTTGTGCGTCACTAAGGAGGACTTCTGGAAGAAAGCGCATTCTTGTGCCTTCATGTGTATAATTATCCTCAATTTGAATGAAAAATCTTCCTATTCAAATATCAATTGTTTACCGGGAATTAAATCAAGCATTAGTCTAACATTTATACAGTTGTTGTTTAACAGCTAATCAGATAATCATTAGCATGTCTAGTTATCATGGTAATTTATGTTGCAATATTCTTTTCTGAGTACAGAAGAGGATATTAACAGTAACCTATTTTTCCAGCAAGAACTACCTAATTTCAGATAAAGATATTAATAGATTTGGTTTACCCTCAGTCACGTTATGCTGGGACCAGGGAGAGGCCTCAGTGCCATCCACAAGAGCCTCGCTGGATGCAGCTGGAATCTCCTGCCACACTTTGGCATTAGGGTTCAGACCGGCTCCTTTCGAGGTCACCTGAGAACATGACAGATCAGATTCATTTCACTGTGACTTTGAGAATAGTCCAACTTATGAGAAAATTTGCTGTCAATGAATGTAAGACTACAACACCCCCCCGCCCCCCGATCAAAACTATTATCTGCCTTTAAAGTTTTACTGACGAACAAGGGCTGGAAGATTTAGCGCTTTTTCTTCAAAATTGCACATTTAAAAGACTGCAACTGTAAAATTGCAAGAACTGAATTTATTACAGCCTACACTACCAACAACATAGTCCGGTGTGGCAGCAGATTTTCATTCCAATCAAAACAGAAGCACACTCGGTTGAACAACTGATTGTTTATATGAGGTGTGCTCCTGTGTGGTAGGAATGAAAACCTTTAGCCTCACTGGCCCTTCACAGATAAGACTAGTGACCCCCAATTTAAACTTATCACAAACAACCAGACACCCATGAGCTGTGACAACACAACAAGAACTAACTGGCTGTCTAGTGCACTCATGCCAGAAAAACGTGGATATGCTGGTCTTCCTGGCCAAGGCTGGACCTTAACTTGTAGAAAGAAAAAAAATCTATAACTTAAATCAGTCAGAATATTAATCAGAAAAATGTGGTTTCTGTCCTTCTCAGTCACAGCCCATTCTTTACTTCCTTCCTCAAAACACATTTTCTACTTAACTTTTCTAACTGCCCCTCACATCCAACAACAGGCCTCCTCAGGACCAGTAGCCATTTATCTAACTAACAGTTAGCCTCTGTGTTTACACAAACCACATGGGGAACAAAATACACATAGTTACTTCACACTTCTGTATGTCACAAAAGAGGAAGGCTCATTCAGCCACTGGATGCAAGCACCATTAGAGCCCTATGATTTAGGCAATACAAAGAAAACGAACAAAATGATGGAAATGAGACAGCAAGAAGTATTTCAGATAAACACAGAAAAGCATTTGAAGATTTGGGGGAGATTTTTCAATTTCTAAACAAACTAAATGTTTTGTGTAATTTGTCTGTCCACTATGCGGATATATTCACATATAAATTTTATTTTTTACAGAATTCCTGTAATGCTTTTGTGAACATCACAGCGTGCACAATGACCACCCACTGCACATCAGTAGAGGCATGAAGTTAGCTAGTTGACCATGGGAAATAACCTGTAAATTTAAAAACAAACATGTAACATTCTGCACTGGAGCTATGACGCTAACGCCGTTTACCTCACACGAAAAGATTCAATTACTTGTTTGCTACATTAGCTATACTTAAGCGTTGTTTATGAAGTAAACTTTGCGTGACTAACATGACTTGAGTGATCGACTGCATTTGGGGTAAGGAGATTATTATTATTATTATTTTTTTTTAAGGCACTTCACTTGTACACTTGCTATATGTGTACAAACGATGTGCATAATGCTAATTCATAACATACTGCACTTATTGATTATTACATGTGGCGGAGTATCAGTCTATTTGAAATAATGTTTAAACAAAAAAAAAATTTATATATATACACACACACACACGCACGCACACATAAAAAATATATATATTTAAAATAAAAAAAATGCAAAAAATAAATAGAGGACACTACCAAGACAGTTAACTAATTATAAACCTTGCCTGATTTGCTTGACTGGTTGCTAAGGACTCCTACAATATTGACAATGATGACCCAACGTTTTTCAGCTTACTAGGTCTTGGACTTTGAACAGACTTCAAACCTGAGCTAAGTTTTAGAATTAGAACTATAGAGCCTCATCCAGCTGTGCAGCCACTGACCCTTTCAAACAGTCTCTCTAGCCATTCATACTATCAGACCATACCAGGATACCAATACAGATACCTTGATTTCATTACTGAATCCTAACTGTGGCTTAAACCAGAAATGCAGAAATGAGTACGTTAACGTCTTGCTGTCTTTTTTGACCCTCACAAACTAAGCATCTGGGAGTACCTTAACAGAAAAGGGGAAGAGGCAGGGCTTATGCTTAAATGATTAGAAAGCTACCTGAAGGACTCATAAATTAAGAAAAAGAATACTTATGTGCAGGAGAATAACCACTACCGGGGATACTATGGGATGGGGAAAATAATGTTAACCTATTCATTTGTTTCACCTACTATCAAGCAAGCGTTCAGTTAATACGTTATCACTCTCACTATACCTCAAGGAAAGCATACGAGTGAAAGCAAACCAAATTAACACGACGCTAAATCTGCATTAGTACTGTGTGCGTGTTAACCTATATACTGATGAGTATCACCAGCTATTAAAACAATAATAAATAAAATAATAAATATCAACCCCAAGCAGAGCGCTGATATCTATGTTGTCTACAACAGAGGACTTTGATAAAGCCACATATTTGGACTTCAGAGATAAAAATCAAAGACGTTCCCAATTCAATGTGACTGACTGCAACAAAAAGGGAAACATGAATGAGTTGCCTATTGCATTATCTAACATATTTATACTCCTCTGAGATTACGAAAAAATCATCCCAACAAATAAATGCCCATTACCTACTTCAATCAATTACCTACTACAATCAAATGAGTCAGTTGGCTGATAACACTGGCTGATATGGACGACGTGTGGTTTTACCAGTTTTGAAGAAAAACTATCAATAATCAGGATTTTTTGTTGGATTTTTTTGGACTTAAAATATGACCTCAATACAGGCTGTACTGGCACACTTCAACACAAAACACCATTATGGGTAAAATAAACATGTAAAATGTATGCAAAACCTAATATTTAGAAAAAGTTATAACACATATGCAAAAACCCACAAATTCTTAGGAATAATAAAACCATCCAAAGAATTCTGGTTAACTCCACTCTCCTGGGCTGCACCATTAATATTATTTAACACTGTATTTCTGTGGTTTGAGTTTAAGAAGTGACCATTTATAACTGACGGTCACTTCACAATTCACAGATGACAACTGCATAATATCTTTCAGTGAATCACTACTAAGACAATTGAAGTATACAATTAAAATAAAGATATAAATACAGAATTACTAGCCTATATTACTGGTCATCATTGGTTAAAATTTTCATATAGGTCAGGCCTTAATGTAAAGTGTTCTGAATATCATTTTACCATTATATAAGGGTGCACCAATGCTAGGCACAAACACTGGGCTGAGTGCAGAGCTCTGCCTCTTTATTATTAATGCAAATGTGGCAATAACGAAATTGCTAAATGTAGCCTGCACAACAATTCTGATGGTAGGTACAAATTTATAAGACAAAACTGCTCTCAATATTAAGACAGTCTGTTAACTACTTGGTATCCAAGACACACTTCACAATATGGAAAAGACTGTGAGCCAGAAATAATAGCTACTTTGAATGAACCAAGAGAGAAATCTGCTTTTGACCGCTACACTTACACACTTACCGGACCTGTCTTGCAGCTTGACCTTTAATTTAGGGAAAGAGTACATGTACCATACCACTGTTCTTCGAGTGTTTAACAATATAATCAGGCGACCGTGTCAAAAGCAGTCACTGAAAACAAGAGCAGCCCTGTATATTCAACTCATTTGTTTACATTAACATGTAACAAATTAACATCGCACACATGAGACAAATATACTAGAAACGGTGGCAGGAGGTTGTTTATCACTCGGCTGTTCCCTTCCTGTCAGCTACATTCACTCCACACCACTCTACTCAACAATGAATAGGCCCGATTCATGTTTTGCTCTATGATCCTGCCTTAAAGGACACATGGCTGGATTAAGCAAAATTCATGGCATTCTTCGAGTGATCTAGCATACTAAAAGTCACAACACCACGCACTTGGTACACGACTGACCTAAGCCAGCTGTACATTACACAACTTAATATACTAACTCTGCAACTTAAAAAATAATAACATATCTAAAATAGAAAGCGTCACATGGTTAATGTCAGTCTTTAGGTCATGGCTCACACACTAGACAACGACACAAAGAGGGAATTATGAGTAATAGCTACAACAAAAGCTATGAATAAGCACTCATAATCCCAAATCTCGCAATTATCACGACACAAAGCTTAAACTGGACTAGATGATTTGTTTGCTCCTTTATGCACAACCAAGAAAAACAATTTTAGCATTTTACTATGAGCTGGGAAGAAGGCACGAAATTGTTAAGCAAGCGCACTGAAGTTCTGCTCCATACATTATAAAGGCACTTGTACATTCATCAAAGTTCAACAAGCAGCTTCTCCTTCTCTGCGGTCTGCAGTGTAAATAAATGTTTCTTCCCTTTTTTTCCCTCCCTTCTGGCTGTCAATGGCTAATACCTGAAACACTCATTCACTGACCATCTCACACAACAGGACTTGTAGGTTTTGAGTTGTAAATATCTAAATGTGAAAATACTGTAAGGCCTCCAATCATTTCAGAGCTTTTAACACTGAAGGTTAAAAGAATCGCTCCCTTCTCACAGCCTGACCTAGAAAATCACTTCTGGCTGTCAGAATTTGACAGAAGGGGAAATCGTGGTTAAAAATCATGCTTAATCATGTAGTTTATATCTAGCACTAGGTTAAACTTGGGTTACTTTCCTTGCTCTTTTGAAGAAGCTTGATGTAATATGTAAACACTTAAAGTTCAAAATATACCATACAACATCCCAATCCAAACACAGAAACTAAGCTGCAAAAATAGTCTGTTTTTGTGATGTCACAAAAACCAACACATTTACTTATACCAGCACAGTCAAGTTACAGAAGGTTAAACCCTCCCATTTATGTTTAAGTTATTTAAGGAGTGTTGAGCCTGAATTGATTTTTGAGTAAGGCTCAATACAGGGCAGCCAATCAGAACAGAGCTCATTGACATATCAGTCTTAAAGGCTCATTAACAAAAACTGGCTGTTTAATTCTAAGCAGTAAAGAGAGCTAAACAAAGGGGAATCATGAGAAATGTAAGATGTGGACCCTTTAATAAAGCCACACTTCCTGAGTACTGGCACTCTATGCTAAAAGAATGACTTTAAGCTGACATGGCTTGTGTTGACCAGACAGTTTTGTCTGCTTTCTTCCTTTAAAGTTATACAGAGGAACAAGACAGAAACAATGTTTCCAGAAAGGAAAACTGCCATTTATTTCATTTATGTATTTTGAATGGTTCTTTCAAAATAATCTGAAGCAAGCAGCAAATTACATACACTGTAGTTATCGCCCAGGTCCTGGATACAATGAGTGAAGTGTACAGCACTAGGGAACCACGTAGAATTAAACTACAAATATATCATGTAGCACTAATCTAGGCTATAACTTCACTGTGAAAGTGAACAGAATGAGTCTTGCTGGGTACGCACAGCTCAAATTAACGAAACAAGCATTAAATCCCCAATCTGTCTTCTGATTATTTGACTTGCTAGACAAAAATGACTGTCACTGGTACAGTCACCTGGAATTCAAGACTGCTGACACTATTTCTTGGCTGCTCTCCTGGAATGCAGAAATGAAAGCCAGCCTTCACATTAAATTGGAAAAGTCTAACTCAGTAAAAGCACTGTAGGGCCAATGCACCCATTAAAGGGGAACACCACTGATTTTTCAAAAAAATTGACATGATTAACTAGTTAAAATTTAAGCAATATCACTCAAAGTCATTAACATTACATATAAAAACTCAGAAGACACATGTAGGTTCACTGGTGGTTTTGGATTTGTAAATAAAATGGCCATGTGTTGTAGACATGGTGACGCCTGGTTCCTATCACCACCACTGTAAAGAAACTAAAGTCTGTAAGTTTTCTCCTCACTGAAGCATTTCACATCAAACCAGTCTGAATGACTTCATCTCGAGGACTGAATTAATCTGGAAATTTTGCTGAATTGGTGGAATTCCCCTTTAAAGTGCAATAGCATAGTTTTTTCCCCCCACAGGTGATTGCTATAGGTGACTATTGTCTGAACAGACAATTGCATTACTGAAATGGGGTTAATTAAAATAAATAAATAAATAAATCAGCGTTGTGTTTATAGCCTGGCTTCCAACAGTGTTACAGCTTGCTATGCTGAAATATTTAGTACCAGGACATGTTACATGTGAATGGGGGCGCAATTGTGAGCAACCACCTGCTCCAAAGGGACTCGGCTCCTCCTCCTCCTCCTCCATAACAACTCTCATTTCAAAAACAGCTGTTGCACATTATTAAGCTTTAGCACCAACAGAGTTACTTCTAAAAGACTCCTCAGTGCTCAAAAACAAGCTGAAATGACTGTTGCTCAAGAAGACAGTACAGAGAAATCATTAATTAGCGAGAAATGAGACGATGCATTTGGTAAAAACAGTGGCCACGGGCCCCTGTCTCTCTCAGGCAGGAAGCCCAGTAGACTACAGCATTCCCAGGTGGCAAACTGCTTTTAGAAGTAAATACACCGTTTGCCATGTCCTACTCTAACACATCAGGCTTTAGTTTCGTTACTCGTGAAACGTCGCCGGGAAAGGATCTGATCTAGATTTACTCGGATTTTTTTGCCATAAATACGCTAGAGCTCGTTGTCATATGACTGACTCAGTAAGCTTCACAAGCAATGGCATCACACAGGCCGCTAACGCTGTTCGACCTGCAGTTAGCCGCTAGCTAAACACCGAACAATTAACCGCGATAACTGTAGATCTGCTCCACCGAAAATTTGCTCTTTGGTCCATTTCTAACAAGTTTAACAAACTAACGAGTGCAACAACCAACCGGCAGCTCGCCGGCTAACGATAACGCCTGTCGCAGCAAAACAAAAAGTAGGCGCCTGACTCGTTAAGACAACTAACGTAATGTTGGCTAGCTAGCATACCTAGCATACCACTTCATTAAAACACACTGATGGAAGCCGGGAGCTATAGAGTGATGGAGTGAACGTGCAAAACGTAAACAGCATCATATTGTCGCAGTGTTACTAGGGGGTGTCTAGATCGCAAGGAGCAAGAATATTTTTAATAATCGATTGACAAACAACGCTAGCTAGTTAGCTAACTAGCTATCGATACCCAACATCTGAAGCCTTCACGCCATGAGCAACTTGCCATTTAGATCTATGTATGTCAATGCTAGCTAGACGAGGCTGAAGTCGGCTTCTTGTTCGATTTTTTCCTGTTCCACCTTAAATGGTGCAGCAGTAACATTCTGCACCATTTAAGGTGGAACGGGAAAATTCGAGCAAGAAGCTGACTTCAGCTTCGTGCTAGCCAGACCAAATTAACACCACACGTCGTTGGCCTTATTTAGCTAGGCAAGGTAGCTAACTTAGCTCGCTAGGTTATCTAGCTACACCCCCTTTTTCAAAAGACAGGGGCCCGGTGACGGTGGCTGTCCACCTTGTTGTGTGCTTTTTAGGAAGGTAGGTCAACATGGAAAGGAATTCAAGGCCTTGGCTCACCATGTTGCCCGAATCTCCTCCGCCGGTCCCGGGTGCGGTCTCGGTTCCAGTTCTAGTCCCAGTCCCGGTTCCGGTCCCGTCCTCCCCGCGGGTTTTCGGTCCCGGCTGCTCAGCCTCCTCCTGCAGCGGCTCTCCGCCCTGCTCTGAACTCATCGGCCGCTCCCTGGCTCTCACCGCTGCGTCGCCTCCGTCTTTCTCTCCCCGGCCGGGCCCCCACGTGTGTCACCCACCCCCTCTTCTTTATTTCACAACCACCAGCTAGCTAAGGAACAAGACCAACCGATGTAACCGTCACTACAGTCGCAGCCGGCTCCCTAGCACGGCCACTTTAACTGCTTCTCCGGCTGCTTATGATCGCTAAGCTAGCGCGCTAAATGGCTACAGCGGAGACTCCGAGCTGGCTAGCTGGCTAGGCTGACTATTCAATGCATCGATGATGATGATGATGATGATGATGATAATAATACGATGCGAGCGCGCGCGGACGGCTACGACAGCGAACCAACACACGACGAAGACGCGGCTCCGTCTCTAGCGCGTCTTTCTCTCCACAAACACAGGCGCCTGAGCCATGCGGCGCATTCCTGAAGGGGCAGCCCGAGCGGACACAGCGGACACGCACCTTCCCTCCGAGCAGGCGGACATTAATGCGCTCCGCCACAGTCCCAGCTTCCCCAGCGACCTCCCCATGCCCTCTGAAGTCTTTCTATAACATCCGGTTAGTGAAAGAATGGCTACCAGAAACATTTATAAAATAGATGCATAAAATAGATTATTAAAATATAAAATAGATTTTTATAAATAAAAATCAACACGATCATCATCTTTCGATCATTTATGCTTTAAATGTAATTTCGTTGCATATTTGCGGAGAAAGAGTACACTTCTGATTTTTTCAACTTACAACAAGCGCTGATAGTAATGTTAATAACGCCATGGTACTGCTTTTATTTTGTAATACAGGTTGTAAACATAAGTGTGGTGCCATAAAATTATCACTTTAAGGGAAAAGTTACATTCATAAATGTCGATTGACATGTCAGATTTTTGTGTCTATCTTGTAACGCTATGTACGTATATAAAAAATTGAAAACAAAACACCTATATTTACTTCTACTACCATCTCATCTGCTTCCTTTGAAATGTCTCCCCTGTTCTTTTTTTCTTATTTTCTTTATTGGATTTGTAATTCTGTGATCCAAACATGCCTTCCCTCAAATGCAATGATCTGTTATGGTTATTTAGGTTAATATGGTCAATTAAAAAACAATGTATGAGCTCAGAGCTTCATTCATTCGTTGAATCATTTTTGAAGTTATATTTTATATACTTTTATGTAATATATATATATATATATATATATATATATATATATATGTGTGTGTATATATATATATATATACATATATATACATATATATATATATATATATATGTATATCAGCAATCACAGGAGTGATAGAGACTTTCAGATAATAGTGTGCACACATATGTAAGACATAACAAAAGGAAAAGCAGGTGTACACAGCTCCAGGCCTTGGAGGGGCCGGTGCCCGGCACAGTTTGGTGTTTTACCTAACACACCTGATTACACGGTTAATTACCAGGTTTAGTGGGTGTGTTTGAGTAGGGAAACTTCCAAACTGTGCTGTACACTGGCTCTCCAAGACCAGAGGTGTGCAACCCTGGTATAAAGTAACCATTATTAATTTAAATGAAGTAAGAGTAACCAGGTTGCAAAACGTTTACAGAAATGCATTGAAAATGGCACTGTATAAACTCAGAGTATTCATTTATTTAATTTTATAAAGGGCTTTTGTTATTAGTGATTTTTTATCCCAGCAGTCAACTGCCAGAGATATTGAGGCAATGATACCAGCATGATATGAGTGGACCAGTCACAGCAGTGCTGTAACCACGTCGGTGTCACTGCAGTGCTGAGAATGATCCACCACCCAAATAATACCTGCTCTGTGGTGGTGCGCTGGGACCATTGAAAAGTAGGGTAAAGGAGGACAAACAAAGTGTGCAGAGAAACAGATGTAATTGTAGAACAACAAAGTGCACCTATATGGTAAGTGGAGCTGATAAAATGGACAGTGAGTGTCAAAACAAGGAAATGGTTTTAATGTTACAAATGTATAAAGTAACTATCAACAATTTGAAGAAAATAAGAGTAGCCAGAGTGCAGAACATATACATTTGTAGAAATATGTTTTACAAATTCATTTTCATAACAAGCTTCTTTGTTTTTGGAGAAGGCCATGAGTTTTACATACTGCCTGGCACAAATGTGCCACATGGGACAGAGCTGTAGGATAATGTGACCCTGTAGACCTATAGAAACAAGGCAAATATTGCTTGTTGTGTTAGCTGATGTTGGCTGGCAAAATTGGTGTAATCATTTGTTACAAATCAAATGATTACACTGCAGTGAGAACCAGCCTTAACAGTTCTAAGCAGTGCACATGCATCTGTTTTGAGGGGTGGTGCTTAGAACACTGAAAAGGGACTATATTCATTTAGTAGTTGAGTTTTGCAACATTTAGCTTTAGACAACCTCCACCAAAATCTATGACTGCTCCTTTAAAGGAATGGTTTGGTGAAAAATCTACTTAACACAATTATCTACATACTTCAGATGTAGTCCATCAGCCAAGATATGTGTGGTGCCTGAAAACGTATCTAACAAACACTTGAAGATACCCTAATCTTTTCTAAAAAACACATCCTCAAAACTTTTTTCAACTCACTCAAAAAGCATCCAGCTCTTCATTAAGGTCATGCAGATGATACTTTAGGAGTTACTGTAAACTACAACAATGAACAAACACAACAACTGTGAAAAAAATGTGAATGTAACCTGTAGCATCCATATGTCTGTGTGATGCACATGCACAAAAACACAAATCAGATTTACACACAACACCCCTGTTGTCTAAAACAGCTGTCCCCAGCGTTCAGCTACTCAGTTAATGCTACACACTGCTAACCACATAAATGTCTGCTTGACCTTAAAGAAGACCGTGGTTTGAGAGGGTTGAGAAAAGTTTTGTGGATGTATTTAAGGAAAAGTTTTGGGTGTCTGTTGACTTCTTTTTTTTTTTTTTAAATACGTTAGCCTTGTAGCTCCAGTGCTAAACTAAAATGTAAGTGAAAAATTTGATTTGATTGTAAATTTGAATGTAAATTTTCTGCCAAACCATTTAATTAACCCCTTAAATGACCCACTGGCAGGCCCAGCGTTTATTACACACTTCTGTAACCTAAGAATAGATCAGCCAGTTTGCATTGAAGTCCCTGTAGTTACTGGATAATAAGCTTTAGTATGTAACAACGATGGTATTTTAAAGGGTTAAGGCACGATTTGGTAGTAGATGTTTAAAAGTACAAGGTATGTTAAGATCATAGTGGACCCCAAAATTACAACTCCTCCAACTCCGCTGCAGAAGATCACCAAGGTCCCAAACATGGACATCTGAAAGGTCTGGAGGTCTGAAAAGAGAGATAGAATACAAATGTTGCACAGCACTGAAGCCATTTGATTATGCTCTTCAGTTGGTTCCTATATTGGATTCAAGAACAGAATAGTTAAATCTGTCCTGCAAGTGATGTGACTCACTTTGCTTTTCACTGTAGAAGATTCGGACAGTCTCACTGTTCGACTCCACATTAAAAAAAAACATTTCATTATGACAGGAAAAGGTTTGTGTTTCAGGTGAATAAATGAGCTCAGTAGAGGAACAGCTTTGTTCACAGCTTTCTTTTCCTGATGTATTTGACAACCTACACCGAACACAAGCCCTGGAGGGAATAAAGAACCAATATGAGTAAAATAACCGAATTTATATTTTAATGAGATGTCCTACTGGTCTGATCTTCCAGACAAGGCTAGAGTCTTTAGTAAAACTGCTCTGGTAATAGACATTCTACTATGAAGTCTCACACACAGTGGCTAGGATGGGGTTTAATCTGTGTCTAGACAGCCAGAACACAAGGCTCTTGGGTTTTTAATTCTTACCCATATTCAAGGCAGGGATACAGGGCCTCATTGCAGTGCTTGCCTTTGAAATCTGGATTGCATATACATCGATTACATTCACAGTGCCCATGATCACTGCATATACTCCTATTTCCTGTATGGCACTCATCTGCAATGGTAGGACATTCACAGGCAGGCCCTTCATAGTTTGGGTGACATTCACAAGTGCCACAGTTACATCGCCCATTTCCTGCAGAGGCCAAAAGAAGGCTCAAGTCAATAGATGTGCTAACAAATGTATAAAATAACCATATTATCAAAGGTTTGTGGGCATCTGCTCATCCAGTGTTCCTTCAAAAATCAGAGGTTGATTATTTATGGGAAAACCAAAATTCCTTACTTTGTTTGATGTACTATATAAACATGATTAAAGTTTCAAAATGTACCCCTTGCTCCACCGTTCACACATTCCATAGATGGAAACTCAGCAGCAAAACAGCCTAGTTTGAAGTAATTGTTTTGGCGATGTCACAAAAACCAAGACATATATCCGCCTATCCAGCCTACAGAAATTTACCCCACTCATGTTGAAGTTATAAGGCGTGTTTCTGTCCAGGCTGCTTTTTGAATGAGAACAAGAACAGGGAAGCCAATCAAAATAGAGGTCATTTGCATATATTTGTTTTAAAGGCACAGTAACAAGTACAGCCTGTTTAATTCTAAAGGATTAAGAGAGGATGGAAATTGTCATTCAAAATGATTTATGGCTGCTTTTGGTACAAAAACCCACACAAAGGTCATAACTGGACCTCGGGGGGAAAACAAAATACAAGAAAAATGGATGAGGGGCCTTTAATAGGGAATATGCACACCTTATTAATTAGAGGATTGGGCTTCACGGCCCAGTGCTGGGGGACGTTATATCTCTCTGTATGACTATTCAGTACCTGAATTCGCTGATTAAAGGGATTTGGATACTTTTGGAGATACGTAGAAAGTAAATGGATCCTAATTCTTGGGCAATATCACGAAAGACTTACTATAAAAAAATGAAGATACAGCAGTAAATCATTGTAAATCCTGCTGAACCTTTTGTTTTTGGGGCTGAGCCCTTCCCTACCTCCACAGATGAGGTTTTTGTGGTAATTGCAGCTGGTGTCATCACACTGGCAGTGCTGGCCTCGGTAGTGACTGCGGCAAATGCATTGACCACATAGGCAGCTCCCATGACCGCTGCAAATTTGTGTGCTGTTATTGTGTGTGCATGCAGCATCCATGGTCAATATGGAGTCTGCATTCTGCTGCTTCTCACACTCGCACGTCTGACCAATGTAGCCTTCATCACAGCTGCAAACAAAATGCACAAATACTACTTACACGTGCAAAGACAATTCAGAAGAATACTCTTAAAAATTAAGGTGCCAAAAGGGTTCTTTGGAGTGGTGCCATAGAAGAACCACACTGGGTTTACTAAAGAACCTTTCAGTGTTCTTTTTTTAAGGAATATATATCTCTATCTGTCATATATACAACATACAGTAACACACTTATAATTGACCATGTGCTAATAATGACTGACGCTCTCATTCTTACAGAGATGGAAAAACTTTGACAGAAGTCCTCTAAACAAAACTGCAGTTAGAGCGATGGCAGTAAATTAGTATTAATTATAATTATTACACTAAAATGATGAAAAGGCGTTACTGAGGAATGTATAATGCCTGACATAAGCTGTCCTGGTCATCTGAACCAATCTTACTCCTGAAACTGAAAAAGTTTTGGAATAATCTGTGTGGAAGACAACACTTCTGAGGTAAGTTTAACTTTATTTGGCTAAGTGTATTTTCAAAAATCAATTTGATATGATGTCTAACGATAAAGAACATTCCAGAAAAGGGTTGAGATCAGTTAGCTAAATTGTTAGCTTAGCTGCTGACATTGTTTCATTAAAGTTTGCTCAAAAGCCTTGTGTAAAATGTGAAGAGTCCTTCTCAGCATCTCAAATTGCTCTAACTAGCTCAAGTGTAAGCTTTAGCATTAGCTCCTCTAAAGGTGCAGCGTCTGTCACTAAAACCCCTTCTTGATTACACATAAAAACCTGCTGCTTTAACGTCAAGTGCCTAAATGTTTTCCCTGGTTTAATTAATGTTAACAAGTTTCCAAAATCCAGTTTTTGTTCACTAAAATTGGCCTATATTCACATTTTGTGAGTTAAAGGTGCAGTGTGTAAGATTTAGTGCAATCTAGTGGTGAGGTTGCAGATTGCAACCGACTGAAAACTCCTGCCTCACCCCTCCTTTTCCAAGCATGATGTAGAACCTAAGGTGGGCACCATGTTTTTGCTTTTTTGATGACAAGGATTCACCCTGCTTTGCTTTTTCTTGTGCTGAATAATAAGTATGATCCTTCATTTGTCAGAAGTTGTTTTTTTCAGACTTCTTACAACACAAAAAGGTTGGCCAGCCCAGGCAACAACCACTGATTCTTCTTCTTTTTGCATCTTCCAACCAGTGCTACAGCACCACCAACTTTAAGCTGCTGCTTTAATGTAAAAATGTGAAAGGTACCCTCTAGAGCCAGCGTTTGGTTTGTCTAATAGTCTATGGTCTAATAAGGCCAATGCCCCAGGAAAGGTTTTGAAATTGCCACAAAATCCAACACATTTAAGTACAGTATATCCGCTTATTCAGTCTGTAGCAGTTTTGCCCCATCCATTAATGCTGAAGTTACAAGGGATGTTTCAGCCCAGACTTCTTTTTGAACAAAACACAATACAGGGTATCCAGTCAAATCAGAGGTCATTTACATATATCAGTCGAAAGGTACAATAACAAATCAGGGAATTACAACTGTTTTTGTTATAATATAATAAACTAAATAAAATACAAGAAAATATGGGTATCAGGGTATAGGGCCTTTAAAAGATGATTCAGCATTACTCTAAAGAACCTTTCTTGCACCTTTACTTTTAACTGTGTACAATTTGTCTCTTGTGCACTTCCACAATAGACATATTGTTAAACAAATACCAGCTTCCGCCTCAGATCATTTAGCAATTTCTGCGTACAGTTACACAAGAGGAAATGTCTGAAATGTAACCATTCTGAAAACCGTGAGCCAAGGTTTAGATGGGGACCTGCCTGCAGATGCCACATGTGTATGTTCCATTGCCATGACATTCCGTTGACTGCTTCTCTGTGTCGCTGCAATCGCAATCGCAGATTGTCTCCACCGTCACGGAAAGCTCTTCATTAAGGCCTTGAGGTTTGATAATGAAGGACTGGATGTCGGAGAAACATACTGAACTGCTCACCGTGACGGTGAAATTAATCTGCAAGAGAAAAGCAAACGTTCAGAATACTGTAAGTACTTGACAGTTTGAAAACTGGTTAACATTCATTTTTATTTTTACACCACTACCTACAGTTGGCTAGTTTGGATACCCTGGTCAGATTATATATTTTGTTGATTTTCTGAGTGAAAGTAAGTTAACACATCCTCTACAAGAACACACTTCTGCACATTTTAATGCACAATTACTGTTTATTTGCTGAATTTAACATATTGGGGGGAAAATAAAACAAAATGCAAAAATTATGGCACATTTTATATTTTATGTTAAATTTTCCCCTCAATTTATTTAACTAGGTACTGAATAAATACAGCAAATAAAAAATTGTGCTGCACTAAAACTAGCAGTCAAAAATCATTGAAGCCTGAGCCTAACAACAGTGACTAAATGCATTCATCTGAAAGTGATGAATCAGCAGCATTGATTTTGGAATGTCCAGTAAAGTATGAATTTTTGCCCTTTTTAAAACCTAAAACCCCAAAACAAAGCTTAGTGTGTTGTTTGTATTGTCTAGATTCTACCGTGTAAATATGTGGGTGTACAAAATAACAAAAATATCATGTCATATTCAAATGCGAGGTCAGAGATTTACACCTTTTTTTTACCTGCTGAGCGAAGCCTACGTTTCTGCACTCTCCTCGTCTCTGGCCATGAGTATTGGTGCCATCGCTGCAGTGTGAGCTGTAGGAGATGTCCAGTCCTGCTGGAGCTTTGTGATGCTCCAGTATCAGCTTAGAAACCAAATCCTGTGAATATTGTAGTTTTCTTTGAAGGCTTTCTTCAAGCTAGTAAACCAAGGTGCAAAATACAGGGGGCCTGGTGGTGGTGCCGAGGGGGGGGGGCTGACTAACCTCTTGGACCCCCTGAATGTCTCAAAATAAAATTGTGGGGGGTCTCCGAAAATAAACTTATTATGACATTTTCACGGATGTTGTTCATCAGGTAAAAACAGGTCCTCAAATACAAATTCAGTGAAAGGTCACTGTTTAGCTGCTTAACCCACAATCGGCGAGCTTCTCTCTTCGGTATTCTTAACTAACTAGAGATGCAGCACTAGTCTGCCTCAGGGTGGTGCTGTAGCAAATTAATTTACCCAAGTTGGTCCTTCATAGCTTAGCAACTGTAACTATGCCCAGGATACCTTTGAGAAAATGTACAATATGCCATAACATATTTGCAAATCTGAAATCTGAAAATAGCATTTCCAAAAGACAAGTTGTTAAACTAAACATTTTGTTGCCGTTGAAGCTAGCACCAGTGCTGCTATGGCGAGTGAGTTAGCAGCTAGCCAGTGCTGGAGCAGCCAGCCAACATTTCACACACTTTATCAAACCATGATTTCATAACTCCAGGTTAGTTTCTAAATACATGATTTGAAGGCAAATTTCAGTGATCTTTCAAAAATTCTGCATAATTGAGTTGTTGAGTGTTTTTTTAGTGGTGATGATAGGAACCAGGGGTCAGCAATAAAAACGATCTCCCAGGCATCAGATAGCGTATTTATAACCACTTCATGTAATAATTTTCTGTAAGGTAGCATTTAGAGGGATTAAATGCTTCGGACGTCTGACTCCCCTCACCACAACTGACCAATTCTGACTCATTCTGAGCATTTAACATCAGATCACTATGAATGACACTGTTTACATCTTCATATACAAATGTTGAAAATTTGGAAGAATTGTATTTGAAGGGTCAAGAAAAAACTGTTCGCAGGCCTACTATTTTAAAACCCCGATTTTATTTTCACAGTATGCTGGTTTACTTACATTGTAGGCATCAGAGATGAGCTGTAAAACATTACTGGAGTCATCCTCCAAAATGCCCACCACTGACTGGGGAATTAATTCACTGACTGCCTACAAGGTCAATGCATTTAAAAGTGTGAGAATACAGCAGAGAATATAGATGTAAACGTTTTTGCAAAAAAAGTTCCACATAAATAAATGAAGACAATGACCTGATAGCTCTCAACAACTTTCTCAGTAATCGCAAATATTATTTTTATATGGTTCTTAGCAAGGACCTCGGAAAGATGGGCAATCGAAGGGTAGTCCTAAAAAACAGCATGATGGGAACACATGTAAACAACATGACTGTCACTGAAAATCATTCAATAAATGTTATAAAACGGTTATACAGACTGCTATATCCACATAAAAGGGTATTTTTGTGTGTCTTACGTAGACTGTGGCCTTTTCGTAGAATCCCATACTATTTAAGTGGCATTTTCCATCATTTGGCCTGACAATACCAGCGAGCCTGCCATCTCCAGCCATGTGGAAGAGATCATCAGAGAGGTACACCAGGATACGGGTCACGTTGCCCCACCCGATTTCTTTCTGAAGAGAGCAGCAAACTGAAGATCATTCAAATGCAGCAAAACTCATTTTGATTTGTATTTGGAAACTAAAAGGAGACACTTATTTACTATCACAGTCTTTTATTTATCAGTCATTTTGTTGTTTTCTCACAACAATTGTATTGGCCTTCTCATCTGTATTTTATATTTTACAAAGTTTTACTCATTTATTTAAGTCTTTTTCTTTCTTCTAGATTTTGTTTCTGGTCCCTCTTATAAGCATTTGTTTAAAAAAAAAAGAATTAGGTTGTCTCGACAAAGCAACCTCCTGGGACACCATAGCAGTGGCCAAGCAATACCTTAGCAACCACCTGGGATATCATACCAACTGGCTAGCAATACCTTAGCAACCACCAGGCATAGCATACCAACTGGCTAGCAACACCTTAGCAACCACCTGGGATAGCTTAGCAAAAGCCTAGCGAAACCTTAGTAACCTGGGATACAACAGCAATGGCCTACAAACACCTTAGCAATAACCTGGGATGACACAGAAATGACCTAGCAACAACCTAAAAACCACCTAGTTATTATATTAACACAATTAAGTTATCAAAAACAATCAACAGCTACCCACAACTGTTTTAACTTTTAAAGTGTATTTAGTTGTTTTTTTCAAGACAACCTAAAGTGTTTTCACAAACTTTCCCTATCTAGTTATATTATCATCATCCAACATCCTTTTACAGTTACCTCACATACAGCAACCTGCATTACTCCGTCAAAGCCAGACTCAGGCAGGTCCTCGTTTGTGGAGATTTTTTGCTTGCTGACCTCTGTCTCAAATTCCTCCATGTTGTCAGTGAGCTTTAGAACATGCTGGAAGCTGAACGATGGCTGACACTGGTTCAGGGGGCAAGGATTGGCCAATTTTTTTGGATTTATGTTAACGTAGGGACTTTCACGCTTGTCCACAAAAGCTCCAAAACCTGCACGTAGGAAAGGTAGTTAGTTACATTACTGGGTGACAAAACACACTATTTAACATCATCATTTCACTATAAATCGTCTGCTCTCTCTGGGTGAGTTCAAGACTATAATTGCCCATCAGGTTGTTAAAAATTTTCTATAGTACACATGAAAGAACTTTCAGCACTGTGAGAAGGTCAGATACCACCCTTCATTTGTTTAATTTCCAGTTGAAATAATAAATACAACTTATTCATGATTCAGGAGAATTCAAACTACTAAAATATACACAGAACACCACCAAACACCACTTAAAGCTTTCATCTTTGAGAGACAGCAGAAAATCTAGCTCAGCCATTGCTTCAGATCTGACAAAGAAACAGCTGATGTTCCCAGAACAATGGACTGGCCACCCAGGCGTCCAGACCTCAACATCACTGAATATGTTTGGATCGTGAGAAGCAGAACCAACTTCTAAGACTGAACTTTGGAGGTGTTGAAAAATATCCCTGCAGATTTAATTGAAAAACTGAAAGCAAGTCTTCTGAAATGAATGGATGCTGCAAAAAAAGAAAAAAAAATTAACACATTAAATACTGAAAAAAAAAGATATTTAGTTGTTGAGGCTTCTGAGGCTAATTTTCTGTTAAATACATGCTTTTTTCCCCCCGACATCGAAATATGATGAACTTATCCTTAAAAGCCAGTTTGAGTGGAAATTACAGTACTGAACATCCATGAGACTAAAAAAGGACTAGACAATTAAAACAAAAGTTGGTTAAAAGCTTACAGAAGGACAGTGAAATGCAGCCCATACAAACACTGGTTCAAAACATACAAATAGCGAAACAGTAATATTAAAATACAGTAAATCCAATCAAAAAAAGAGTTAGATAGGTTTTATATAAGGATATGAATGTTAAATCATTCAGCACACGCACCAATCCTCACAGCTTGGGTGAAGTTCTTCAAAGTAGAGACGACATTACGGCCCAGTGACTTCACATTCTCCAAATCATCTCTCATGGAAAATGAAAGATCCATAAGGTAGTACAGGTCAATAGGGTAGCCCTCAGCTCTTTTGAACACCACCTCAAACGTGTGGGGAACTCCTTCAAAACAATGCAAATATCAGTCTATCAATAAACAGTACATATAGATCACATCACATAGACAAATACATTTTGTTTTCTTTTGACAGTGGAAATGTTACACTATGTTATAACATGTTATAAACTTGTTTGGCAGTGTAATTGGTTTAAAGAGCAAAACCTCATTTTTGAACTTTTTGATGTAGTATAGAAATTATATACTATTGTATAAAGTAGTTTGACTTAAGTTTCAAAATGTACCATTTACTTTCTATTCTTATGCAAAGCAATAGCAATAGCAATGCGAAAACAGTCAAATAGAATTTTTAATTTAACGTTGTAGTGATGTCACAAAAACCAACACATCTGCATATATCCACATTTTCAGCCTGCAGCATTTTAGCCCTGCCTATTCATGCGCACCAACTCTGAGCTTGAGATGGAGCTTCTGTGGTCGAAGCTGGACCACGTTGTCCAAACTGCTGCCCAGCTTTGTGTCAGTGATGCTCTGGACGTTAGGCTTGGGGTCAATGATCGCTGAGCAGTTCCTTCTCCTCAGACCCTCTGCAGTGTCACAACGCTTAGAGTCTGGCTCTCCTGGACTCAGAAAACCCTTCAACCACACACACACATTCATCACTGCAGTTGTCATGTTTAAGTAGTATTCTGACAGGAGAAAACTAGCATTGTAAATAAAATGATGTACAGTACTGTGCAAAAGTCAGAGATTACTCATCATTGATTTAACAAAAAAATTACACAAAAGCTTCAACAACTAAGTATTATGTCAGATCTTTCAGTATTTTGTGTGCCCGCTCTTTACCTATTTAACAGCTTCTAGTCTGTTAAGGAGACTTGCTTTCAGTTTTTCAAAGAAATCTGCAGGACCTTTTTCACACCTCCTTGTATTTTCTGCTTCTCATGATTCAGTAATTCCAATTACAAATTTATCAGCAGTCCATAAAACCTTATTCCACATCAAAGATGTCCAGTTTCAGTGTTCTAGTGCAAATGTCCTTCTTTTTGTCTATTTCTTTTTTTCAGTAATGGCTTCTTGACAGCTACACATCCTTTCAGCCCCATAGCTTTGAGAAATAGCTGTTGATTTTTTCAGATCTGAATCAAGAGTGGAGCTTGATTTTCTCCTCTCTTTCAAAGATGAAAGCTTTAAGTACTGTTTATCTGACAGATTTGGTGGTCTACCACGTCTTGTAGGGTTGTAAGGAGACCCGTTTTCTCTGTATCTTTTTTTTTTATTATTTCCAGGTTTGCAAACTCCATTTTTTTCAGTTATTTGCCTTTGGTTTTCCCCTTCATTATGCAAGTGGATTATCTTACATCTCCTCAGAACCATCTCTTTTAGACATTTTAAATGCACATGAATAGGAAATGTGTGAGGCAGCTGAGGTGAGTTTGGGTAGTTGTTTGAGTAAATGCCTGTGTCTCATTGAAGAGGAACATGTCAGTGAGAGCTTTGGGAGCAGCTTTTGTTGGGAGGTTGTAGCTGTAACTTGCTGCTTTTAAGGTGGACGAATGGGAGAGTTAAAGTGGCAGAAGGTGCACAAAAATAAAAAGTGGACAAATTAAATACTGACTGATTCATTAAATCTCGAGTTGGAGGATTTGGCCTAATGTTCTGTGAAATATATGTTTAGCTCTATATAAAGGGTACAAATCTTGATGTGTCGAGGTACATTAAAAGCATTTTACTTCTCCAGTAAAGTCACTGTTTAGGAAATTGATTTGTTGGCATAATATTTTAAATCTTCATGATGACACCAGAAAAACTGTACAGACAATTTTGGAATGTTCAACTGCTCACCTTCTGCTTACACCAAGCACAGCTGGCATGCTGCACACACTCTGAGCAGGTAGGATTGGACTGGCACTGACCTACAGTGCCTGGAAACAGAAGATGTTTGGGAAGTCAAAATCATGTTAGAAGAATAATGTTTAGGAACACAAAATGGAGTTAGAACTGAAGTTCAACAGGAGGACCATGCCTGAAGCCCCTCCCCTTTCAACCTATCCTAAGAATTTCCTGTTGTTTCCTGTGATGAAGCTTTCAAACCCCACCTCCATCCTGTCTAATCCCTGTTCCTCAGTTCTATCTGTGAGTCCTACCTCTATTCATCTAGATGGGGGTCCAGCCTTCTAGCTTAAAGAAGAACCTGCCCAGAACTTAGAGTTCTCAGGGTTCTCTCCACTTCATCATCATACAGTCTCATCTCAAACTACACTATATGTTGAAGGCATGGTCCAAACTCGCAAACTGCAAATCATCAATTATTGGTAACACTTTATAATAACAGGCCCTAATAAGCAGCACCTTAATATTCATCTAAGAGTTTTTAGTTAGTTACATCATGGTTAGTTATATCATGGTTATATATGCATTAACAGAAGTGAATTATTAACCATTTACTCAGAGACACAGATAATGAATAATTATTTTGAATTGTAGAAATCTAATCATTAATTATAGTTTGTTATTAATGACCATTTGATTAAAACTCAAAAATTCTATAACTTGAAATATTAAACATGTAGCTTATCTTAATAAACATGAGCATTTTGTCTATGTCCTGTTTTAAGTGATTACATAGTTATTACATGCTAGTTTAACTGTGATACATAAAGGTGATGGGTAGGCTATCTGATCAGCACGCAGTCTACTTGAATGTAGCTACCATGTGATCTACAAATAGTGCAACAATTTTTGAAACTGTGTCACTTTTTCAGCCATCCATATGGTGTATGTTGATGGCAGCCGTCTCTGTCTCTCCAGAACTGGAGCTGCCCAGGGGTGTGTTTAGGGTCTGGCTCTTGGGCTATAGCCACATGCTTTTTCTGTAGTCTTATTTACTGCCAAAATATTTTGTATGTGAATTATGGGCTCATATAAGCACTGAATCTTCAGGGTAATTGTATCACCGAAACAACCCTGTCTAAGCCACTAGATTTAGTGCCTTTTGAGACCCTTTTTACTTAGTGACTTTATTTATAGAAAACAAATCTCGCAAGGGGGAAAACAAGAAATATACATCTTTTGTAGGACTGTTGGTATTTATTCTCATGCATGCTGCCCATTTTCTTTATTGAGTGTTCCATAGTTTACCATTGCGTGCTCATTGTGTTAGGCTACTGTATGATTTTCTGACATGGGTTACAAAGTTACTTAGTTAGTACCCAATTTTAGATGGAGAGATGAGTCGGTCTTCACCATAGGTTATTACAGTACAACAGTTATCAAACACATTGGATATTTTAATGATATATTGACCATCAAACCGGAAATGTCGCTGGTTTTCATTTCAGAAATCTGGTCACCTTACTGTATAGTGCAATATTTTCGGATTCTGCAATTTTGTAGTGCTGTCTGAAAAATTCAGATCCAGTGCACTCAAACAATCCCACAATGCACCGCAATAAGTGTACGACTGATGTACACAGCCAGACAGGGGATACCCATAACGCACTGCATTATTTGGTTTGAAGATGCAGCTTCTCTGAGGAGGATTACCGAGCCCAGCTACAATGGCAGTGTCTTCACAGAGCTCTATTCAGACCTGTTACAGATGCAAATAAGCTCTTCTCAGGTCTGCCGTCAAATTCAGCAGTTATATTGCACTGGTAGTGTTTATGCCAGTGTGTATACAGTGTATATAGGGTATACAGTACAGGGTATAAAGATCAGGAAACCATTTTGTACACAGCACTGAAGTAGAACCATGGTGTAACGCCTTTCTTTTTTTCTTGCTAGCCGTGTAGCCTTTAGCATACTAATAAGCCAGCTAGCAGAGGAAAGTGATGAAGTTGTTTGTGCAGTCATGTATAGGTGGAGTAGTTTGTACCTTAAAGCCCAGCAAATTAAATGTTATGGTTTTGAAATGTTAATGATTTAAAAGTAGTTTATTGCTTTGGCTTATAAATAGCTTTGTCTGCCATTATTTTCGGTTTGAAAAGGGAAATGTGTCAGGTCACCATGATTTCTGGGCAAGTTCTGCTGCTGAAGTCGACACTGGTGTTCGCTCGCTCTCTCGCCCCTCAGAAGGCTAAGCTAACATCCCGTCACTTCAGCTAATAAAGTAATAGAACTGCCCTTAAGATGGTGCTGGGGATTCCCTCTGTCCTTTTTCAGCAGGGACTTTTAACATTTATAGTTATACTTGTGAGGTTCTACAAGCCCTGCATCAGCTTTTGACAGCATCAGCTGTTTTTGTTACACCCAAGAGAATAAGCCAAGAGCCACAGTGGTGAGGAAAAACTCCCTAAGAGTAAAAAGGAAGAAACTTTCACAGGAAGCACGATTCAAAAGGGGATCACATCCTCCACTGGGGGATGATGAATAGTGAAACGATAGGACAACTCATTAACTATCAATAACAAACACTTAGAAAAGGAATACATTGCTAAATAAAGCGGCCTCTTGTTATAAAGTGTTACTGTACTGGGTGAAAAACTACTGAGGTACTGAGGGACTACAGCAGAACTTCTTAAGATATCCAGCATCTGTCATCAGTTATCAGCTTGTTAGCTGATTCCATTATTCTCTTTTTGAAGCAAATCATATGCTCTCATGAACAAATCATAATTAGTAACAAAAGGAATCAGTAACTAAATGCTAATGACTAACATGTAAAAAGATTAAATTCTTTTATCACAGATATATTTGAATAGCAGTAAAAATAGTATCATCTAAATATTAGATTGAGGATTTGACTTACCCCTAAGAACAAAACAAAACATGAAGACAGCCAAAGATATCTTCTGTCTCAACATTGTCCAGAAACAGAGTGAGTTTAGAGCTCAGCTAATTCAGCTGTGAAAAGAAAATATTAATTTAATGTCTGGAAAAAAGGTTTAAAAGAGTGACTCCTCATAGAGGTCTGGAGCTGCACAAAAAAAGCATGCGATTAAATATTTTGTACAATCAAAGATGGAAACTGTGGTGCATTGAAAGCAACTTCATGATATGGTAGAATGGGCACTGATCAGGCACACCCAGCAATGACCGTCCTTTATGAGTGGCTGAACATGGTCTACGATTTTCTTCATTTTACTCAGGCAGGAAGAAACAAAGAAAAAAATGCAAGAAGCACAAAGAAAATGAATAAAAATGCATTTCTTATAAAGGTAATATATTGAAATGTAGTTTGAATTATTAGGTAGGCTGATTATTTTCACAGCTGTCTGGGGGTTTCAGTTCTCTTACACTCAAGAAGCAGTGGGCTGTTCATGGTGTTCCACATCACTGATAACTCAGTGGGCACTGCATGCAGTGAACTTTACTTTTTTGCTCGAAGGTTATTTCACAGTAAATATATCATACACAGTACTGTGCAGAGGTCCACCATTTATTTATTTAATTTACAGTCAAAACAGCTGTTAAGTACAAGTTATCAACTTCTTAGTGTCAGAAAAAAACAGAAAATATTAATTGAATAGAAAATTAGTCAGAAGACTCAAACAATGTCAAAATCTTCAGTATTTATTGCCTTTATTACAGTTTCCAGTCTTTTTGTGAGGCTTTCAGTTTTTCGAAGAAATCTGCAAGGATGTTTTCCACTCCTTCAAAGTTCAGTCTTAGAAGTCAGTTGCATTTTCTGCTTCTCACAGTCCAAGTAATCCCAAACACATTCGGTGATGTTGAGGTCTGGACTCCGGGGTGGTCAGAACAACAACTTCTGTTTGATTTGAAAACCTTTTTTTCTTTTCAGTCAGTAAGGGCTTCTTGACAGCTACACATCCTTTCAGACTCATAGTGCTGAGTTGTCTTCTCACAGTGGAAGGATGGACAGAAACACCTGTGAATTTTTTTAGATCTGAAGCAGAAGTGGAGCCTGATTTTCTCCTCTTTCTTAAAGATGAAAGTTTTTAGTACTGTTAGTATGGATGGGGACAGTTTAGGTGGTCTTCCAGGTGAGTCTTACGAGTCCCATTTTCTAAATGGTTTTTTAATACGTTTTATAACAGTTTCAATCACAACTCTGTTTTCAAAAAAGTTTGGATGTTGTGCAAAATGTGAATAAAAACCAAATGCAATAATATGCAAATCATTTAAACCATATATTTAATCGAAAATAATGCAAAGACAACATACTGAATGTTGAAACTGAGAATTTTTATTATTGTTTGAAAAGTGTATGACCATTGGAATTTGAAATCTGGGACAGAGGCATGTTTACCACTGTGTTTCATCACCTCTTCTTTTAACAGCACTGTAAGTGATTGGGAACTGAGGAGTCCAGTTGCTGTAGTTTTCCTGCTTGATATAAGATTTCAGCTGCTCAACAGTTCAAGGTCTCCTTTGTCGTAGTTTTCGTTTCATAATGCACAAAATGTTTTTAATAGGAGACAGGTCTAGACTGCAGGCAGGCCAGTGTAGCATCCAAACTCTTACTATAGACCCATGCCACTGTAATATGTCTTGCTAAAATAATCAGGGCCTTCCCTAAAAAAGACGTCGTCTGGATGTATATTGTCCTATGTATATTGTTCAGCATTAATTGTGCCTTCACAGATGTGCAGGTCACCCATACCATGTGCCCTAATGCACCCCTATACCATCATGGATGCTGACTTTTGAACTGTGTGCTGATAACCAGCTTGGTGGTCTTTAGCCTGGAGGAACTGGGATCCATGATTTCCAAAAAGAATTTTCAAATTTTGATTCGTTGGACCACAGGACACTTTTCCACTTCACCACAGTCCATCTTAAATGAGTTTGGGCCCATAGAAAGCAGCAGCGTTTCTGGATCCTGTTTGTATATGGTTTCTTCTTTGCATGGTAGAATTTTAACTTCCATTGTTGGATGCAGTGATGAACTGTGTTCACAGACAGTGGTTTTCAGAGGTTTTTCTGAGCCCATTCAGTGATTTCCACTACGTAATCATGTCTGTTTTTAATGCAGTGCCGTCTGAAGGCCCAAAGATCATGGCTAACCAATGTTGGTTTTCGGCCTTGTACCATGCATTTAAAGATTTCTCTGAATTCTCTGAATCAGTTTCAACATTTGATCTGTTGTCCTTTTTCAATTAAATATAGAGTTTATATGATTTGCACATCATTGCATTCTGTTTTTATTTACATTTTGCACAGCCTCCCAACTTTTTTCGAAACTGGGTTGTATTTTCACTTGATTTTCTCTGTCATTACGCAAGTACATTATCTGATATTTCCACACAGGTGAGTAACGACAGCAGCGATATATATATGAAGTGTATGAGTGAAGTGTATGGTAAATGGTGACTTCCTAGTTTGGTTTGGTGCCTTTCTGCTGGTCTGTTTAATGAATAATGAATATATATGAATATGTATATAGGAACATATATAGATATAGCTATATATAGAGATAGCTAGTCTATCTTCTCCTTCAATTTTCTGCAATCAATTTGCAGAGAACTGGCATAAAAGACCCAAAGAAACTTCTGCTTTAGTTTATTCTGTTTAAATTAATTTTAATTGATTGCAGTGGTTACAGTGGTAACAGATTCCACAAGTGCATGGACAAAATATGACAAAATAAATGGTCAACAAAGAAAGAGGGCCATCACAAAAAAATGAAAACAATGAACAGTAAAGACTAGTGACATGAGAGAGATTGGATGTGTGGTCAGGTTTCCCCACATTAGTCCTTTGCTCTTCTCAGTCCTCATTTTACTCTTTCATTTTACCAGACAGAGCGACTGGAGCTCTTTTGCTGATAATATGCTCCATATGAGCCTGCTCAGAGGTGTCCAGATTGATCTTGTACTTAGCCAAGATCTTCAGAATAGGTCTCAACTTCAGCCACCACGTAGTCTTTGGAATACGGTGCCTAGAGAAAAGATTTGAGTAATAAAGAATGTAATTTGGATTTCTCTAATTTGGAGTAGGCTTACCATGTGCTTGGTATCACAGGCTTTATGGATCGATTTTAACTGATTTAGAAACATATTATGAATTATACACTAAGCATCACAGTTGTGCTGTCTGTTTGTTCTCAGTACTGCAAGTATGGAGTTTCACAGCAGGGATTTTTACCCTTTCATCCCTCGTTGCTCACTAGCAGCTCAACACAGTCAGAACACTTTACACACAGAGAGCTGATAGTGCCATAGTTAATCTGACAACACAGTTACAAGTAAAAATATAAATAAGTTGATTTCCATTCCATCGGCAGAACAGCCATTAGAGGGCCTGCAGAAAGAGGCTACAGCAATTTACCATCATCAGCAAACTATGGACAAATCAATGAGCAGCAAACTAACCAAAGCACCAGCAAAGTGGAAAGCATAGTTTGCCAATGATGGTAAAGATACCTGCACTATAACAGGAATCCAATAGGTGTCAAACATATGATTGCTACTGAATTTGACTAGTACCGAAATGCAAACTTACTCAAAATCAGTCTGCTCCTTGAGCTCAGCCAGGGGCTGGAACACCAGACCTCTCTTCCTCATGCCCAACACGCACGCAGAGTCCTCACTGTTGGCAAAAATACGCCCTGCACAGACATCAAGATGTTGTAATCAAAACCAGGGGAAGACATAACATATCCTAAAATCATTACATATACATATAAATCTGAGATACCAAAGATATAATTCTCACCATGTCTGTAACACTCCTTCAGCTTCTCAGTTAGCCAGAGAACAGACTTTGCACCCATCTTAGTGGCAAAATTTCTGTCAAATGGAGTTGGAGTACCACCCTACAAACACAAATTCATAGTAAAGCATTTTGATGCATTTGGGAAAATGCATTCAGTGCCAGCTCTACATAATAAGCAACATAGGCTGCTTAGGGCCCCGTGGCTGTCATGGGGCCCCAAAACAACTTCTGGATTATTAAGTTATTGGAGTAGAGAGAAAAAAGCAAGTGGTTAATCATGTCACAAAAAATGGAAAAGAAAAAGAGAAGATGAGGAGATTAAGTGTAAAAATGTACATTTTGTGTTTTTGTAGTGTTAACATTATGCCATCTATTTTGGCTGATTAAATCTTCAAAAAACAAACACATACGCAATTAACTTCTTGATATCAAAAAGATCCTGCTTAGGGCCTCCCAAAGGCTAGAGCCAGCCCTGAATGCATATCACAAGTCTCAATAGTGATTGTGTATATTGAGTTCTTGATCACTCACCTGCTGCATGTGTCCTAGGACATTCTTACGGCAGTCAAAGATGCCCTTTCCTTCTTCTGAGTACAGGTTGAAGATAAAGTCAGTTGTATAGTTGGCATTGCAGTTCTCATTTCTGTGAAAAAAGAAAGGATTTAAAGGGGCCATATTCTTCTTTTTTCGATATTTCTGTTTTATTATGTTTCCTTGAATTTCAATTATGTTTGTGGAGGTCTGTGTCTTTAAGATTGCTATATGTAAATGTGATTGCTGTTCTTAATGCCCTCCCTCATTCAAAAAGCAGTCCAGATGGAAACACTCCTTACAGTTTCAGTATGAATGGGCAGGGCTAAACTGTTGTAGGTTGACATATGTACATATGTATCTAAATGTATTGTTTTTTCGTAACCTCAAATTCAAAACAGACTGGAGCTCAACAACATACGGACTGCATAGATTTTAGCAGCCTATGGATCATATAGCCTGAGGAGTGAACAGTACTTTTTGAAACTTTAATACTGTTTACATAGTACATTGAGCTGTTTGCTGATGATATCGGCCCTAAAATTTAACAAAAATATATATTAATGTGTAACATAGCTTTGATCCAGTATATTTGCTAGAACCTGATCCAAACTGTGAACTCCAGAGGGGAACTCTAAGGGCCTTCAGAGAGGGCCTAATGATTTCTGGGAACTATACAATACAAGCCTGTAATTTTTTTTTTTAAATTTACACTCTGCAGTTATTACAGTGCTACTTTTGCTTTATTGGATGGAAACAAATTTTTGAAATGTCCAGGGATTGTTTTTCTCTGGGGTATAACTAAGTGACCTCTTCTGATGATTAGGACTTCAAGAGCTGAAGAAAAGCTCTAATGCGTTACAAACAAATAGCATTATTAGAAGCTATAAATGTCTGTGTTTAACCTAGAATGGCCAAAAAATGGTCATGTGAATTGCTGCTAACATACTACTAGAATCCCATACTGACGCTAGCAAAAATTAGCGTTATTGTAGAGGTGGGATTTTCCTCATGTTTTGACCAAGGTTGCACAGTCATGACCCAAATTTAAGGCCTACCTCTAATAGTCATGGTTTGTCACTGGTGAACTCTGACATCCTAACATGTTTTAGTTATAAAACATTACCTTTGACTGAGTATTTCTGACCGACACCAACCTGAGAATCAGCCCTCTCTTAACTGTTGTCTTCATTTTCTCTACCAGATGCTCCACATTTGTCTGAAACAAAGCAGTTTAGAATACCAGATTATAAAGAGAAGAACCTGCAGGACTGCACACACATGACTCCGCAGACTCAAGTGTTTTGCACGTTCACCTCTAAATCACGAATGTTGAACTTGTCCTCAAAGATGTATGCGGCATCTGCACCTGCAGCGAGGCCGGACATGGTGGCCAGGTAACCACAGTAACCGCCCATAGTCTCAATGATGAACACGCGTCGCTTAGTGCCAGCAGCTGACTGCTTGATCCTGTCACAAGTCTACACATGCACACAAGTCAATGAACAAATAATATAAAACACCTGTTATAATGGCCATGATTTTTATTATGTTACTTGTTGCCATGTTAAAATGAATTTTTCTTAAATATTTGGAAATAAAATACTTTGTATAATATACAACCGCTGTTAAAGTTTCCAAAGATATCATCCACTCCTTATACAGTCAATATATGGAAACTAAGCTGCAAAAACAGCCCATTTTTAATACAATATTTTTGTGATGTCACAAACACTAACATTTACATAATTCTGCCTATATTGGTTTAGCCCTACCTTCACACTGAAGTTTAAAGGAGTGTTTTGCCCTGGACTGCTTTTTGAACAAGGCACAACACAGGGCAGCCAATGAGAACAGAGGTTATTTACACATAACAGTCTTAAAGGCACAGTAACAAAAACAGCCTGTTTAACTGTATATGAAAAAAGGAGGTTGGAAAATGGTCGTGTAAAAATCAATTATGACTGTTTTGCATAAGGCAGAAGTTAATTATTGAGCTAAGTTTAGTAACATTTTATTTGGAGTGGTCCTTTGTAGATGATTAATAAACTCTTAACAGATTATCAGTAACACAACAACAACATATCAGTGAAGTAGCAGTAGTGAAGCATCTGATTAATGTGATAATGAGAGATCTGCTGCCAATTTTGAGTACATCATTTGTCTTGTACATAATTTGGTTTGTGTCAAAACAAAAAAACATTAAAGTATTAAAGTATCTGAAGTAACAACGCTATTTTTTCAGTGTGAATGGGCAGGACAGACTGACTTAGGCTGAAAGGGCAGTCACACAAAGTTCGTTTAAAATCTTAACACCCCCAGGCAAAGGACATAATAAAATAAGAAAAAGAAAATAAGCTAAAACAACCTCTATAGAGAACACACTTCAGTGCACCATCTCTACTGATTTACGTTTGACATATTGAAAAATATATATATAAAACATGCTATTTTTTTGCACAGACCACGTTTTATTATTTTTCCCCCATTATGTTAAATTCAGCAAATAAATAGTAATTGATTCAAATGTGCAGAAGTGTGCTCTCTTAACTTTTTTTCTCTTAGAAAATCAACAAAATTCAAACTCAAACTCAAAAATTCAAATTCAAAACTTCACATACGACTACATGAATGAGTGTTAACAATTTGAATGAATTTAAAACAGCCTGCTTTTCAGAAACAGGACTGTATGGACTGGAGAATAAACGGCACATCCGAACAATGTTTACACATTATAACTCATTTAAAAAAAGAGAGTGAGTTAGCTACGGCTCTAACCGAGGTGATGGTGTTCAGGGCAGTATCAGCCCCAATACTGAAGTCTGATCCAGGAACATTATTAGAGACAGTAGCAGGTATGACCACCATGGGGATACACAACTCCTCATACCTCTGTCTGGCCTGGACCAGCTCCAGACCACCTGAGAACGCCTGATTAAAAAACAAAAACAATTTTAGGTCTGAAAATCAGTGGTGCATATAGATAGATAGGACAGTCAGGCAATGTAAGAATGACAGCATGATAGCACTGAGTTTGATTTGTAGGTGGATTAAAATGAGGTTTTGTCACATACCTCGAAACCTCCTATAATGACCAGAGCATGAATGTTGTACTTGGCAATGTTCAGGCTTATCTCCTCTATGTGCTTAGCTGGAAGGGTTCTGCCAGAGAAAAGAAAGACAGCAGAGAACATCTCAGGCCAGAGATGAAAATAAAGAGGTTTGCTGAATAAATAAAGAGAAAATAAACAGTGATATTAACTAAATTGGGGTGCGCAATATTACAATAAATCACATCATAATACTGAATATACAGTGGGTATCATCAGCACTTCCAGAAAACTGAACTGCATATTTCAGAACTGCATGTTTCAGAAAACTGAACTGCAGAAAAGCCTAATATAACGATACACATTGTATATGATGAAAATGTCTTCAAGTAACAGTATATTTCGACCATATTGCCCACCCCTACTGATAAGTAAACAGTACCTTTTGGTGCCGAAAACTGAGCCCCCTTTTCCTGTCCAGCCGCCAACACTGTTCCAAGTGACAGACTCGATCTAAGGAAAGGATCAGACTCACAGTTCTAACACATATCAAACAAACAGCACTACTGAAACTGATTTTTTTAATGTTGTTCTGACAGACAAGCATTCAGTATTTGCTAAAGAACTTTTTGTGTGGCGTTTAGTGACCTTTCCTTGGGCCAAACCCTCGAAGCCGTCATGCACTGCCAGCATGCTGTGGCCCTGGATGATGCCGATCCTGACCGCAGCCCGCACAGCTGCATTCATGCCAGCACAGGGAGCCCCCACATTCAGCACGGCCACATTAATGTTACTCTGATAAAGAGAGGAGAGGGAGAGCCAGAGTGAGACAGAAAATGAGAGATTACCCATACATAGAGTTGTGCTTGAAAGTTTGTGAACCCCTTAGAATTTTCTACACAAGATTTTTCAGATTTTTACACAAGTTCTAATAGTAGATAAAGAGAACCAAATTAAACAAATGAGATAAAAATATTAGACTTGGTCATTGATTTATTGAGCAAAATGATCCAATATTACGTATCTGTGATGGCAAAGGTATGTGAACCTTTGCTTTCAGCATCTGGTGTGAAACCCTTGTGCAGCAATAACTGCAACTAAATGTTGATTACTGTTGATTAGTCCTGCACATCAGCTTAGTAGAATTTTAGCCCATTCCTCTGTACAAAACAGCATCAACTCTGTTATGTTGGTGGGTTTTCTCCCATGAACTGCTTGCTTTAGGTCCTTATGCAACATTTCTATAGGATTATGGTCAGGACTTTGACTTGACCATTCCAAAACCTTAACTTTATTCTTCTTTATCCATTCTTTGGTTGAACAACTTGTGTGCTTAGGGTCGCTGTCTTGCTGCATAAACCACATTCTCTTGAGTTTCAGCTCACGGACAGATGTCGTGACATTTTCATTTAGAATTTGCTGGTATAATTCAGAGTTCATTGTTCCATCAATGATGGCAAGCCATCCTGGCCCAGATGCAGTAAAACAGGCCCAAACCATGATACTACCACCACCATGTTTCACAAAAGGGATAAGGTTTTTATACTGGAATGCGGCGTTTTCCTTTCCCCACACATAATGCTTATCTTTTAAACCAAAAAGATCTATTTTGGTCTCATCCGTCCACAAAACATTGATTCAATAGCCTTCTGGCTTGTCCATGTGATCTTTGGCAAACTGCAGATGGGCAGCAATGTTCGTTTTGGAGAGCAGGATTTTTTCCTTGCAACCCTGCCATGCACACCATTGGTGTTCAGTGTTCTCCTGATGGTGGACACATGAACATTAACATTAGCCACTGTGAGACAGGCCTTTAGTTGCTTAGAAGTGACCCTGGATTCCTGTGTGACCTCGCAGACTATTACACACCTTGTTCTTGGTGTGATCTTTATTGGTTGACCACTCCTTACAGTGTAACAATGGTCTTGAATTTCCTCCATTTGTACACAATCTATCTGACTGTGGATTGGTGGAGGACAAACTCTTTAGAGATGGTTTTGTAACTTTTTCCAGCCTGATAGAATATCAGCAACTCTTCTTCTGAGGTCCTCAGAAATCTCCTTTCTTCGTGCCTTGATACACTTCCACAAACATGTGTTGTGAAGATCAGACTGTGATAGATCCCTAGATTAAATAAAAAAGGGTGGTCACTCACACCTGCCATTGATTGCCCACTGATTAAAAACACGATATATATAACAAAAGTGGTTTGCCGGTACACCATTGCTACGTCAGCGTCAGTGCTGAGAATGTTTCACCACCCAAATAATACCTGCTCTGTGGTGGTCCTGTGGGGGTCCTGACCACTGAAGAACAGGGTAAAAGGGAACAACAAAGTATGCAGAGAAACAGATGGACTACAGTCTGTAAGAGTGATAGTTGTAAAACTATAAAGTGCACCTAAATGGTATGTACAACTAATAAAATGGACAATGAGTGTACTTAATGAAGTGGCCTGTCTCTGCATACGTTTGGGATCACTGTCACAGTTGTCTATAAAATAAAAAAAGGCTACAGACAAATGTATGAAATGAGTCCATTAAGATGCTTCTACTCTACAAAAGATGTATTAATAATAATGAACAGAGCTGTAGATTATTCCATAATGACTAGAGTTAAAATATATTCTTGACACTGTAACATTTTATTAGAAGCAAAAAAATGGCCTTAACTTATAATGTAAGTAATATAATGTAATGTAAATCATTATGTACCATGTATATTGGTCCAATTGCCTTAAGAGTGATATACATAGAGTTTTATGTAAAGACCTGAACATCCTTCAGTCAAATGACATGTGCTGTTGATTTTCTAATTAAAAGTAAGTGATCACCTCCTCTAAACTTAATTATGGCACTTCTATGACAATTGTAGTGTCATTTAGTAGACAATTTCTTTCTTTTTTGCTGAGTTTAATATATTGAATAAATTAAATCTAAAATCTAAAATTTGCTTTAAGTTTTGCACCAACTTTTACACATTTTGTACTTTATTGTTTTCCCAAAATGTTAAATTCATCAAATAACCAGTTGTGCATTAAAATGTGCACAAGTGTGTTCTCTGTAGAGGGTGTGTTATTTTCACTTAGAAAGTTAACACAACATATGATGTGACCAGGGGTGACCACACTTTTACATATGATTTTTTATATGTTTTAGTAACATATAAAAAAAATAAGTTTTATCTGGTATATGTATAAAACATGTTATTATTATTACTGTTGTTGTTGTTCTAGTTTACTTGGCATAGAAACATGGTTTGAGGAACTGATTCAGCTGCTGTGTGTTAGAAACAGATGCAGTTAATAAATTAATGAAATGTCATGCTTCTTACTTTGGTCTCTGGAAGATGTACATGAGCCAGCAGCTTGTATGTGTTCCAGTTGTTCTCAAAGCTCCTGGACACAGAGAAATCATTGTGATTTCACATGACAAAGCAAATTTAAAAACTGATTATTCTACAAACACACTGAAGATGCCTTCACAACCACATACAGTATTCATCCCAAGCATAAAGGAAAACATAAAAACCAGTATTCAATAGCAGACACCACACAAAGAACAAACCCATGTTTGGAGCAAACTGACTGAACTGAATTAAAACACTTACTTTCCTCTGAGCTTCACAGCTTCGTCATATCTGCCCTCTTTCATGGCAATAGTAACATCTTTGGTCTGCAGGAGAGAAGGTGAGCGTCAGAGAGAGAAAATCAGAAATCCTCACCACACAGATCAGATGGCTCCACAGATGCTGAGAAACGTTTGCAGAATTACGCACCACTTGCACACATTCCATCAGCGGCAGTCGGACCGCCTGGTTCCCCGACAGACTGACCACACACGCTGGAGTGTCAGGTGTGGCCTCCAGCAGAGCCATCACAGCCTCCACACCCATCCTACTGCCCTGTTACACCAAACACACCAAACACACAGGACAAAACCGAAATGACATCTAAAAAACTGAGAGAAGCAAGAGGAAAAAAGAGAGAGAGAGAGAGAGAGAGAGAGAGAGAGAGAGAGAGAGAGAGAGAGAGACAGAGAGAGAGAGAGAGAGAAATAAAGAAAAAGAGAGAGTTAAAAGAAAAGAGAAAGAAAAAAGAGAGGGACAAAGAAAGAGAAAGGAAGAAAGAACAAGTGAGAGAGAAAGAAAGACAGACACAGAGAGAGAGAGAGAGAGAAAGAAAGGCAGAGTGGGGAGAGGGATATAGTGAGAGAAAGAATGAGCATGGAAAAAAAGAAAAAAGACAGACAGAGAAAGAGAAAGAAAAAAGAAAAAGACAAAAGACAGTGGAACAGTGAGACAGAAAATGAGAATGAGACAGAAAAAAGAAAAAGAGTGTGAGTGATAAAGAAAGTGAGAGAAAGAAAGAAAAAGAGACAAGAAAGACTGAGAGACAGAAGGGAAGAGAAAAAAGAGAAAGATAAATTAATAGAGAAAGGAGGAAATAGAAAAAAGAGAGACAGAGTGGGTCAGAGAGTAAAGGTTAGAAAAAGAGAGAGAGAGATAATGAGAAACAGAAAGGGTGAGATAGAAAGATAGAGATAAAGAGTGAAATAATGAAAAAAGAAAGTAGAATGAAAAGGAAAATAGAGAAAAAGAAAAGAAAGGGGTAAAGAAAAAAAAGAAAGAATGAAAAAAGAAAGAAAGAGGCAGAGAGAGCGTGAAAAAGACAAAGTGACAGAGGGGAGAAAGTTAGTGAGTAAAGGAGTGACAGTGAAATAAAGAAAGATAAAACAGAAAGAGATAAAGAGAGAAAGAGAGAGAGAGAGAGAGAGAGAAAGAGAGAGAGAGAGAGCAAAAGAGAGAGATAGACAGACAGACAGAAAGAGAGAGAGAGACAGATAGAAAGAGAGAGAGAGACCAGTATCCTGTCGAACGCTGAAGGGGTTCCTCCTCTCTGCACGTGTCCCAGGATGGTGGTGCGCGTGTCGTAGCCCAGCCTCTTAGTCACCAACTACACACAGAGACGAGAACAAAACAATAGGACATTCAAACTACCACACACAGGATCTTTAATGAGCAGCAGCAGGTATGAATTTAAAGATGAGCAGATTAGTCTGTTACCTCTTTAACCTGATCACATGTGATGGGTTTGCCGTCTCTGCCCATGGCTCCCTCAGCCACAATGATCACATTCAGCCTAGAGCCTCTGTTTCTGGTCTGAGGGAGGAAAAACACAGAAATACAGAAAATAGCAGGATCATCTATGTGTAGTGGCCTTGTCTATTGTGCTGAGGACACTTAACTGCTAGTATTGTATCAATGTACCTTTTCTATACGAACATCTCAATCCAATACACACAGGTTGCGAACAATACATTCAATGGACTGAAGCAAATAAACTACTCAGTTTAATATTGATTATATAGCATGAAGTGTAATAAAAATATAACAAACAAGCCCACAATGAAAATATTGCTTCCTCTATACCTCAAAATCAAGAGTCTGGAGGATAAGCACATTCCGTGTAAGTGTTTATTACCTTATAGCTATTGCATTTTTATAAAATATGTACTTTTATAATGTTGAATGCTGTAATAAATTGAAAATGGAAACATTAACATAAGGCAGATTTACTTCTATTTTGCTGTATTGAATCAAACTGTCAAATTGAACCAAATAATGAATTTTGTGAATCATTACACCCCTAATAATTATTTAATACATAATGGATGACCTCCTGTTGATGACCTCCCATAACAGTCAGGCTCAACTGAACTACGGTATGTTCCATTCATTTTCCATGTTGTCATTTTTCAGTTAGTTATGCTAAGATGAAGATGTTATTTCTGATTGTTCTGATGCTGATAACTTTTTCTTAAGGGGGAATTCTGATGATTTTTCAGAATTGTGCATAATGCATAATTAATGATTAAGATGTAAACAAAGTCATTCAGAGTGGTCTGATGTGCTAACGTTCTAGCTAGGATTGTTAACTGTGGTGGTGATGGGAACCAGCCTTCTGAGGTTCTGAAGTTTTTTTGGGGCCTCTGGAACCTGCACCACAGAAAGTTATACATGAAGTAGTTACAGAAACATATCCTGATGCCTGAGACATTATTTTGTGATAGTTTTCTGATCTAGTTTTGGTAAAAAGATACATGCATGGCATTGTAAAGAAAAGACAGAAAACTTTTTTTTTCATATTCACCACCATTTTATCAGTATTAACATATGTATTAAAATTTTCGTTCACATATAGTATCACTGGTTGTTTTGGATAGTAAATAAAAAATATATATTTGTGTTGCATTCATTTTGACGCTGGGTTTCTATCACCACCACTGTAAAGAAATGAGTCTGTAAGGCTTTGAATGACTTTACAATTGGTGGAATTTTAAACCTCTGACCACTCTAATCTGAGTAATGTGAGTCTGCACTTTTGCCTCTGAAATACATCACAGCTTTAAATGTATTATGTCAGTCCCACAGTCCAGTTTGCTGTGACTGAATGTAAAAATGGTCTGATGTGTTTATCAAAATAGCCAAAAATGTATTATTTTTTCTGCTTCATATTCATCTTTTCATCTTTACTCCAAACTACAAATCATGTGGCTACACTAAGATGTGTGTACGGTACCTCCATCAGCCTCCTGCACAGGTGGTCCTCCCAGCCATCATCAGGAGGCATCTCAGGAATGAACACCCAGTCAGCACCACACGCCAAAGCAGTGACCAGAGCCAGATAACTGAGACAAATACAAATACACATAAACATGGGGCATTTAGAGTTAATATTGTAATTGTCTTCTCATAGTTATCAGTAGGGATGCGCTGATAGGTGAATTGTGGGACAGTGCAGATACATAAACATGTGTAAAATGTAGACATACCTAAACCTAAACATTCTGTACAATAAATACATCATCAAACATCAGTTTGAAATATCGGTCACATATAAACATCTGTCAAATGCCTGAGTGTTTATTTTTTAAGCAGATATCTGCTGATACTGATTCTGATATTGTCATGCATCCTTAATTATAAGTTACTTGTTGCTTTTTGGGCTCTTACCCACAATGCCTTCCCATGACCTCCAGGATGAAGGCACGCTGGTGGCTGTGAATGAGAACAAAGTTGAAAATCCTTATTTTGACAAACCCTGCTCTTCATACTATAGAAGACACTTTGATAAACCTGAAGCTGAGTACTGACACTAAATATACCCAAAGTATTAGAAACAAATAACTGCTTTTCATTGAAGCTACACTATGTAAGATGAAGCTGACGATTGTGAGCGTTGAAAGAGAATTCGAAGAGAACTCACAAGCACACCATATTTTAATGTGTTTGTTTTTCTCATGACTCAGTAACACTATATCAATGACTCAGTAACACTATATCAATTGTATATCAATTCTAACAACAATCTTACATAGTGCAGCTTTAACAAAAGCGTTGCTGGCATTGTTTGAGTTCCATTTATTTTTCAAAATGTTCTAATACAAGTCATTCAGAGTGGTTTAATGTGAAATTGTTCATTGTAGAGAAATTTAATGACTTAGATTTCTTTACAGGGGTGGTGATAGGAACCAGGGGTGACAATGTCTACAAAACTAATATAGCCATTTTATTTACTATCCAAAATGACTAGTGAACCTATATGTGTGTTCTCAATTTTTTCATGTAATGTTAATAATAAACAAAGAAAAAAAATGGGGGACTATTTTTCCTTATAAAGCTCTGCATATGCTTTATGCCAAGATTTTATCTCAAAACTATCATAAATTAATGTCTCAGGCATTTGTAACCATTTCATGTAATCATTTTCTATGCTAAAGCTTTTAGATGCGTTAAATGCTTCAGACCTAACACCACTTCAGGTTCCTAACACCATCACTGTGAACAATTCTGACTGGCTAAGGTTATAACACTAAACCATTTCACATCAAACTGCTCTGACTGAATTTGCATTCATCTCAATCATTTGAATATGCAGAAATGTGGGAGTGGGAGGGGTCCTAGCTTGCTTCTGTCATCCTGCAGACCTCTGAGCTGTGGTGGTGATGCTGTCCACCACCTCCATGATGCGGTGGAGAGCAGAGTCGGTGCCGATGGTCATATCTGTCCCACAGAAATCATTATCGATGGATCCCACCATGCCCACGATGTTCAGGTGAGACGCACACTTGGCCTCCTCTGCAGTGATCTTGCCTGAAGGAAAAAGTCGAGTAATTGTTAAGTAGAAAAAAATGCGGAGAAGATTTACAGATTGTGCTGTACTCTAATGACAGACTGCTACAGTGACTTTTCCTTCCATACCTACCTCCACACTACACATAATAGCAGTGGTTAAAAAAAAGCATGTTGTAAGTTTATATTAATAATTTTGCACAAAGTAATTAATACTTAGTAATTAAGTAATTACATTTAGATAGTGTAGCAAAACAACAATAATAACTTGAAATATCAAAGGTTTAAGTATCTGGATCAGGCAGGTTATGGATGGAGCTAGACTATGCAGGAAGGTAGAGCAGGATTGGTGCCCTCAAAGTGTAGTAGTTATTGTGGCATCCATCAAAGTCTAGTAGAGATCTGGACTCTCACCTTTGCTGACCAAATCACCCAGCAGACCACTCCACTCTGTGCGGAACTGATTGGCACCAGTCAAGCTTCCGTCTCCACCAATGACACACAGGTTGGTGATGCCCCTTTTGACCAAGTTGAAGGCAGCCTTTATTCGGCCCTCCCGGGTCTGGAAATCCTTACAACGAGCGCTGCCAATAACAGTGCCCCCCTAACAAAGCAGCCAAGTGGATACAATGTTTGCTTCATGAAAAAAAAACCCTATGTAGAATAATGTAAAGAACCTATGTGAAGTACACATGGCTATGTATTTTATATGTGAAATACTTTATAAATACATTGTTCCAGAACACAAAAATGTATTTCAAGACATGTCACACACATACTAAAAACATTTCAGAATACACTTAAAATGTGACCTGCACTATTTAAACATATAAGACAATAGTAGGTACATTTATTGCGTCTTGTACTGTCATAGTATTACAATGTGTCACAGCAATACTACGCAAATGCATTAAAAATGCATAAAAACAGGAAAACCGTTATACATTGATGAATAAACGTTGCATATTTTTTCAGTATAAGAATATGAGAACTCACCAGCTGGAGCATCATAGACACACTCTCCCAGGTAGCAGGGCGAATGTTATCTCCTCCATCAACTAGGCCCTGGTAGCCCTGAATACGGAGCACAGTAACAAGTGAGATCAAATAAACAGGTAATAATGACATGGGTTCTTACAACAGATCGATATGAACACATGCAATTTCCCTAATAATACAGCAAATCCTCCATCAATTATTTAATACTTAACACAAATCTGTAAGACAAACTGTGCTACATTATGTCTGTTGAGCTGCGTTTTCTCTTGACCTCATGAACGAAGAAGACTTTAGCTCCCGTGTACAGGCCGACTCTGACTGTGGCTCTCACTGCTGCGTTCATCCCTGAAACAGACAGTGTGAGTGTGAGTTTCATCTCCAGTTGGAAAATACCAGCCCTGATTAGCTTTACTGCTCCCAAAATGCCTCAATATTAGGTGTACATATAAAGAATGTTGATGCACAAATTGCATTTGTCATTCCCTCAGAAATGATAAGTTTCCTTCTCCGTCATTATATCATTTGAGGCTCATCGAATTATATAGCCAGCTAGTCTAGCTTGTCTCCTCTGGCTTGCAAAGCATAGAACAAGTGAGAAAGGTAGTAGTGGTGACAATCAATCACATGCTAATCAGTCACAGGCTATGCAATCAAAGGCTAGCCAGTCATGAATTAATCAGTCATAGGATGCTTCTAGAACTGCATACTACTATACACATACTGTTCTGATGAATGGATTCTTATGGTGGCATACTAGTTTTTACATACTAAGTGACCCTTATTAGTCCCACAACGGGGAAATTCAACCTCCGCATTTTAACCCATCCGTACAGTGAAACACCCACATACACACTAATGAATGCACACACACTAGGGGTCAGTGAGCACACTTGCCCAGAGCAGAGGGCAGCCCTATCTATGGTGCCTGGGGAGCAGTTGGTGGTTAGGTGCCTTGCTCAAGGGCACTTCAGTCATGTACTGTCAGCTCAAGGGATCGAACTGGCGACCTTCTGGTCACAAGGCTGGTTCCCTAACCTCCTATTAGTATGGTAGTATGTGGTTTTGGACACACTAACAGACTAACCAGTCATAGGCTAACCAATTGTAAGCTAAAAAATCATAGACTAACTAATTATATACTAAACAATAATAAGCTAACCAGTCATAGACTGACAAATCATATTCAGTCATTAATGGGCTAACAAATCATACAATAAACAATCATATTCTGACCAGTTATGGGCTAACCAATCATAGGATGGCCAATAGTAGAAATCCATCATAGGCCTAACTACACTGATTATGATTTTCTGGGTTACTTTGTCAAAGAAAAGACAGAAACATTATCTTTTACACAGATTTTACTCTAATGATTTTTTTTTTAATGAAATCCACTAAAAACGCAAAGACTCTAGAGAAGATCTTATTTTAGCATTTTAATTCCACAAGGGATGCAAATTCTTTGAATCTCAAGGCCAGCCCTTGACAGGGGGCAGCCTTGTCGACCACCCGGACAGCGGTTCTGTGGTCAGAAAATGACCAATGCAAATCGGATACAGCAGATCAGCTAGTGTCTGTGTTAATATAGTCATTAACATCAGCCTTTTGTTACAGAGCCCCTAAGGGCCTGTGGTTGAAAATAATTTTGTGTTCCTTTACAAGTGCAATAGATTTTGCAAGAAAACGCACAACTGCTGCAAGAAAACATAGCACATTTCTGCTGCTGCACATTTCTGCTGCTGCACAATGGCTATTTAGGGGCTTAGCATGTTGTAGTTATTCATTCAGAATGAGAAAAAAACATATCATGTGATAAATGTAGTGGCATTGAAACTGTATCTAAGTTCTTAATCAGGGTCCAGAATTTCTGTGGGCAACTCGTGAGGTCACTCAATCCTCCTCCTGCATCTTCTACAGCTCCACTGTAAAGGCCAGGATGCGTGGTCTCCGTTGTGATGGATGCGGTGACTCTAATTTCAGAACGGAACAGCTGTGGAGCTGTTGGTGTTCCTATCTACATGTTCATGTCATTCCAGAAAAAGGTCACTGGTGCTAAAATAAGACCCACATCACAGAGACACTGAGGCACAAGACAAGGAAGGCTAAAGGCTAAAGCTAAAGGTTATATGAACATTGGAGTGTAATGGAGACAAGTGGGGGATGATCAAAAGACATTCTGAGCACATGATTGAGCCTGTCTAAGTGTTGCTTAAGACATGTTGCTCTTGCAGGAAATCAGAGAAGCAAAACAAGGTTTGTTGGAATATGGAACTGGAATCACCACATAGCTGATTGTTTATGCTTAGTATGCTCGAACACTACATTGCAAAAAGAAATGCAATTGAGTTTACTTGATTCAAATGTGTGCATCATTTCCATATGAATCATATCAAGTACATCAACAGAACTGTACTGATAACTAAGTAAACATTTAAGAAAATACTACGAACTAAGAAAATAAAAGGAAATTTGTATTTATGTGGAAATGAAGTACACAATAAATCAAATTTAAATGTAATGCATTAACTTTTTTCCAGTGTTCTGCATTTGTAATCCTGAAAATACAATGAACTTTCCATTTTAAACAGAGGTCTTTTATACAAATTACACTGCTATAAGAAACACTATGACAAAAGATCTTCAACTGTGGCCCAATGTTAAAGCTGGATCATCTTGCCTTGTCTGCTATTTCTTTGGACGTCCTTCTGAGGCTTCTGCGTCATCACTAGGTCTTAGATAAATGGGGCCCCTACTTAACCGTGCTCAAACAGACTTAACCAGCCCCTCTCCCCACTCAACCCATTCTGCTTACCTTGAGCATCACCTCCTGATGTCAGGACAGCGATGGCCCGTCCAACCCCCATCTTGGTGGGGTCCACTCCTGTGCTGGGCATTTGTGACATAATGAAAAGTGCTCCAGAGAGCCCGGTGGCAAAGGGCAAGAGAAAAGCAGGTGAAAGACTGATGTTTTCCCCTCAAGTCTCTCAGAACAGGGTTGCAGAGGGGAAGGTTTTATAAGAGAGGATTTCACCTCCCGCCCCCTTCCCTTAAACACACAAACATACCCCCCTCCCACCATGCAGGACTAAATATAAGTTCCTGCATCATGCCTTAGCTTTCTTTCAGCTTTAACATCCACTGCTGAATAAATCAACGTCTTTAAAGTTATCAAATGGTGTGAAGACGTGACCTAGTGCTGCACACATAGGTCAAGGTCAATCATGCATGGTGGATACTATCTATGTCACTCACGACCAGGGCAAACACCAGGTTTGAAGTCAAGGTGTTGGGTGCTCTTAGCAACATCTTATTTGGGGACATCCACCAACTCCAATAATATTCTTTTGTATGCAAGAACAGCGCTTTTTCTACAACATATATTAAATGTATTTTTAAAGTTGTACTAATACTTGGAGCCCCCTGATAGCTCAGGGGCTCTACGCAACTGCTTACATCGCTTATACCAAGAAAACGCCTGTTCCATTCAACCATATATGCAGACAGATCTGAGATGGGAAACAAACAAAATACTAAAGAATTACAGCTAGCTGATTTAGTGTCTAAAGAAATATGTGCACACCACCGAACTGCACCAGCTATACAATGTAGCAGTGGATGTAAACATGTCATACATAAAAATACTAGGTCCTGATTGATATATCGGTTATAATTGCTGAATATTGAAGTTCCACAGATTTATCAGCATAGGTGGAAAAACCCTCAAACAGAGCACTGACTATGTCTGGGAGTAAAAATATTGTACTCATTTCATTTGTGAGATGATTTTATTAGACAACACTTAAACACTAAATCTGCTCCTGTTTGAGAGTCCAGCATTGTGAAAGCTCATATCACGGTCTTGTTTTTCCATTTGATTATTTAGGGTCACATTTAATTTGATTCTTTGAGTTTTAAAGAGCTATTTGACCTAAAACTAACATTTAATGTTATTTGTTATGTAACATTCTGTAGCGCAGCATACGACCAAATTCACAAATTTGTATTGTTTTCACCCAGTGTGAAAAACTACAATACCCAGCATGCATCACATCTCTCATTACAATACCCAGCAGGCATTATGCAAATACATCACACAATCACTGGGAATCTCTACAGTGCTAAACAAGAGGCTAATAAAAACATTGGTGGTGTTAGTTAGCATTAGCTTTGTTAAATGAGTAATTCAGCAAGCAAGGAAAAAAAACAAACACATATCCACCCCAAAGCACTGTAGGAGGGATGTTTACAACAGCTTTATAAATGATTTTATAAATTTGATAATTGACGTCTGAAAATCATCAGTCTGTAAAGCGCTGTTTAACAAAAACTACTGGAGTCTATTTCATTTTTCACTGTATAAAATGATATTGATCTATAGTATCACTTGTTGAAATGTTTAGCCCAGAATCAGAATCAGTGACAAAACATGTCATGCCATAAACATTACACTGTAATTCTCTTAGTTAAAGGTGAGCAAACTGGAACTTCAAGCTATCCTCTTACACACCAACTGATTGCTGTACAAAGTAAAGGTTAGCATGCAGTTAGTATCAATATTGCACTTCCATATTTGTTTTTTTACAAAGTGCTCATTTATCACAGCATTTCAAAGTTTCAGCAGGTTCAGGTAATGAAAGAAAAGAGAGCTGAGGACATTTGTTAAACATTTATTATTCTTTATAGACAAAATAATTACAATGGCAGTGATCAAGAAATCAGCTCTACAACCAAGAAACAGCCATTTCAGCTTAAACACAAGGTTATTTCTGCCTTCCTCTGAGTGCAGCACACCTGATGCAGATGGAGGCAGACACAGAGGCCATTCAGTCAGACAGTGATCAAACTTTAGTGTTTGGGTAAAAATACATTAAAGTCATCCTACAAATATCACCTTAAAAAATACAGAGAGCATAAATCATCTCATGTGGAAGACAATCATGTGAACACCAGTGTGTGCAACATTAAGGACCTACTCATATGTAATTCCAATTTTTCAAAATTTTTGCCCATTTAATTTGCAATAGATATAAACAGTCATTCAGAGGAGTTTGATATGAAATTTTCCATTCTAGGGACATTTAAAGTCAGAGCTGTTCACAATGGTGTTGACAGGAACCGAACATCTGAAGACATCATAGAAAGCTATCACACAAAATTGTTATTAATACACTGCCTGAGGCCTGAGACATCGTTTTTACAATATTTTTGAGATAAGCCTTTTCATGGGTAGAGGTACATGTAGGATGCGATTAAATAAAACAGTCCCCAAAGGAAATGGTTTTTTTTCCAGATTTACAACAATTACACCATCATCAAAATTACACATAAAAACTCCTATGTAGGTTCACTGCTGGTTTTGGATAGTAAATAAGATGGCTATATTTGTGCTATAAACATTGTTGATCCTGGATCCTATCGCTGCCACTGTGTAGAAATTTACATTTTTCTTACCTTTTCACATCAAACCACTTTGAATGACTTGATTTACATCTCAACAATTGAGTTTTGCAAAAATTCTGAAAAACTGGTGGAACTGCCCTTTTAACAATCATCACAGGGCATCTGCCTGTCCTGCTTTTGTGCAAGAACCAAAGTAATTTTTTTACCAATTGCCTGCAGGATGAATTCCGCATTAAAAAAAACAACAACAACAAAAAAAAGCAGTATAATGAAATAATACTGTCTGGTATACTCTAGCATTGAAAAGCTGATTGAACTTTGCCTGGAAAAGTGAATTAATCAAGCAGGCTTCCACTTTCTTCTCTGCAGATTAGCCTGGCATTACCCCAACCAGGAGTTGTTCTCCATTCATTTTTAAGTTCAACCAATAAATTACACTGACGTCTCTGACTGAAATACTGAAATAACAGCCTTTGCAAAACTTATATAACCAAATGCTACAATAAGTAACTCAGCCGTTTAACCAATTTCTAAGTATTTTATTAAATCTCAGTTGCTCCAGGTGAGTTTCTGTGGCCGTTTTGATGAATTAAGGCTAGGTTATGCACCAATGATATCAGTTTCGCATCAGTATTGGCAGAGATTTGCTTTAAAAAATAATATTAGCATTGAACAGACGGAGATTTAACTAATATTTCAAACTGATATTTGATGACGTTTTAACTGTACTCCAGAAGAACAAAATGTTTAGGTGGCACTGTGCTAAAATATCTGGATTTTAGTCCTCTTGCTGCATTTGTAACCTGGTTCAAAATAATCATATACTTTTCAATAAGGTTAATCCAGGTAGATCCTTATTTCTACATGGTTTTGTAGTGGCACTGACAGATTTGTATATGAAAAATATTGGATATCTGAATCTGCCCTCAATTCCCATAATTGGTGCATTGCTAATTAAGGCATTTGCATGATACACTTAATCATTTTAGTAAAAAAAAAAGAAGCAGCTCAATCTTTACCCATCACACATTAAGGATCTGCACTGTAACAAAATTAGAATTGTCTTGTAATTGCAATGTCTAGCAATTAAAGAGGGCGCAGTACCACTTTTTCTTTGAGTGCTGTCTCTAAAAGTAGGCCATCCTGTTCAAAGGACTCAAACACTACTATATCACAGGGTTTTTAACGGGATTGAATCAGATTCATTCTTGTTTGCTCTCCAATATCCGAGCCAGATGGTATAGAAACAGTGCAGTCCCTAGCAGCAATATATATAATATCTCAATATAATATTCAGCCTGAACATTTAAACTACTCTACACTTCTGGGCAAAAAATGGGCCAAGTCCAAAATGTAATTGTTTTTACTGGTGTTTTGGCCTGGTCAGAGTCCACATTTAAACCCTATAGAGAATACTGGGTTACACATTAAACACAAACTAGCTCATCAATGTTTTTTAACTGTTTAAAGCCACCAATGCTAAGTGTAAAAATACTGACTTCTTTCTGTCAAAGGTTATTTTCACATTTATAAACAAGACTTCAACATTTGAAGAAATCAAAAAAGCTCTCCCATTTTAAGTTACTTTATTTATTTGTTTAATAATTTGTTGTTAAGCCCATTTTCTTGCCCAGGAGTGTATAATGCTAACACAATCTGATGGTGGAGAAATGCCAGAATTAATCTGTGGAGTGAAATTTAGTGAAATTCTGAGAGAGATTCAGGATGGTTTGCATGAGGCTAGATTGAACTATGGAACAGGAAAACAACAGAAATCAACGCATGTTTGAGTTGAGCCGTCACGCTCCAATTGACGAGGGAAGGTAGGGAAGAGGACTGAGGCTCTAGGAGTTCAAGCCAATAGGCAAAAAGCACTGTGGAGAGGAAGACAAAACAGAAAAGCAAGTAAGCTAAATTGCAATTTGATCTATTCCCATGTGAGGTGGACAATAAAAAGAGGGTAACTCACAGTGGAATCCTGAAAGAGGAGACTGGAGGCCACAGGGTTGCTACAGCGGGGCTGTGCTGGCCATGCTTGCTGGCAGGAAGTGTACGTAGCACATTCTTCATCCAGAAACATTTCTTCCAGGGGCGGCAGACGCCGTCTTAGAGCACACACTGCTGAGCTGAGACCAGATGCTGCTGCCAAGTCCATAGACATGCATATGCACACATACACAAACAAAAACACATCAGTGAACACTGTTAAACAATACGTCAGACTCAACTTGCTCACTATAACAGGATGCATAGCACTGCAAATTAAGAAGTGAAACTGGCTGATGCAGACTGCCAGCCTGAATGCAGGAAATAATAAACTAGTCAAGAAATATTTTCTGCTTAAACAAGAATTAGACCGAAAATTTCATAAAAACATCCGCATTATTAAACTGTTAAGTACAAAGTCATTCAGAGTGGTTTGATGTGAAATATGTCGTTCACAGCAGTGGTAGGAACCAGATATATGGAGCATCTTTAAGATGCTTTACATAAAGTTATTACATAAAATGGTTACAAATATGCTCCCTGATGCCATAGCTCTGAAACAAGGCCTTTGTCAATAATATATAGTTTTAAAATCCATTTATGGTGGTGATGTATAGGCAGTACTATTTAATACAATTTTACTATGATTAACACTACATACAACAACTTAGAGGACATTCACTCGTTGTTTTGGATGGTAAAAAAATGGTTCCATAGGTTCTATCACCACCACTTTAAATAGGAGTCATTATGTGCGTCTACATTGTACCATTTCACATCAAACTACTCTGAATTAATTTAAATCTCAACAACTGAATTATGACAAAAAATTTGGAAAAAAACAAAACGGTGGAATTAAAAAAAAATAAGCTGAAACAGACTTGTTGGTACACAACCACATCAGCACACGATCTAAGACAAAAATCTTAACCAAACGCTGAAACATACATATTAAACACCAGAACATGCATACTGAACACATATTAACCCCTTAACATTCACATTCATATTCAGACTTCTATTACTCATTCCTATATATAACTTAATGATAACTGTTCATTTTACATTTTTTCCATGTAGTTACTGAATAATAAGTCTTAATATGTGGACATCCAGGAATGTTAAGGGGTTAAAGTGAAATAAACTGAGATGTATCACACTGAATGAGTGTGCAGAGCTCTGATCAATTTACCTTTTGTCTTACAAAGTGCGCTGGGGGTAACTTGTTTACTGTCTGAATTTAGTGCACTCTGTGATCCACTGGACCGGGCTGACTGTGCAGGAGCTGTGCTCTGAACTTCAGTGCTAGTTGCACAGGGCTGAAGCTGCCCTGCAGGCTCAGGAGTCTGTGCATTACCATGAGTCGGGCCCGGCCCGAACAGCCGCAGACCAGATGAGAGAACAATGACCGACTGCCTGTGCGTTGACTGGATAAAGGGCTGAGCTACTGGGATACTGTTCTCTTTCTGTAAAAGGCAGCTGTTTGTTGTTGTGCTCCCTTCATGCTTCAAGTGAGGTTCAACCTATGAGAAACAAAAATACTATAAAATATATGGCAGATTAAGCAAATCAGGTAGATCACAAAGCAACACAAAATGTATCTTACAGTTTGGTGATGTTCCAGTGATGGACCCGTATCTCGTCCTTCCTCCATCTGCTCATTCTCCTCCTGCTCTGGTTCCTCTTGAAATAGCCTCTGAACCACATCCTCCTGCCACAGATTCACATTTCCACATTAAAACTTGTTCATGCCCATTTACTTCCTTAATAGTGTAAATTAAGTTCAAAGGTTTCAAACTCTGATCACCTCTACTTCCTGAGGGGTAGAGCTGTCTGTGCTGGCCGCTGGGGTTTTACTCAACCCAGGAGAGGCACTGAAGACGGGAGTCTTTGGTGCACAGATAAGCCTCCTCTGAAAAACACACCCACACATACATGCGTATTTCAAGTGTAGACAAGGAGCCAAAAAATGAGGCTTTAAAATGGCTGCTACTACTGTTTTCAGCAATGCAATGTACTTTTGTCTGGTTTTATAGATAACAGCAGAATCTTATAAAAAAAATAATAATAAATTGCCAAGCTATGGCTTCAAAGTCTTGTACACACGGATGTGAAATATAAATGAACAAAACAGCAGAGCACTAACCAGAGACTGTGACTGGCCGCAGGGAACTCGTTGTTGTGTCCATTTTGTGTTGGGAGTTCGGCTGGCACCTGCAGGTGGAACAAATGGAGAAATTAAACAACGAACAAAAAAAAAAATTAATACAACAAAATCTTAGGCATATATTAAAGATATGTCAATACTGGTAATTTCACACTTCAACAGCTAAAGTGCACCAAATCACACATGTGGTAGGCCTGTTACAATTGTTACATAACCACCTAATTAATTATTTGCGAGGATCACAATTCCTTAAGCTGACTGCAATCATTTTCCAATGTTGTTAAATTTTAGAATCATATGCTGCATCAAACAAAAAGTGAATTGGGTTTGCTTGGTTGAGGAAAGAAAGAAGGGGTAGGTTATGACAAAAAAATGCTTTAACTCCTAACTTGGTGCTCCAATATGTTTACAGAGGTCAATGGTGCATAATATTTGTTTATTTGTTAGCTATGATTAGTCAATTTGGCCACTTTAGGTTTGTACTTTGACAGCTGCATACAATGAACAAGAAAAGACAAAACGTTCATTTGTATGGCAATTAATAAACTGTTGTATGACAATATTTAAAAATGTTACTTTATATCTACTTCTTTACAATTGGCTTGTCAATTTGAGTTTTTTTTTTTTAATCAGGTTGCTGATGCTTGGCGAAAAATATGTTCCATGATCCCAGGGGCCAAATTCAAACATATAACTTCACTATACTTTTATTGCTTATCTGCTGCTGTTATCAGCAGCTTGTGCTGCAGGAACGATGAGTGTAAAGAGTCAAACCTTAAAACAGGCAGGTTATGTGGACTATGCAGTGCTGACATGATGCTAGAAGAAAAGGAAAGCATGCTCAGGTGGTGAACCTTCTCAGACCATTGTAAAAATGGCTTTCAACCAGCAGGAAACTGAACTAGGGTTCACTTGAAAGCGAATTGAGACCCGTGAATTTTGCTGGACCAGGGCTCAGTTGTTTGGTGCAGACCCAAGAACAGGTGGGGTGTTTATACTATTGCAATTGTTACATAATTGCCTAATCACAATTTTTTGAGAGGACTGCAATTACTTAAGCTGACACTTTTAACTGATTTTCCAAAGTTGTTAGATTTCAGAATCACATTATGCTGCATCAAACAAAAAGTGAATTGGGTTTGCTTGGTTGAGGAAAGAAAGAAGGGGTAGGTTAAGGTACGTGTGAAAGCGCCCTTAATCTACACCCTTAATCCCTTTCGTTTTGCACCGGAGCTCTGTTTTCATGTGTTCTTCTGCTCTGTTGGCATGAAAACATGCAACCACACTGGCCTTTTCTGGATAAGACTGGACACCCTGCCTTATGATAGGACGTTGTTATCTCCTTATCACTATTAGGTAAACCTAAAAAAAAAAGCTAAGCCATTCAGCTGGACACAAAAGTAGAAACCATGTTCAGATGTTCAGGATATAGCGAGAGCAAATCTCAGAGTGACACTGTACCCCAACTTCTCTCCACTGATATTCTATTCAACTCCTGAACTAATCCCTGATATTCTCTAAACATCAGTGCCTGGTTGCACACAAACACCTGAAGTTTTCCCCTTAAGGATGAACCTTAAGGGTAGGATTTCCCTTACCAAAGGGAATTTGTTAAAGGTGTTGCATAAAACCCCTCAGACATTTCTTTAGCTAAGGGAAAACACAGAGGTTTACTATAGTCACTGAGGTTTTAACTACTGTAGTAAAAGTCAATTGTACCCATGGCAGCGTTCTCTCATTAAAGGAACTTAATATTAGCAACTAAACTAGACAAATACTGGCAGTGACTCTTTTAAAATCAGTTCTCAAATCATAACTACTGATTACTTCTGCTGGAATATCTCCCACTTTTAGCGAAAACTCCACTGAAAACGTGTCACGAACATGATTAATATTCTTGATGCAAATGTATTGACTCCCTTAAACATCCTAAGGGAAATGACAGTTAAGGAACTTTATGCAGCGCTTGAGGGATTATTGAAGGGAAAGTCAATCGTTAAGGAAAAATGTATGATGAAGGTGAATGATGAGTTCACTTTAGGAAAACATTAAGTAATACCCTAAGGGTTTTTTCATGCAACACACTTAACCTTAGAAAATACATAAGGGTAATCTTAAGGGAAAGCTCAGCTTAAGGTGTTTTATGCAACCGGGCACATGGCCTTGTAACAACATTGAACTGTTGTTTAAATAGTGCAGTTTGAAAATGGGCTGCAGGCTTTGATGAATTAAGCTGAGCACCTTTGGGCAAGACAGAAAAAGACTCACCAGTGTGTTCTGCCCCTGTTACAGGACCTTCTGCCCGAGTCTTCTTAATTGGTACTCTTTGAGCCTACAATAGAAAAACATTATTTGTTCAAAACAATTTTGTCTCATTAGTTTTGTATTGGAACAACAAGGGTAATACAGCCATGGAGGCTTACATTAGGACAAATAGACTTGTGTATGTGGTTTCTGTCACTGTATGGCATACCGTTATATATAAAAAGACAACAGTGTGTTGCTTAGCTAAAAACAGTGGCAACCACTTTGAACTTTAATTTTGTCCATATATTTGTTTATTGTATAACTACATTAGCCTTGTAGCCCCAGTGCAAAGCTAAATGAGCAAATTTCAGACATAAAACAGGTCTTGGCTGTTTTGACTGACTTCAGATTGGCATAAGATGAAAATTGTTCACCTTCAATTTTTTTTTTGCCAAATTCTTTTAAAGAGATGACATACTTGATATGAGAGTTGTATCATATAGTCATATAGTCAAATGATCGAGGTGTTAATTGGAATGAATCCACAAGCAAACCCACAGAGTAAATGGAAGTTCCTCTTCCTGAGGGGCAGGTAGACATTCTGGGTGTCCCTCCAGCAGGACCCCCTGCTTTGATACCCTCATTAAGCAGAATACTACGAAGGGCTGAAGGGTCAGGGGAAAATGGCACAGCACTCCCTAGAACAAAGTACATATTTTAGATGTAAGCAGTAACATACTGATGGGTTTCAATCTAGTAGATCAGCCTACTGTGGCAAGAAAAGAAACTGAAAGCTCAATGAAATAAATCCTACCGGTGCGTCCTGGCACTACTGTAGCAACTTCTGTCTGCGGCTTCTTAACAGGCACTCGCTGAGCCTTTCAGAAACATACCACTCCATGAAAAAAAATTCCCCTCCAAATCTCACCATTCAAAAAACTTTTAAAGCTGTAACTTCAATCAGATCATTTTAATTAAACTCACAGAGAAAATGGAAGTTTCTCTCCCTGAGGGGCAGGTAGACACACGAGGCGTTGCTCCACTAAGACCACCCACCTTCACTCCCTCTTTTTGAAGAATACTACGGAGGGCTGATGGGTCAGGGGAAAATGGCACAGCACTCCCTACAACAGACACACTATATCAGTGTTGTGTATTCATAGAAATTACATTAATATTACTTATATTATACTATTCTTTTCCTTTTTGTTTCAAGATCACTTTCTGTTGCTAACTGATCATTTGTCCATGCTGTGACATGAATCAAAGATCAATCATTGATCAAAACAGTAGGAATGTGGGAAGAAGGAATTATAGATGATAGAACTAATACATACCAGTAGGTTCTGGCTCTGCTGTAGTAGCTTTTGTTTGGGGCTTCTTAACAGGTACTCGTTGAGCCTTTCAGAAACAAACCACTCCATGAAAGAAAATTCTTTTAAATATTTAAAAAATTCTATACTTAAAAGGGCCCATATCATATTTACCATACCAATTTTTCTTTTTCTATTTTTTAATTAACAATATTTTATTTGTGATGCAAAAAGTACCATCCACTACTCAGTCCGTATATAAAAATAAAGTAAAGACAGCCTGTTTAGAATTTGCCTTTTGTGATCTCCAATGCATTGAAGACCCTGTCATACATGGATCTTGGGGAAAAAATGAAGTACAAGGAAAACGTAGATATGGGACCTTTAAAAAAATCATTAAAAAATATTAAACGCTGTAAACTGGAATCAGATACTTTTAAGTGAACTTACAGAGTAAATGGAGGTCCCTCTCCCTAATGGGTGGGCAGATGCTTGGGGTGTTGCTCCAACAGGACCACTCACTTTAACTCCCTCATTTAGCAAAATACTACGAAGTGCTGACGGGTCAGGGGAAAATGCTACAGCACTCCCTAGAACATGTTAGTATATGTTACATCAGTGTTCAGTGTTTATAGAATGAAATGCTAAGCTACAGAATGTCTTGCTAATATTACTATTACAATTACTGTCCTTACAAATATTACCTAGATTTTTAATAAACCATTTAATATCCTACATTTTAAAAATATTGCATAAGAACATCTGCTTTTAAGGAATTACTTTCATGTAGTAGGACTCTACTTACCTGTTGTATTTGTACAACTAGCAGCCAGAAGCGTCTGAATACATCCTTTAGTTGTTGGATGGCGAACTGCTTGGTCATCAACCTCAGCAGTTCTTAAAGAGTTAGTTTGATCCTTGGTAAGTTCTGAATGTGCAAGTGTGATGCTGCCCAGTTGTCTGCTTAAGTCTCTTTGAATAGAGGAGCCTATTTCATTAGAGAAGTCACTGACTACCTGTGACTCAGACTTTGTGTGACCCTCTAGACTTAAAGGCTTAGTTTTAGTATTGTTTATGTGGTCCACATGTGCACTCCTTAGAGCAGTATTATGAGTAGGAGTTCTGTTTTTTGTTCTTTGTTGAGAGGTGCTCAGTGTCTTGGATGGTGTCTGTCGACTATGATGAGTCAAGGGCATTCTAGACCCCTCACTTTCAGAAGCAGCTTCAGCGATCTTCTGGCTGTGGGTCCGAGACTGGGACAAACTGAAAGGAACAGGCTTGGTACATGTTTTCCTCTTCTGAGCCTTGCCCTGAAGTGAGCATAAAGAAAATTGACCTGATTAAGGGGGTTTTCAGACTTTTTCCATTTTTCAGACAAAGACTCCATGGACATTCTGTGGACAGAATGCCCCCAGACTCCAACTCCTAAAACATTATGTAAATGTAAAGCTGTTGTAAAATATCTGTCATTATCTAGTTAGAATAAGGAGGTAATTTAGCATTAAAGCATTACCACAGTCAAAACTTACAGGCCATAAAAAAAAATTAAAGGCTATCAAACTTTCTAAGCTCAAAAACTCGGGAGTGAACTTTTGTTTTGGATGCACTTAACCGTGTAATGATTTCAGTATAGATCAACAATCGAATCTAAGTGCACAGAAATTTAAAGCCATACTCTCAGTACGCCCTCTGCTGCCAATCTCTCATTCAAAATTTTTCAATGCAAACCGCTGCCAGTGACCAACCAAGGCATCTGGGTGCATCCTATCAGAGTAACATGGGCAGAAAAGGAGAGGGGCTTATACATTTTAGTGGTTGTGATTTTTGGGGTTTATTTTGTTAAAGGACAGCAAAGCAAGTGTTGAAAAAGTTTAAGAACTCAACCGAACCAAACAAGTCTCTGTAGTGTACACAAAGCACATTTTCAGGCACTGCTTATTTCTGGTGTATCAAAAAAAGGTATTGTGTTAACACTAACATTTGTTACACCACTGTATCATACTGAATAGCATTTTGTGTACTGTTACACCCCTAGATGTCATGTGGTGGAAGTGATCCCTACCCAGTCCATAGGTATCCCTTCTCAGTCCATGGGTAATAAATAATAATAAATCATCATCATCATCATCATCATCATCATCATTTTAAAGCTGCTGACTATATGTCACAGACCCCACTTTGAGAACAATGGCCTTATAGGGGTCCAAAACTTTTGTCATCGTTACTGATCTCTGTGAACTGTCATGGAAAACCAGTCATGAAAATTTTATTGAATGACCACAATTCTTTTGCACAGCTGGAACAATTCACTTGATCATGCTCCAAAGTATTTCAAGTGCCCAATTCGGATAACCGACAGCTTATATCTTATTCATTAATAGAAAAAGAGAGATGGTTGTTGATGTTCATCTGTATTTGCTGCTTTAACAGAACTGCCCACAACAGGTCCATATAGAGGTTCTTTGTTGTGAGGCGGGCATAAATAAAATGATGAACCTACCAGCAGAGGCCTCTCTTCCCATTTCTTATACCCTGGAGTTTGAGAAACTTCTGTAAGAACTGGCTGCAGGGATTTTGCAAGGACAGGAAGCCTGCTGACAGTCTTCAGTTTATTTACTCCTTTTGTGGGCTTAGTAGCTTCATTTGGGTCCTGATTCTCAGATCCTGTTTTGGACGACTGGGCAGTGTGGGGTTTGGTCCTCAGCTTCTCAGAAATTTTATTTACTTCTTGATGTCTCAGAAACCTGTTGGATTGAGAGAGAGTGTGACTATTAACATGAGGATCAACCACTTTATACGTCTGGAAATCATATACCAAACTTTAGCAAGTCTCAATCCTTTACGTGAAAACTAAAATATGAGCAAAGCACTATTATCTTTTAACAGTCCATTTACCCTGTATGTTCTTTCTGGTTTTGGTTCTGAGGACCCAGAGGAGCTGTTGAGGATGCCATGGCTTTCAAACGTCTGTTAAAAAAGAAAGATCATGAATGTTCACTGTAATGACTCGTTTCAGATGAGAAAAGGGTAATGAACGACGCTGAAGTTGGTTTTGTCAGCTTTCTATTCAAACGTTCCATTCCACCTTAAATGGTGCATCAGTTACTCGCCGGCACCTGACTGTTTAAGGTGGAAAAGACATTTGAATAAGAGGCTAATTTCAGTTTCGTGGTTAACACAACGTCTTATAGTACATACACAAAAAAATTAGCAAAAACAGTCAGCAAACTACACAAATTATACAGAAGTTACAGGAATGCTGCACAATTTAAGGTGGACCGGGAAATTCGAATAAGAAGCTGATTTCAGCTTCGTTAAACTAACGTGGTTTGACCACAAACCCGTAATGTTATATCTCGCTATACAGATGAAGTCCGAAGTTTTTAAATTCACATATACTCACTAAATATTGTGTAAAACTCCTCCAGTATTCCCGTCTGTTTGAACCAAACCGCACAAAACTTTTATTTTAACCCACCACTCTCGCTTGTTGATTTCCGGGGTATACAACAATTTGTAAAAAGCTCCTTTCTCCATTGGCTAACGCGCTCATTCCGTCAACCAATCGTTGAGCTCTATCAGAATTACTATGGAAACCATGATGCGGCTTTAAACCACGTGACCACGCTCATTTTCTTGGGTCATAACCGCTGCATCGTGTTTACAGGCGTCTGTGCAGTACTCTTAAAGGGCAATTTCACCGATTTTCAAATTTTGTGCGTAGTTGACATAAGAAAAAAAGGCGTTCGGATCAGATTAATTGCAGAGGAACTTACTGACTCTTACTGATCAATTTGTTTTGGTAATTGAGGGTTGTGACGTATGCAAATGTAGCCATTTTATTTACAATCCAAAACAACCTAAACTTCTTTTCGGTGTTTTTAAAAAGTTAATGGTGGTGAAATAGTGGTAAGTTAAAACAAAAAAAAAATCGTTGGGTACTATTTTGCCTTACCATGTCCTGCATGTGTCTCTCAGGATTTTTAAACATATGTTTCCAAATGAAAACTTCAGAAGAAGTGCAAAAGTACAATGTCAAAAAGTAAGTTAAGTGTGTCATAGAACTGCAGTAATCCTACATCCAGTACCTAACAGCAGAGGAAATCAAATTTGTGAGTCTCTATTTTTTTGCTCCAAAATTAAATGCTACAGTAAGATGTGATGATCTCACAGTAGGCCCAATGCTATCACCATGGGTGGAAAAAGTACAGAGAAATTGTACTTAATAGAAATTTGTACTTTGTCAAAATCTCACTCAATTCAAAAAAAGTGAAAGTGTAGAGCCAAAAATATACATGTAAAAGTCAGAAGCGTATACATTTACACATACTCAAGTATATAAAAGTAAAAAGCACGTTTCAACAGATAAATTGGTGTGTGATGTGCTGACTAATTGGTAGAACTAGTCCCCACAAAAAGACAAGTTAGCATATTTATGGGCAGTAAAAACAGTAAATTCAAATGTGCAGAAACCTTGCTCGCCTTTGAAATTTGTCACATGTACTTTGAAGGTCAAAGTAAAAATGTGAGGAGTGAAAGTCTGTATTTTTTTCTTGGAAATGTAATTAAGGAAAAACCTCAGTTGCTTCCAAATTTAAAAAAAAGGAAGTCTAAACCAACTGAGGCATACACTGTTTAACCGGGTTATACAGGGTATCCCAAAAAAATTGACAATTTCGTAGTCTAATAACATAGCATATTCTCCCTCAAATGATCTCAAATTTTAACAAAATGTGTAAAAACTAACCATGTTTAATTTTTAATGTTTTTTTTTTCAGGTTGAAGAATGGCGTTCACTAGAAATGAAAAGGCATTTTGTGTGTTAGAATATGCTCGAACACAGTCAAAGAAGAGTGTGCAGCATGCATTTTCGAGAAAATTCAATAAAAATGCACCAACTGGAAAGCAGATTTGGACTTGGCACAAAAAATTCAAAGAGGAAGGCTGTCTGTGCAGGGCAAAGGGATCTGGACGACCACCAGTATCGGAAGACATTACATTTGTGAAGCTTTGTGAAATCAGTTATAAAATCTACATCCCCCTGAATTTCTTGTTCAAACTTTGATAAATAAATCTTGTATTGTTCAACATGAAGCCTATTTAATTTCGTTTGCCAGGACATGTAGTTACTCAAATATTCACATCTCAAATGATGTCAATTTTTTTGGGACACCCTGTATACTATGGCTTTAATCTGGCAATAACACACACATAGCCAATCAATCAAAAACTGAAGCATTGAATTGAGCTTAAATGGACTTTTGCATTGTATGCTAAATTAAAACAATAACTGGGGAAGAGATGCTGCAGGGCCACAGACGCACAGAGCATAAAGTCACTACGAGACAATAAACATGCAAGTAGAATGTACCTCTTGCTATTTTTGTTGTAGAAATGCTAACTCATATTCTAATCCTACAGCGATGCTGAAACATGCCTACACACCCACATTCAGCAATCTGTCTGAAAGGGTAAAAATACTTGTCTCTGGTCTCTTTTTTTGTTGTGAATAAGTGAGTTACACTAATGCTAGTTTGGTTGTTTTGTCAGCCTGTTGCTCACTTGCTAGGCTATCAGTAAGGATTGGTTAACACCACAGGGATTCCTAATGGTCGTATGACATATTTGTGCAATGCATGCTGGGTATAGTGAAAGAACACTGATTAAAAAGAACATGGAAATGATATCAAATTGTGAACCTTATTAAACTGATGAGACTGAGAGATACTAATACTGTGCCACAGAACACCATATAACATAACAAATAACATTAAACCTCAGCTTTAGGCCAGAATGCTCCTTTAATATATGATAACTGCTCATGAAGGATGAACTATATCTAAACACATTCTAATCACACCTGTAGTTACGCCTGTCTATTAAATGACATTTCAATTCTAACAGCAAGTGTAAACACAGCCTATTAGAACTCTACTGTATGCATGGTATTTTATTTCTATTACAGAAATTTGTGATGAACCTGAAGTGAAACCAGCAAAGTGTGCAGGCTCCGTATAATTTCCATATAAGTTTCTCTGTCTCAAATTCACTTCATTTGAAAGGTAATTAACTCTTATTAATATGTGAGCCTTCTTTGCTGGCTATGTGCTCATGTGAATATGACAAAGATGCAAGCAATAACATACAACGTTAAAAAATATCCTTTAATTGAGCTCATTTGAAAAAATCTGTTCAAACCTTTCAAATTATCAACCAAATGGTGTAGACAATAGCTGGCTGGGAAAATGTCAACATGTGTAATTTTCAATATGCATTGGACTCAATTTATGTCGTGCTTTAAAGCGGTGATGCACTACGTTTGACGTCTTTTTGTATTCCATCAAAATGATATTTGAGATACAAAATAAACCCTGAGAGGAACTGTGGTGAAAAACATGAACCATTTTTTAAGACAAACACAGAAAACAACTGGAAACAACTTACACAAATCAAACAAAATACAACAGAGGTGAGGACAGAGAAGCAAATAACTAAAATTCAATGGGACGTTTAATTGGTCTTAAAGGGCAGAAGAAATACAAGAAAATAACCTTTTCCTCTGATTGACTGGGATGACCAAACGTTTCTCATGTCAGTATAAGCATCTTTTTTCTCCACATTAACCTTGATCACATGATTATAATACTTGAACATGGGGAGGCCATTTGCACAAAAAGGACGTATTTGCCGAATTCGCTGTATTTTTTGTCATACTAGCCAATGGAGGAGACTTCAAAAAGTTAAAATAATAAAAAACTTAATCCAGATTTAGTAAGAACATATTCAATCCCTCTAGAATGAATATTAAAAAACTAAAATATATTGACAATACAGTTTATATTGTTGAGGGGGTAAAGCAAAGAGTGAACAGTAATAAACTGGCAAAACTATAGAATACATTAACTTCATTATCACCTTACCAATGTCATAAAACATCAACCAAAAATAACATATTTACCCTATACAAATAAAAATGTCTAAACAGCTTGCTGTTAAACTCTCACACATTTCCCAAAACATTAAGGTATCTTTGTACAAGGTATGTTAAGAAAGATTCAAATGCAACAAACCTTTCATTGTAGCTAACAAAATTACACCAATTATGTACACTAAACTTTAATACCCCCCCTCAAATCTTTGTCATGACACTACACTAATTTCCATTTTAGATGCATTACCGTTTTACTAAAAGGTACCACACCACTCCTGCTGATATCAGCTGGCAGAAAACTACATTTAAACAAATAAATGGAGGCAAACAGGGGAAACGAAGAGCAAGACAACATTAAGACATCCTACTGTCTGTGCTGAGTGACTAAAAATGTGTATTTACAGAGCTGAAATACATGAATCAGTAGAAATACATTATGTGACTATGGTAAAAATGACACACAAAAGCAAACAGTGACAAATGAGCACTCGTTAGAACCTAGAGCATTACTAAGGGTAGAACTGATTTTACTGTTTACGTTTGTTGTGAGATCTCCTTAAATCGGCTGCAAACAAGTATTACTATTCCATACTACCAATCACTACCAATTTATGTGTACGTTAAATGCACTGACCACGTGGGAAAAAAATGATCGTGCTGGCCAAAAGCATTCACAGTGAAATATTTTGTTTGAATTATGAAAATCTGTCAGAAATAGCAGGATTGCTTACTTAATTATGCTCCCTTGACCAAAAGTCAGCAGACTTCAGAAAATAAAAGCTACATAATAAATGCTTGAAACTTCCATACACTGAAGACTGTATGTTGGCTTGTGTAAAAGTCATCACCAGCAAGTTCACCAAAACGGTCTCATACCTAGAGCTGCAAACAAGGGTGCTGTTTAAATTGATAAATAAAGAGAAACTATGTAAAAATTGGTAAATTAACTGATATGCTCATAAACTATCTGAAAGCAACATGACCTCCCACTCTTGTTATTTCTTTTTTAGCTGGGGCTACTACAATGTTACTCTGTAATTGCTGACTGTAGATTTAAAACAAACCCTGTGGACAAATATATCACAGGACTTGTCAAAACCTCTGCTGCAGGCAAAGCGAGAGATCAATGAATAAGAGGGTGTTTGCTGATGATGACATTTTACACAGACAGACAACTGTCAGATCCTTACGCTTGATAGTGCCTTGGTGAGCAGAATCTATACGAGCAGCATTATCTTTATGGATTTTTAGAAATGAAACGTTTCCTTTGCTTTATCCTTCGAGGGACAGCATTACATCATACTTGTTGACAGCCCCAATTTAGCTTTAGCCTTCATTACTTTAGTAGTAGTCCAGATGAAACTAACCACCATGAATTCCTGTGTCATCTGAGGTCTGTACAATTTCACTGAGGAATTGAGTGAAGCAAATGGGACTGATTATATTACACACAAACGAAGAAAGCTTTAAGTCCTGCTTCCTCATGTTTCTACCATTACTTGACTTGCTACAAGAAAATGCTGCATACATATATTAAACACACTCCCCCTTCCCCAAATCCGCTCACTCACTGTTTGGGTGCTAATCACCTGAAAACTGAACCACTGTTAGTTTAGAAATAACAGGGCTTCATAATTAACTGCAACGAACTGTAGAGGCCAAATTTACAATTTGGTTAATATACATACCAATTATGTAGCCGAAACAGAAATATTACAGTAATGAGGACTGAAGCCATATCTGTACTAAGCCCCTTAAGTGCTTTGTAGCTTTTAGTTATTGTTTTACAATATGTAAATAGCATGTAATAACAGATTAACACAGACAAACTCATGTCTAAAATGTTAAATAAATGAGTAATAAAAAAAAGCATGCTAAAAAGAGGAGGTATTGAGCTTAAAATGATGAATAGCACATTTTACATGTAAAAGTCACAATCACAATAGTCAAATCAGTCATGCCATCCTTTGTTCTCACACATTCAGTCACACAGCGTCACAGCGTCTTTTTCAGCCAGTCTGTCCTCTTTCGTCGTCATCCGTCATCCGTTGCCCCATTTCTCCCCCACACATCACTGTCTTTTCCAAAGTCCTCTCACAAAAGAAGCTTGCCATTGCGGTGTATTTTCAGAATCTTTCCCAGTCTCTGTTTAGCTGTAGCAAGTCCTTTCTTTGGACGTTTCCCTGCAAGGAAGAAGAGAAAAACAAAAACAAAAACAATGGGTTACAGATTATACAGAAAAGCCCTTTTGTTCTAGCAATGAATGGAAAACTATCACATTAAAACGTTAGCTGCCATATTCAGTGGTGAAACGCGCAAGCTACTTCGCTATGCTTTCCTTTAAAAAATAACATCATGTGTAATAGAACATTTGTGTGTACTGTAAAATAAAACTTAGTAGCTCATGATACAAACGTTGGTACAAATTTTCAGCCATACCACCCACCCCTACTAACAACCTACAGGAGTAGTGTTTTTGCATTTACCTTGTCCTACTCCAGCAGACCCAGGACTTGCCAGCCCAGCAGGTGAGGGTGTAGAGGGGGAGTAGTTGCTGCTGTTTTGGGGTGAAAGAGAAGGTCGTCTTGATGTGAGGAACACCCCTGGGGCCATGGCAGCGCTTCCTCTGGGACCACCTGGGCCAAAAGGTCCTGCTGTGTACTCATGGTCCAGCAGGCTGGCGGAGTAAGCCTCCACTCTCCTCTCCTCTGCAATACAGTCTACTGGAGGCTCAGGGGGCAGTGAGGGGGACATCGGGCTGGAGTCTGGCTGTAGCTGAAGTTGTGATGCTGCTGTGTGGGCTTTCTCTTGAGGGATCTTCTTTTTTGTGTATTTTCTCTTGGTTGTGGTCTTCTGTTGCTCCTAATATCAAAACCAAAGAAAGGAAGGTTAACTCAATAGGCAGCACTGCATATTGAAAGCCTGTCCCTGAATGGAAGCATAATGCTCACCTGCTGTGCCAGTTTGGCAGCAGCAGCAGCGAGCCCAGTCTCCACCGATGCCACCCTGACGCCCTCCCTCACTGGTCTCTCCTGCTTGGGCAGGGTGGGGGTTACACGAGCTAGGAATAAAGGAACAGTGAGAAAGACTGCATCAGTTACGAACAGGCATACGTGGCTGTGAAAGTTTTGTAAAGAAAACACAGCTAAAATAAAATATAGACAAAATGTTTGAAGTTATAAGCTTGTACCTTTAGGGCTCCACGGTGTATCATCCCAGTTCCTCTTTCTTTTCATTTTAGACTTCAGTGTATGGTCCTCCTCGTCTGACTCTAATGAAGGGTACACTAAATAAACAGGAAAAATCCAAAAGCATTAGAAATAAGTCAATTAAACTCAATGATCTTAAGGACAAATAAGCTATTAAGAGGACCATCAATAAAGTGAACAATTCTCCATATATAAGACAATGCTATGAGATGCATGGTAGGAACTCACCATACTCAGAGTCCTTGAAACAGGTGCCCAGAGTCTCCTGCTCATCTGGGCTCTCCTCGTCACTTAGGTGCCTGGCAGGCCTTTTAATGGGTCGTTTGCCTGGCCTCTGGATGGTGGCCTTCTTCTCACCCTTTTTCTGAGTGCCACTCACCCATGCAGCTCTCCTGCCTTTTTCATTCATGACCCTCAGTGCCTCACCCCCTCCAGACATAGAGAGAGGAGAGGAAGAAGAGGAGGAGGAGGAAGATGAGGAGGATGAAGAAGAGGAGGAAGAGGAAGAAGGAGGATTGGCCATGGACAGCATGCCCTGGATCGCATCACGGGTGCTGGGAGAGGCTGGAGCTTCCTCACTAAGTGACAAAAAATGGAAAATGAGCATTGCAGCTCTTGCTTAATAGCATGTATACATTTAACTTTTTTCTTTCTTTAATGTGTTTCACAATTTTCAGATGATGTATTGCTGTTTCTTTTCACTTTCATGTACACCACACTTCATCTGAATGTATGGTGAATCACTAAGCAGGTGGAGGCAGGAGAAAGTCATGGTAGGTTCTGTACCTGAGGGCCGGGTCCAGGCCAGCCACCTGCTTGCTGGCTTTGAGTAAGTCCAGAATTCCTCCTGCACCCCCCTTCACTCCCTGAACAGTGAGCAATTCTTCATCTGTGGTGTAGTCCTCCTGAGGGACACAAAAAGATACAAGATCATGCTTGATAATATCTTTCCACCTATTGCAACTGTAACACATAGCTCTGTACATTAAGAGGGGAATGTTACATGAAAGAACATCTGAAAACAAGTTTACCTCAATGTCAAAGTCCACCTCCCCCGGTTCTCTGACTCTATGTGGGTCAGTGCACGGTTTTGCACGAGGTAGTTTCCTAGGAAGACCTGTTGCACAGCAGTATTAGACCGTATTATCAGTATTGGGTTAAACATCTATTTATACTGCTCTGAAGTTCTGATATATGCAAACAGCATTACAAATAAACTGGACATGATCCTACCAGCCAGCTTTTTCTTGCTGGGTACAGCTGGCCTACGGCGAGGAGGAGGGCTTTCATCAATCTGAAGCTCATCTTCAGAATCGAAGTCTGAAAGAGCTGAGCTGCTTGTTAGAGGCTGAAACTGAGCAGTGCGCCCTGCTCCATTAGCGCTACTTGAGCGGCCACCTTTCTTCCTGAGAGCACAGTAAGCATAAGTAAGGCACAGAGCAAAGTCTTGAAACAAAATTTTATCACTACACCAAAGTAGAGTCATGCAACACTGTCCATCATGAAGGCCCAATCATACCCTTGTATCTTGCCGTTGGTTAGGACCAATTTGAGCTTGCTCTTATTTATTTTCCCATCAAAGTCATCTAGGCAGGCAGCAGGCAGGTCCATCTTTTGAAAACAAACAAAAACACAAACAGTGGCAACCTATAGTTTGTAATCTACATCATTTTTTAAAATCCAAAGTGTCTGTAAAAGTCTTTGCCTCTGTTTTCAAATCGATTACACAATTCTACCTTGCTCTTGTTCTTGGCTTTATTTCCTGGCTGGAATTTCTTGAGGGTGTGTTTAGTATGAATCTCAAGCATATCCAGCTCTCCTGCCTCCGTCTTCATCTCCTTCCCTTTCTGGCCCTTTTTCTTTGTCCCTGGAGGGCCTACACCCCCTCCTCCAGCCATATCATTAGGTTTGGGGCCCCTCTTTTTACCTGGGGGTCTGCCAGAGTTGAGAGGAGTAGTTAATGGAGCTTTGGGATGAGGAGAGGGAAGGCCTTGTGAGCCACCAAAGGGAGCCCCACTTCTGCCAATATTCTGCTGGAAGATGTCCTAAAAGGAGATCAACATGTAAAATAAGTCAGTAAACACTGGACTTATTCATACCTCAAGAAACATACCAGATGGAGGGCTTTTTTAGTGCAATACTTCCTCAAAAGCTTGCATTAAAATAGAATGACATTCACCTCCACAAGTCGAATCTCTTTAGCCAGGTCCTTCACCAGTTGCTGGGTCTTTATAGTCTCAGGTATCTCATCCTCATGTTCAGCCAAGGACTGAAAGGCATTCACTAAATACATTGAACTTTCAGTTCTAGTGAAATCAATTTTAATTTAGATTGTATGTCTTTAAAAGTCACATATAAGTACAATGCTTTATGGGTGGAGACCTACTTCAAATCAAGGCAAATTGAGACCAAAGCAGGAAATGCAACTTCTATAACATTATAGATAAAACATTACCCAAAATGTGCCCTGTTGAGCACAAGCAAAATAGTCTGAACAGCATTTGAATTGATTTCACAGTACTGATTGACTGCAATAGATTTTCAAAATTACCTCTTTGCGGGTCCAGCTTCGGAAGGCATTATTAAGAGCCTTGGCTCCATTGACAAGGTAAGAGGCAGGATGCCGACGATTTTCCCTTAGGCCTACAATGAACACAACAGCATTTCAAAAGAACAGCTCTAGTTTTGGTTGATACAGCTTAGATGTTGTTGCTGTAGTAGCAGTGAAAAGCCTGCCTCTCTCTGGATAGCAGAACATGCCTTCATCAAAGACACCTTGGCCAAATGACTTGAAAATCTGAACCTAAACAAGTCTCAAGCAAGTAAGTCGCTCCCAAGGTTTTCTCAATGGTAAAAACAAACCCTACAGGGATCATTTCAGTAAGCAATCTAAACGTCAATATTCACTTCTGAATATTTAACAAACAGCTGGAAAGTCTTACCTCTGAAGGTGTCAAGCAGGTGCTTGCCAACATACCAGCACACTGTCTCAAAATTAGGAAACTTAAACAAGTCTGCTGTACTGAGTCTTTTCTCTATTTCATAGGCCCTAAGCAAGACAGAGGGAGAATCAACAAACAGAAGCGTTAGAAACAAAATGCATGACATACTGGATTACATAATAGGCATAAAAAATATACAACTAACCACAAAGATAATATTCCTAACATCCCAACTAAAAACAGGAGACAACTCACCGAAGCTGCATGTCAATGTTGAGGCTATGAAGGAAATTTCCACCAAACGCCAAACAGTCAACAGGTGTGAGAACTGCATGGATCCAACCTGACACAGGACAAAAAGACCATCAAACGTTACCTTAACATCATCATCATTTCTAAGACCCCACAAGTGTCTTCTGTATGATGGAACTGAATATGTCAGCACTGGCACACAGTTCTCATTTAGACAGGTGTTGAAAATGTGTTCGGAAAATAGTCCCTTTAGTGTGAGAATAAACCAGGCATGTCCCCATTGACCAAGCACGTAATTAGCTAGAAACTACTTAAAACACCCCTCGACAAACATACTGCACATGCATTTTGACATTTTAAACACAAACTGAATTTTAAAACAAGTGGCAGACGCAGCCAAATATGTGGCTAATCTCAAAAAGTTCTCATTCACTGCAATTACAACACTAATTCAAACAGCTGCATACCAGTAGGGATAAAGAGAGTGTTTCCCTGCTTGAGTGAGCATTTATAGCACATGTCCACTTGGTCCCCAAAGAAGAGCTCGTTTTGATTGGAGGAAGAGCTCCAGCGCTCAAATAGGGCCAGGTTGGCGGGCGTTGGACGGATCAAGTAGAAGATCTTCTCACCCTAAGATAAGAACACACGTGTTAACCATGTTTACTCAAACTTCTTAATATGCTTCCTTTTTGTCGGGAATTAAAAAATGGATTATCAGCTTTAGCTGTTTTACTAACATTAAACTAATGTGCCTTACCCGCAGCACATGGTACCATACAGAGGTTCCCCCAAAATCAATGTGAAAGTCTGTGTAGCTGTCCTTCACGCCCATCAGGCAGTACTTCTGCACATTTGGCCTCTCAAACACAGACTCCTCTGGCCAGAGATTTTCCACCCATGACAGTTTCCTTACAATCTTTGGTGTCTCTACCAGGTTAGATAACCTAAAGGCATACAAAGTGAAAGAGAGTTAGTGGACAGCACTACTTGAAGTAAAGAGTCTTCAATTAATGCAGATTAATGAATTACATACTAAGGACATGTTGAACATGCACCAAATTGTACCTAGTATCTGAAAACTCCAGGCTTATCACATTGAGCACTCTATCTCTGTTGGGGCTGTTATAGTATGCAACAAAATCCCCAAGTTTCATCTTCAGGTCTGCCTGACGGATCACATCAATCACGTCAATTTCCTTGTCACTTCCTATAAGACAAAGCACTCTGTTAGCATTTCATAAAAGATGCACTGGTTGATATCCATCATTAAAAAACATTAACTGAGAAAAACAAAGACCATATGGAATTACAAAAATGATGGAAATAGCATTGCTAACAGCATTGGACTATTGTTTGGCAAGTAAGTAAGGGTGTTTACCAATATAGTGCTCAACATCAGACACAGTGAAAGATGATGGAGGCAAGCTCATGCCCAACCCATCCCTCCTCAAGACTAAGACTGGAACACTGAAGGAGCGCTCCTCTAGAAAGTCAACTGTGAGTTGGGCTCCTGTGGGCTTCAGAAGGACCTCATCAGCACTAAAATGAAGATCAAAATCACAAATTAGGCACAGGCTCTTTTGCATTACTTTACATATTGACCTTTTTAAGTGACTGACGACAGGGACAAATAAAAATTACCTTGGAAAGGTTCGGCTGCGCAACTCTCTAACAAACTGAGCACTACCGGTCTTCACAGGCCGCCCTGACTCTCGCCCACCTGCTCCACTCTCAGACTGCTTAGAGCCCCCACGCCGTTTACGCACTGAAAGATAAACAATATTCGCAATTATACAACAAAAAATGTAGCTAGTTATCTTAGTGGCCTAAACAAAAACAATTGCAAAAACAGAACAGTCACACATATGACATTGTCCCTTATTGTACCTCCTTTAAAGATCCTGAAGCAATGATTCCCAATTAAAAGGGTAGTTAAGTCTACTTTCACAAGGAAAAAAAAACCTGTAATGACCTCCTCCTTTAAGGGGAACTGTGGCCTACAATTTGATTTGTATTTAATATATTACACACACACACACACACACACACATAATAGGAATATGTGTCATGTAGTGCAGTGTTGTATCCTTCAGTTACACAAAAGTGTTCTCTCGCTACAATATCCAGCATGCATTACACAAACATGTCATACAATCATTGCGAATCCCTACAATGCTCAAGGCTAATAAATGCAAATAGGATATTTGGCTTCCCAGCAGTAACTTTATCTGAATAATTGAGCTAGCACCAAATTAGCACAAAAACAAAACAAAAACATTTCAAAACAGCTCACTGCCAAGTATCCATCATAAGGGGCTTGTTATTTTCCCAAAAGATCCTGCCACCCTCAAGATACATTATGAGAAGGGAGTCTTCCTTGTCTTTCACTATCTGGACTATTGTGGCATCACTGTATGAGGCAAGTTGGCATATTTACAATGGACACAGAAATACATTTTTCATTTTGGGAGGAACGTCCCTTTAAAGTAAGTAGATTAAGAAACACAGGAGAAAAACTACAGGTACTTACTAACAGAGGGTCCATGTGTCACCTGACAGTTAGGGCAGTGATACAGGTCAATGTCTGCTGCTTTATCTTCTTCCACTCCAACACAACTATAACAAAACATTACAAGTGTAAGACACATCACCAAAACATTTTAAAATCCAAGAGTAAATAAGGCTGATCAGGTTTAATCTGTATAAAATGTCACACTCACCTTCCATGGAACCAGTCTTGACAAACATCACACTCAATCATAAACCGTGTGACATCGTAAGGAAGTCGGCATAAGCAATACACAGGAACAGATGCCATACTGAATTTGTGGGCAGACTATTTAAGCACCAGAAGGTAAGTCTCAACTCTGATCTCCCTTTAGGCACCACAGTGTACTCAGCTGTAACTGTGCACAAGCACAGCGGTCCAGCTCATTCGTCAGTGGGCAGTTTTGATATAACAGTCACTTTAACTGCAATATGTTAGACTGTGGAAAATGATGGCAGGGACAAAAGTTTGCTTCTGATGGCATCAGGCAAGGTTTTCGTCACCACTGCAGTCAAACACGGCAGCCAGCATATGCCATGACTTGACACCTGTTGAGACAGTGATGGAACAATTCAGGGCAGAAACTTTTGTTCTGTTTAAAAACATCAATTAAAGTACACTTTAATTAATTTACACCTACTCTATAACACAAGCACCGCTTGCAGGTGATCACCCGCGTAATTCCCAAAGACCACTAAACATCAGATTGGCGCCTTATAATTTGGAAGGGAGCAAATTTGGGATGTAGAATGAAATGTTTCGACAAGCATACGTTTCAAGATTTTATTACATTCAAATATGTCAAATATGTCACTCAAAAAGTTGCTATTTACTGAACACGTATCACCACAGTGAACCGTGTAAACATCCGCGGTTTAACGCTGGCAATTTAGAAGTCCATTTAGAGTGATACAAGTGTAGGAGAAAAATTAAAAAGGCGCACTTTTTAAAATAGCTAATTAACCAAAATAGAAACAACTAGTGACATTTATATTCACTCTTTAAAGCCAGCTGCTTGCACTTATTAAACTAGCCTGCAAAATTAATGTAGTAAAACAGCTTATCTTAGCCACACAGCCTAAATAAACTGAACACAATGAATACGGGAACCCGAGCTAACTCAGCTAGCAAAACACTCAGCGGCTTTTTGCTAGTTAGCCAACAGTACTAACGTTAGCTAACCTAAAGCGTTAGGATGGACAACAGCATTAATATTCATGTTTATTATTAGTCAAAATGAGATTCAGCGTGGGGGAATACTTTGAAAAAGGGATAAAACATATTAGCTTACCGCACCTATGAGCTGCTCCGCTCTGCAGCTAACATGCTAACTAAACTACGCTACGCACTAACGTTAGCTTCTCGATTTATTAGCTAACTTTAATATTAATGTAAACGCTAGCCGTATAGCCTCTATCCTTCGGCTACCAGAATCTTTTTGACTAATAGGTGTAGAATAAACGTCGACGCGTTGCTCTTAGCTCCTGGGCCCGCTCCGAACCAAAACAGACAAAAGACTTCCCTCAGAGCCGCTGTCAAGTCTTACCGAGTTCAGAGTGTCGCTAGAGAACCGAGGGCCAGGAGCGTCATACCGGTTGAAGTCCTTGGGAAAATCCGAGGCGCCGTGAGGCCTAGTTTGGAAACACTAAGCTGCTTTCCGACTGTAATATTTGCATTGCTTTTTGTTATTTTTTGCTCACTCAGAAGTGGAGGTTGGTGAGTAATTTGCGCCAAATTACAACAAGGTGTATCGGAAGAAGCGCAAAGCAACAACTTTGTTCAATTCGCTACATAAACATTGGCGATAGAGAGTATCCATGTCAACACACCCGTGCAGCGACCACTGTCTGCAGCAGGAGGAACCAGATCAGTTCAGCTACATTTCGGATTAACGGGCCTGAGCTCTCACAGCTAGCCCTCTCCACACAGCGCACACTTAGATGGCTTTCTGTGATAACTCGTGCACGGGCAGCGCACTTCTGATAAGAATGGAGTAACACAGCTTTCTATGACTACAGGCGTATGTACAACCAGTGCTTAAAGGGCCAATATCCTACATTTTTATTGTAATTTATTTTTCCGCCCCAGAGATCCACTTACATCATTAAGAGTGGTTTTATACACCAAACATACTCATGATTCATTTTGACTTTATACATTTTCCAACTTCTCTTTATCCCTTAAGATTAAACAGGCTGTTTTGTGACTGTGCCTTTAAGACTGACTTATGTAAATGAACTCAGTCCTGATTGGCTGCCCTGTAAAGTTATTGTGCCTCATTCTAAAAGCAGTCGGGATGAAATACTCCTTATAACTTCAGTGTGAATGGGCGGGGCTGAACTGCTGTAGGCTGTATAGGTCGATATTGGACTGGGGAGAGAACTGTACATTTTAAAACTTTTTTACTTCAAACTCCTTTGTTTCAAAAAAACGAGGGAAAGTTTTCTATTATATGGGCTTTTTAATGGTTTATTTAATGTTTGTGTACTTGATTGTATATTGTATTGTATAGCATATTGTTCATTGTATTTATCCATTGTCTGTTTGTATTGCTCCACTGTGTTAAGTATAGGTGGAACAATTTTTCGTACCTTATTCAACACAAGGTGGTGGTGAGAGGGAATGACAAAGCTGACGACGAGTGTACACAAGTATAGAGTAAGATCTATTTCTATGATGATAGGCTCATATACAATGCATAAATCTTGTCATCATATATATCTTTCAGGATGATACATACACTGATAGCTTTCTGTGATGCATAGCCAGTTCACTTTATAAGGACAGTTTTATACTCCTCCATAATGACAGGCTCATGCACACTACTAGCTAACTTACCCAAACAGACCAGTTTCCCACACATGGATTAGGTCTAGCCTTAGACTAACTTTGCAAGGCCAATGGTTGTTCACCAAAAGTATGAAAATCCGTTTTAGTGTAGGCTTTGGCCTTATCTGGGTCTGGGAATCTGGCTCTGCATAGAAGCATAGAATTAGATACCTTTTCATGAGAACTGGCTCATGTAAAATACAGGCTGTGCATAAAATTTAGATCTATCTATTTGGCTTCAAGTTACCCCTGAGGATTTATTTTTTGAGCCTTTATTGGTGTTGTTCATGTTGATCCTTAACTATTGTTTGACTCAGTGTGAACTAAAATATAGCAGGCTTGTTTATCACATAAAAAATGACTTATTATAGTCTAGCACAGTGAGAACATAAAATTTCCTTCTGCTTCAAACATTTGTTGCTCTGAAATCTGCACCTATATCTGCAAAGAACTGTAAAGATGTTTTGAGAACTGTAATTGAGTAGAGTTTTGGATTTGAAAGTTTTTAAATTCTTATAGGCAACTAATTAATGCAGACAGTGTGTACACACACACACACACACACACACACACACACACACACACACACACACACATATATATATGTATAGGGAAAATACAAAAATAAGCAGAATCTGCACACAATGTAATGAAAAATAAATAGTTGTATTGGTAGTAACAGTAGTGGAAGTAATAGTGTATTTTTACTCATTACTCAGGGGAACAGAATCAGAATATCTGGCATAAGGATTACAATGATTAATAAAAACAAAGCACTGGTATCATGAATAATGACTTAGTAATTTTGCCAACATCAGAATATGTGTAGATCATATGCCTCATGGTGTGTCCAAATGTGTCCAGTAGGGGGAGTTATTAGCAAAGCTGAGATCGTAGCAAAGAAACTGATTCAGAGCATATAAACTAAAAATGTACATTTTAATAGAATGAAAATAAATGATACTCACAGGACTTGCTAACACTAACACAGACACATTGAGCATACCATCCTTTATTTCAGATGTACACAGTGTTCTGTGACTCCTGAATTGAGGTTCATTTTGGTTCAGCTGTTTGTATTATTCTATCTCGAACTTATCTTGAGCCTCTAGTTTCAGCAACTGTTTTGTGCAGCACATGTATTTGATCACTGTTCTTTGAGTTATAAATCACAACAGACAACTACTTTGTGTAGGAGTACAGCTTTAAACCACAGCAATGAGAGAGTTTTAGTTCTATTCAGCAAATCTCACAGGATGCAATGTAACACATATCTGAATAAAAGAACTGAAGTTATGTAAAGGAGTTACATGATAGATTACAAAACAAGGCTTTTGCTTACGTCTGTCACAGTTGTTGATAACACAAGCTACCATTTGTCGCAGAGAAGTTGACCATGATCACTCACTGATGTTTCATCAGTGCTGAGTCACTGCTGTGAAAGAAGTTCAAATAAAAATATAACAGATGTTAGTTAATGACTCTTTTAATTGTTGCATATCACAATTATTAAAGTACATATAATTGTACATGTAGCTCCTTAAAAAAGTTATGAACTTAGTCATTAGTTCACAGATTTTAGCACGTACATATTTGCCTCTTACTGCCAGATAATTTCAAACAATCTTTAAAGAAGGGCTGACACACTAAACTCCATTAATAATAATAATAATAATAACAACAATAATAATAATGATAATAAAACACATTAAAAATGGCCTGCAATGACTGGCAATTTGCATGATGATATTTCTTATTTTAAATCCTTCTTCTCTTAGAGTAAAAAGCAGAGTCTGATAGACACATATTTATATACATTTTTGCCACAGTGTTTACATTATTTTTAAAAGTCTCCCTTGTTTATCTTTGTTCTAGTAAAGTACTGAAAGGCTATACATGATTTATTTTTGTCCAGTTAAATCGATTTATTTAAATGATTATTCAATGAAACAAAATAATCAGTAGATTACTTGATATCTAATATAATTGATAGTGACAGATCTAGTTCAAAGTGGAATCTTTATGGCAGTACTGTTATGCAACCTGCTGCATACCGCCCCCCTTGCCCTACTAATGACCTGCACCACTTCCAACTAAATTGCTGCCTTGGGGTGGTCAATATATATATATTACATCAACTTCTCACTGACAATACTAAAAAACAGCATGTATCATAAAAAAAGAGAGACCAATAATAAAGTGTCTGTGCACAACAACAGCCCGTACATAGTAACTGTATAAGCTTAATTAACATGTAGCTGATTGGATGTCAGCCTATTATGCCATCATCTTATTTATTAATTTATTTGTTACCAATTGTTAGATATTTTCCTGCTGTTCATTCTTAGTTTATATTTAGAAAAACAAAAAGCAGTGAAGTTGTCCTTTCCAGCTTGTTCACAAACCTCAGAAAAACTATCATGATATATACTGTATATCAGTCAAATGTCTCCAAACATTATGATATTTTATTTTTGTCATACTGTCCACTTTTACAGCAGCCTGTCCAGCAGCAGACCACTGACTCCGGCTCAATATCCCAGGCTCAGCGCTGGTGGCCGAGGCCCAGCTACGGGGGTGGGCTGGCTGGGCTTCAGCAGTCCGCGCCCCCATCACAGATTGATGAATTGATTGCGGCGCTGCTGCCAGTGTGTCTGTGCCCTGGGCGAGGGCGCCCCGGTTACGAGAGGGAATCCCAGCAATGGCACCCGCTGTGGTGCCGCAATTGTGTACGGCCTGCAGGGGGCCTCGGGGGCTGTTAGCCCCGGGAGCAGCCCTGACCCACATACTGCTGTCACACCCCTGGAGACACACACTGCGAGGGCAGGCAGGGAGATGAGTGTGTGTGTGTGAGTGTGTGTCTGTGTGTGGGTGGGATAAGCCAGGCAAAAGTGGGGGTTAGGTGGTGGGCACCTTGTTGAGAGGATTTTCACAATTCCCACTGCTGGATTTTTCCAAGTTAGTGATTAATGTTGGCTGAGAGCAGTTAGAAACGATTCAAGGTCCCATATACTACATTTTTCTCCTATTTCACTTTTTTTCTCCTGAGGTCCGTTTTCAGTCATATGCAAAAGTTTCAACACCCCCTGTCAAATTACATGTTTTGTAATTCTAAACAGGGAACACTCTTAAATATGGCGTTTTTCATCTAGTTTAGTTCACAATTTCTATATTAGTTAACATATAGTTTATATATAGTTTAACATATCCAGAAAATACATTGGAAAATGTGTCATAACTTAAGCACAGTCATATTTTATATTTAAATTAAGCAAATAAATAGAAAACTTGCACTAAAATTTGCAGAAGTGTGTTCTCTGTAGAGCATGTGTTCACTTATTTTCACTTCGAAAATCACTGTAATGAAACGGGGATGCCCAAACGTTTGCATATGACTGGGCAAAGTTAGTGTAGTTTTCTCTACCAAAAATAGTCATAATTCATTTTTACATGACAATTTTCCAACCTCTCTTTCTCCCTGATGTTTTGTTACTGTGCCACCTTTAAGACTGATTTATGTAAATGACCTCTGTTTTGAGTGGCTGAACTGCATCTCATTCAGAAAGCAGTACAGCCTGAAATGCTCCTTATAGCTTCAGTGCCAATGGACAGGGCTGAACTGCTGTAGTTGTAGACAAGTAAATGAACTGGTTTTCATGACAACACAAAAATGATTTACTCAAACAGAATGATTTTTCAGCTTAGCTCCCATATATTGACTATGTGGACTGAGGAGAAGACCGTATGTTTTGAAACTTTAACAATGTTACATACTACATCAACTTTATTTAACACAAGTGAGGAAAACTCAGTTTTCTATGGAATGGCCCCTTTAAAAGCTCAGGTATCGCTAACTCCTTCTGTATCTATAGCACCATACTCTACGAAAAGATTTATAACATTCTGTGGTATTGCGTAATGTTACCAGCATTAAGACACACGTTCTATAATTACGTACCAAACCACAAAAAGGCTGAAATATATGGTGTAACAGCCCCACATCCCACAGTGCTTAAACTGTATTCTGGAAATAACCAAGTAAATAATGAACCCAGCATGGAAGCCACTGCAACAGTCAAACATCTTCTGTGGAGTCACACAAGTGCTCTTTCATTTTCGGTCACAGAGAGTTTATTTGGGCAGTTTTGTTCAATAAACGTATGTTTATTCATGCAAGCAGATACACTGTAGTACTAGAGGCTAAGCATGAACATGTTTGTAAGTATTTAAAATGGTTTCAAATAATGGATCAGTTTTTGATTATGTATAGTGCAGAATTAATACAAAAATCATATTTAATATACGTATCAGATCAGTCTGAACAACAATTTGTGAAGGCAAAATAAAAATGGAACACACAGGGTCATGAGTAGAGCTGTAAGTTGTTGATAATTACCCTACTTTTATTTCAATGGAAAAATAAAGCAATTACACCACATTGAAAATTCTTATAATATGATGTGCTAAGTGCCTTTGTGCACAGATTAGTGAAGAACCAACAAAGTAACTAGCTGAGGTAACTGAGAGGTGCTGTATCATGCAGTGAAATGAAGATGGTGTCCGAGGCATTGTTTAGTTCTTTACAAAGCATTGTCGCTGCTTGCTTAATGTTTGATTTTGATAGAATCTCAGCACAGGAAACATCAATACAGGCATAAATAATGTTGACAAAGCATTTACAAAAATACAAAATATATGTTTTCATCAGCAGCAAAAAAAGATATGACTAACAAAATAACACAAATTTACTAATCTCTTTTTAAAGGTTAACATTCATACTTGTTCATGGGCACCAACACACGCAAACGAACCTAGTTCTGATTTGAGGACAATATGAAATGTAAACAGTAGGGCTGCACATTATATCAGTGTAGGGATGAAATCTGAATCATCTCAGTATTAGCAGATATCTGCTTTTAAAAAAAACATTATGGACAGATGTTTAAATTTGACCTACATTTCAAAATATGTGATGATGTATTTGTCGTATTTGGGAAAAACAGAACATTTACGTGATGCTGGGTTACTGCGCTAACATGTCTGCTTTTTATTCAGTTCACTGCATCACTGCAACACAACACAAATAAACATTACATTTCTCTGAAATGCTAATGCAGATGGATCTAGTCTTAACGTCTTAATTTTGTCAAAGAGACTATTTTCAAAATTTGCTTGTATTTTATTTTTTCTCCTGAGGTCCACTCATAGGATTTGTGTGATCTTGTTCACCAAAACAGTCAAAATTTCATTTTTACATGGCCATTTTCCAAACTCTCTTTATCCCTTAGAATTAAACATGCTATTTTGATACTGTACCTTTAAGAGTGATATATGTAAATGACCTCTGCTCTGATTGGCTGTCCTGTATTGTGCCTCAGGAAAAAGTACTCAGAAATGATACACTTCCTTTGAGTTTAATATGAGTGGGTAGGATTAAACTGCTGTATATCTGGATAGGTGGACAGTTGATATTACAGAAACAACGAATTTAAAACAGTTCTTGGTTTAAGGTTTCCATATATGGACTGTAGAAACTGAGAGGTGAATGGTACGTTTTGAAATATTTTTTAAAAAGTGAGGGAAATTTAGCTTTCCATGATAAGGGCCAAATAATTTTTACGTATGTGTAACTACTGTATGTGAAACATATTGAATATTTTCATTTGGCCCACAGTTCCCATATTGGTGCACTGCTAAATTGTTGTTAGTTGTTATCATGATATTGACCCTTGCAATACTGATACCACAGGATGCTGCATTATGCAGACCTACCCTCTAACCAACTGCAAGCTTTTTCTTTTATTGTGTTGGATGCTTCTTGACCATTTACAGCCGCAGATGAGTGTGGCAAAACAACGAAATTGTAATACTATGTGGTAGCATGTAAAATCTCAATTCTACACTTCTAAAAAAGCTGGTTCTTCAACGGTTCTTTAGCAAAGAAAATGATTATATATAGGACTATGAACACTCAAAGAGCCCTTTGCATTAAAGGTTTCTTTGCATCGTGAAAACGTTCTTCAGATTGATGGAGAATGTGCTGTAGATGGTTCTACATAGAACCTTTTTACAAAAGTTCTACAAAGCACCAAAAAGGGCTCTTCTATTGTTACGATGTCAATCTTGTTAACCACCTACAGCTCATTCTCCATCAATCTGAACAACCCTTTCGAGATGCAAAGAACCTTTTAAACATGCAAAAGGTTCGTTGAGTGTTCACAGTTCTATATAGAACCATTTTCTTTACTAAAGAACCCTTGAAGCACCATCTTTTTTAAGTGTGCAGTACTTTGTCCAAATCTTGCAGCCCTAATGAATAGAGTGCCTTAGAATCAGTCTCCACTACTGTACGGATACTCTAGGAAATATAAATGTCTGAAACACCTACCAGTCAAAGAGCTACAGAGAGCTACTCCTGCCCTGCTATTAAGGCCAATGCACAGCATCTAATACACACATGCAACAAATACAGCAAGACAGATCACACTACCATGACAGACATCATGCAAGAGCAGCAAATTCCTTTCACTGAGGTGTACAAATACAGCTATCTTGTTATAGAATTGTAAGGACCACACCAGGCATGTTCGGTAACACTTTAGTGTAGTGCTGTGTTCATAAGACTACATAACACCCACATTAGCTCGTCATAACAACTGACACATAACTATACAAAGATTTATAATGGCTTATTCTATTTAGCCTTCATTTGTCACAAACGCTGCTTTTGTCAACTTTGACGCCATGGTGACATTACATTAATGTCAGATGACTGATTTTTTTTTCTGACATGACAATTTTTGGGGTGAAATAACGTGTTCTAACAATTTACTGAATAATAAAATGAAACTCACTTTACATCACAGAAGATGCTGACTTTTGTTCAACCAGCCTGGTTTGGCAAGCTACATCATATTATCATTATTATGACACCGTGACATACACAGAGCTACAAAGCCTGTCATTTCACCACAGAAAGTGTCATGATTACATCACCTTACACAGATGTTAGGTCTACTTGACATCCAAATTGGCAAATGCAACCTGTCTGAAAATGACACATACTGGACTGAGTGTTCAGAAATGTTAATGTAGTATTTCAGTTGTCATGTAAGGGCTTACGTAGGTGTGATGTAGCACTATGAACAATGCCCTACAGTAAAGTGTCACTGTATGTTCTTCATTTAGTGCACTACATCACAAAAGCGCACCTCAGGTAGTGCACTACAACATAGTCTGTGCAACCCCCACAACAGTGCACAAACTACCATTCAGTCAAGGCAATGTGTACGTGCAAAGACAAAAGAGCAGTGACCATATCATCTGTTTGCTCACAGAGGACTGAGGCCTGCTCAAGGACCTGGGCTATATGTACAGGCAGCCAAAGTACTATTGCCACTCTCTACAACTTTCACCACTGACTTAAATGCTAATAAAACAGTGTGTTACTGTAAAATCTCCACAGCATTACTCTAGCAAAAACATATAAAATTGAAACACATTGGAACACATTTGAGTCTAGCATTCCTCAAGTCACAGCACACCTCTGAAATTCTCTAATAATCCGAGCCTTATTTCTGGAATCGATCAACAACATTTCACAATTTATTTCCCACACTTAAAACCTTATGAAAATAAGGTCTAAGCCATTAGGAACAAGGTTTTGAGCCACTAGGGCAGTGTTACGATAGTTTAAATGACCTGCATTTAACACTAATTACTATATGCCACAGTAATAATAAAAGCCAGAGAATTTTTATCATCCCTTCATAGTGTTTTACACATTTACAGGGTGAATAAATAAGAAGCCCAGAATATGATAACCGGATCACTCCAATTCACACAAGAGCTAAGCAACTTTCTCACTAGATAAAATGTTAAAGTCATGGGGATGTGCTACCTATCTTTTAGTGATTACTGCTGTAGAAGATTCATCAAAATGGGAGAGGGGTTTAAAGTGACATTTTTACAAAGTGAGAAAGCACTGAAGAGTGGAGCCCAGGCTGCACAGTAAAACTCTGCGTTGGCCTGATCTCTCCACTCTCATCTTGTAAACAGAATAAAAGAAACTCCAACCCTCTGGTGCTCCTTGATGAGCTGCAGCTCAAGATTCTTCTTCCTCCGGTCCACTTCACTTCTTGTTCTTGAGCTGGTTGGCCAGCCAGTCCAGCCCCTCATACAAACCGTCGCCACTGGTGGCACAGGTTGCCTGGATGTACCAGTTGCGATGACGGAGAGAGTGAAGGCCAAGCTTATCTGTGATCTCTGCTGCGTTCATTGCATTTGGCAGGTCCTGCACATCAAAAGGAAGAGAAGAATGTGAAGCAGACAACATGAGCCATAGTTTGGTAAAAATTAAGCTAGAGTATTAAATGCTGCACGCAAGAGACACTAAAAGAGCAAAACTACAATAACTAAGTAACGACATGGATATATAAAGCAGACTTGCTGATTGTGAAGTACTGAATGAATAAGGATCATAATGAAATGCAGGATGTTCAGAATGATAATCTCCAAGCAATGCTTCTGGAGGAATCATCTGTGAGCAATATGTGAAAAATGTTGTGCCTTAGTCATGCAACTCTGGCAGCCCCAAAAATCCCTAAAACACTTAAACTAGGTGTGAACTGTTTTCACAGCATGGGGTTCTCACCCCTCCTCTTTCACCCCTCATTGCTCGCTACCAGGTCAACAAAGAGCCACAACACTTTACACACACACATACACACACACTATTAATATGAGAATAGCTAAAATTATTTTTATTATTTATTTTATTTGAATATATTAACTAAAAAAATCCACTTCCATTCCGCCAGCTGAATGGCCACTAAGGGGCCGGCAGAAAGAGGCAACCTTTAGAAGTCAAGAGATTATAATTAGTTTTTCTATATTGTTAAACTGTATTTATGTAATTATATTTAATTTCATAGTAAGACAATTATACTTAAATTCGATTTACAATGTGTATCAACAGAATTGTGTCTTTTTAACACTGACTTTCCAAAAAACAAATAAGAAATGGCAAAAATATGGGGAAAATTGAAAGATTTGAAACAAGAATGTATGAATACAACACATCAATTCATCAAAATCAAATTATGCAATATCTCTTCTTCTACTTACAAATATAACTGTGTTATTGACTGAAATTTTAGAATCTGTATTTTAGACACAATTTCTCTTTTTGTTTCAGTGAGCTATTAAGAATTACACTATGTTTGCAATCCCCTGCTCCTAAAAGTTAATATGCTTGATAGGGCCTGTGCATGCAGCAGGTAAGCTGAAAGAGGTCTCTTGCCTGTTTGTTGGCGAAGACAAGTAGCACTGCATCTCTCAGTTCATCTTCAGCTAGCATCCTCATCAGCTCTTCTCTGGCTTCATTCACTCTCTCACGGTCATTGCTGTCCACCACAAATATAAGACCTGACAAAACACACAGAAAAATAAGGAACAGGAGTATAGCTAATTTATGGCAACAAGATAATCACTTACGAGGAATTTAAATAGCAAGACTGTGTCTTCGGTGATGAAGCAGTCAGGCGACGTCCTTCACAAGTTAATTAATAGAAAGGTTAGTGGTGACCTTGATTTATGATTGATGCAGAAGTGATGTTCTTCCTCAAAGTGAATCACCAACAGCATGACTTCAAGGTATCTCGGCAACAATGATATCACAGTCTATGCAAAGTACAGATGAACAATTAACTCACCCTGTGTGTTCTGAAAGTAGTGTCGCCATAAAGGCCTGATCTTATCTTGACCACCCACATCCCACACAGTGAAACTGATGTTCTTGTACTCCACTGTCTCCACATTAAAACCTTAGAAATGTAAACAAGATTAAGATAAACTTCATTGTAGACATATTATTTCATTAAAATATCAAATTTCATTCATGAGAGCTTTCCTAATGAACCACCTATCCACAATTATAAGAAATACATCTATTAATAGCAGAGCGTATATTTGAGAAATCGTACCGATGGTGGGAATTGTTGTAACTATCTCTCCCAGCTTCAGTTTATACAGGATTGTGGTCTTCCCAGCTGCATCCAGACCAACCATCAAAATCCGCATCTCCTTTTTTCCTATAAGACTCTTTAGGAGGTTGCCAAAAATGTTCCCCATGGTAGCAGATGGAGCTTTCCTGCAAAAAGAGATGTACAATTGAGAGATACTAAAATGCAAGCAAGTGCTAATTGTGTCTTTTCATTTGCAAAGTCACAGCCCTACTAAGCAGCCATTTGTACTGTACTGACAAATGTGGCATTGCAAAAGTGAGAAAAATGAAACCAGTCCTTACTTTCTGAGAGATCAGCCTTGGGGCACATAAAATCTTTCCGGTTATTTGGATAATAGACAATATGTCTTTTTTGAGTAATAATACTAATGGTAGCTTACTCTTTCCAAACTCTCAATGAATCACTGAAATTCTAGTGTATTGGTTTACTAGTGCACTTTTTGATAATCAAGATGCATTTTTGCTGAATGATCCCTCTAACTTGAGCAAGGCCTAAATTCAACAGGCCTTACACTGCTGTGGACCTTCACACAACAGTGCCACAAGAAAACTTCATTTTGACCACAAGCGTTTTCAAAAATCAGCAAATCATGAAACTATGCAAACTGCTCAACAATCCTTGCAATTTACACAAGTCGTTTTTCATTCCAAACCCAGAAGCAACTAAAATCATTTGATACATCATTTTGCTGCACATAGTACACATAATTTGGCATGACAAAATCACACCATTCAAAATACGTCATAATTGCTGGACATTTTATCCTTTAAACAGGGAAAATGCACAATGCACAATGACCCTCATCGTGGCAGTTGCTCTTGTCAGCTCTCCCTCCTTCTTCACAGGTAGAGAGGTCTTTATGCAGTGTTAAGAGATTCATCCAGCAGCACAGCCATGAGTGCAAGAAGGGCAGCATCAGCCCATTTACTTACTGTCATTAACACCTCACTGCACTCACAGTGCATCTAGGCAAACTAATAAAGCCCACTTTATACTCCGAAGCTGAGGTGATGAGACAGAAATACGCATGAAGAGACCTGCCAAAAGCGTGTAACAAGAGAAGTCTTATCTGGGCATAAATATGGACCAGTGAAACTTCAAACTGAATCGTCTCAAGAAATGGTTAGCGATAAAGGATAATATCAGGATCATAACAATATTTGCAGATTTTTGCTTTAAACAAATTATTGGCATCAGATGGATGTTAGTCTTGACCGTTATTTCAAACCGATATTTGAAGACATACAGTACTTTACAAATTCAGAAACCACCCTTAATTTATTTCATTTCCACTCAAAAATGGACAAACTACGCCATTTTTAGAGTGAAGAAAAAACCCAAAATATTATTTAAAGAAATATTTCAGAGAAGCTTCAACAAATAATTTTTTTTTTTTAAGTTTTCAGTATATAGTGTGTCCATCCTTTGCCTTTATTACAGCTTCCATCCTTATTATTAATAGACCTGCTTTCAAAGAAATCTGCAGGGATATTTTTCCACATCTCTAGAGTTTAGTCTTTCTGTTTCTCACAATCCAGGTAATCTCCAACACATTTGATGATGTTAAGGTCTGGACTCTGGGGTGGTCAGTCCATTGTCCTAAGAAAACCTGCGGCTTCTTCGTTTGATTTGCATTTTTTTTCTTTTTTGTGTACTTTGTTTTTTTTTTCAGCAATGCATTCTTGATAGCTACACATCCTTTCAGACCCATAGTGTTGAGTTGTCTTCTAACGGGGGAAGGATGGACAGAAACAGCTGAAGCAAGAGTTGAGCTCGATTTTCTCCTCTCTCAAAGTGCTGTTTATCTGATGATGAGTCCCATTTTGAACTCCACTTATGGAAAATCCTGTTTTTCCACTTATCTTCCTTTGACTTTCCCATTCCTTAAGCAAGCAGCTTATCTTATATTCTTATCTCCTCAAAAACATCTTCCGAAAAATAAATAACTTGTACTTAAACCACACTTTATTAATGTATACTGTATTTGTAACCCTGTATCAAAACTTTGTCTATTTCTCTGTGATGCTAATACAATCGGATCTAATTTTAATCTCTACATTTTAGAAAAGTTTATGTATTGGCCTCATGAAAAACAGATATAAGCATCTGCCCACAATCCCCATATCGGTGCATCCTCAGAAATGGTATGTATGATGTACTGTGTGATAACAGTTTGGCAAACATAAGGCAACACATAAGGATGATATAAAATGACTTCACATATATCTGATGATAGTTTATGAGTGGAAAAATACAATAACAGCAATAAAGTAAGACCACAATTAATTTCGAGTCTCAGTCCTTTTAAGCAGCACTACTGATTACCATAGCAACAGACCAGCAAGAATACAGCAATGAGCTCATGTGTCATGATTTAGTGTGGCATTATTGCTACCTCATCCTAACCTTTACAGTAAGAATTGACCACCAACGTAAACCTCACATGACTCAAAGGAGGGTCATCATGATGACACTAAGTAAAACAACGGCAGACTGCATGCAGAGACAGTTTGTAATTCCTGAAAAACTCAAAAAACAGTGTGTGCACTGTCATTCATTAGCCTGCACTGAATTATGCGCTGACAAAACGGAATTGCTGTGGTGTCGCCTACAATTGTAGCTAGCTAGGTTAAAATGACGTACAACGGATGACAGTAGACGGAAAATGCAGATGTAAAAAGATAATGCAGCGTCTGTTTATACACTGTATATGGAAAAAGGAACAGAGCAGAGGCTGATCTGAAGTGTTTGTAAGATTTGGATTGATGAAAAATACTACTATGAACTATAATTTTGCTTTGCTTCATTTAAATCAAGTACAATACCAATTATACTGCATGTTACCACATGAGGTGAAGCTGAATTGAAAGCACATTTTTAGAGCGTATGATGTCTACTCTTGAAATTACTAGATACTAGTTGCAATTATATCTTGGCAAGTGAAATCATCTTTAATCTAGCCAGTATATATTATTTCTCATATGCAATTGTCATAAGAATATTATATGGTTCTTTTGCTTATTTCTAGACATGTATACTTGTTTAAGTCATTTATTTAGTAGAATTCTCTTCAATTGGTATATAAGTTATTTATTTCTTGAAATCTGCATTTGTGTCTTTAAGAAAGCAAAACTGTCTACCCAAAGAAGACAATTTCTCCACATAAAGTTATCTAAAACAGAAATAAAAATAATTTAAACAGTTTAATAATGTTCTTACAACAATCTCATAATGAGAAATATTAGATATATTGACTTTAAGATGTTTTCACTTTTAAATTTAAAAACTAATTCAGACTATTTTTTCGTTCCACCTTAAACAGCGCAGGCGTTCTGAATCTAACGGCTGCACCATTTAAGGTGGAACTGAAATTTCGAATAAGAAGCCGGCGAATAACTTCAGCTTCGTGTTAAAACGCGTCAAAAAAAGGAACAAACCTTAATATTTCACTTAAGGAATCGACTACAGCTTCTGTTCACGTTGGTCTCCGTTATTACCACACATATACGGAGTGCAGTAGCGTAAACTGCCCATCACAGAGCTCATTTCCGTACATGCTAAAGCTAGAACCGACAAACATTTCTCACCTCTCCTACGGACGTGCTCTGTCAGCTGGGGTGGCCTGACTAGCTTACCGGCAATGTATAAATACCTTCTGGCTCCTCCGTCAGCTACCTATTATTGCACTGTATGAGGCAAACTATGTCATGAATAAACAGTATATTTGACTAATGTCCGTTTCTGGTTGTCATTTCTCACCTTTGCTGCATCCCTACTCACCTCACACAGCGCCAACGGACAAGTCACCCCACTCTCGCGATAATATCATCCTGGACGTTAGTGCAGTAGGGTCCGTAGTCTTATAATCTCGCGATATCTTCCCCCATCCATGCCATGTACCACCGGTGCTGTGTTTGCATCCATGGCGTTAAATGTTCAACAGAATATGCAAGACACGTTTGTGCACTGCACACATAAAGGGTAAGAAGACGAGAACTAAAAAACGACGCAAATACACCATTTCACTCGATATATTACGGTACAATCTTAAAAAAGATGGTTCTTCAAGGGGTCTTTAGTAAAGGTACTACGTCTATCCAGAACTATGAACACTGAACCGTTTGCATGCTTGAATGGTTGTTTGCATAGTGAAATGGTTCTGCAGATTGATGGAGAATGTGTTTGCTTCCATACAGAGCCTTTTTGAAAATGGTTCTGTATAGTGGCAACAAGAGCTCTCCTGTTGTTATAAGCTTGCCATCATAGCAACAGCAGAACCCCATTTTTGGCGCTATATAGAACCATTTTCAAAAAGGTTCTACATAGAACCATATACAACATTGTCCATCTATCTGAAGAACAATTTGACCATAAAAAGAATCATTTAAGCATGCAAATGTTTTTTGAGTGTTCATGGTTCTATACAGAACCACTGTCTTTACTAAAGAACCCTTGAAGAACTGTCTTTTTTAAGAGTGCATAGCATTAGCCTAGTTGGAGTAGCCTTTGTGTTTATCTAATAGATTCAAGATTTCCTCTAAAAATAAGATTCCTGTCCAATGCAGTAGGTCACAGTTTCAGAGTTTCAGACGTAGCTGAAATGTTGAATTATTTAGCCAAGACTCAGCTCAATAAATAAATAACTTGCCAGACGCTGCCAAATGACAGTATTTGGCAGCCTGAAGTGAACTCTAGCTGCTAGAGCAAAAGAGCCCAAGGACCTCTCTAAGTGTCCTAGTTGGGATTTGCTGTTAAACCTTTATTAACTGATGGAATATGCAGTGTTTATAAGGTATTCATGCACATTATGAAACCCCCAAGCCTCTGTTTTATATCTTCACCATTCCATACAAGAGCTAGGGATCTTTTTAAATGACGTGTTAATAACGTATTCATGCAAGTTATCAAGCCCCAAAATTAATGAGGTATGCAGTGTTAATAAGGTATTCAAGCGATTTAGCAAGGCTCCAAACCCCTATTTCATATCTTCTCCATTCCATACAAAATCTAACGTCTATCCAAATGACACACTTGGAGTGCGTGAGCATGCTTATTCAGTAATTTCATGCATTCTGCCTGGTTTGCGTCACTTTTCCAAATTTTGTGTTTCTACTGTGACCCAGTAGGCTTATTCTGACAGTGGCGTTTTAGTCAATGAGAATCATCAGTGCTTGCAAAAACATTGCTCTGGTGTTTTTTTTCTGTGTCGTTTTTGCATGCCCCACCGTCTGTCAGTGGCTTCGTGATGGATGTGTTTATCAATTTGGTGGTTTTCAGAGAGGAGAGAGGGACCGGAGCAGATGCTTGCAGCTGCACACCAGATTATGGGGTGGAGTGTTGAGTGGGGGAGTGCGCTGTGATTCTGTGCGCTGGGAGTTTGTATGGTGGAGGGGGGGTACGTACAGTGGTGGTAGGAGCAGAAGCAGGGTGGGGGTGGGAGTTATAATTTAAAGGAACCTTTCCTCTGAAGTGTTTGCCAAAGTGCACCCCGGCAAACACAATCACAAGTCGGGTTGGTTAGGCTTGCAGAACTAATGAGGGCTTGCACGTCGAGGCAAGGGCTTTGATGTTCTGGGTAGCTGGCTCCTTGTTTTTTTTTCCTCTGCCTTTTTCTCTCTTTCTCCTTGTCCCACATCAAAAATGGAAAGGGTAGGCTGGACACAGAACCCAGAAGCAGATGTTTGCAGCTGTTTTGCCCTTGTCCCTGTCCCTTTTGATGTACACGAGTGTGCATACCGGGTCTGTTGGCCTATCTATCTACCTGTCTGATGGTCCATCCATACTTCTGTCCTTTGCTCTGCCTCAGTGGTGGCAAGTTTGAAAAGTGTTCTTATCCAGCGTCAGATCAGTGAACTCCATCCCACCCCTCGAATTTCAATTTTTGGAGTGTCTGGTTGTCATTATTCTAGATGCTGTCAGTATGTTGCTTTGGACGTGTAAGTGGCTGCATTGCATTGACAGGAAAGATCGAGCTCCAAAGCTATTCAGTCTCTCTCTGTCTCACACATGGAAGAAACAGCGACAGGAAATTCCCTTTTGCAGCAGCTCCAGGGTGAAATGATAAAGGAATGAAGAAATGCAAACCAGAGATCCAGCCCTTTATCATTCCACACCACTCTCCTTCTCTCCCATCTCCTTTACTGTAGCACTAAATACCATGCAAGTCATTGGGGCATTGGAACAGTCTGCTCTGACCTGCCTGCCCTGGTGGGATAGTGCAAATTTAAGCACATTTTAGGTCATTATTACATAGTAACACATGGTTTATTCACATTTTTACAAATCTTTTACAAATCTTGCACTTTTCAGAATCTCATTTCTGCATCAACATTCAGTGTTGGGTAGTAACGAAGTACATACAATCCTGTTTTTATGATTACGTTTAGAGTCATTTATCACTGAGTGTGCTCATAAACTGCATAACAGCAGTTCTAAAGAATATATTAAGTCTGTATCTTCGTATAAAGTACTGTGCAAAAGTCAGAGACTCCCTTATTTTTTTAATTTAAAGTACAATGGCATTATATACAACTATTCATTATTCACTGTAAGAAAAAAAAGCAGATAAACACATATTTAACAGAAAATGACACAAAAGCCTCAACAACTACATATAATGTTTTTTACTAATTCCTGTGTCCACTCTTTACTACAGCATCTGTCTTTCTGCGGAGACTTGCTTTGAGTTTTTTTTTAAAGAAATCTGCACTGGTATTTTCCCACACCTACAAAGTTCAGTTTTAGAAGTTGGTTGCATTTTCCGGTTCTCACGATCAAAGTTATCACATTCAATGATGTTGAGGTCTGGACTCTGGGGTGTTCAGTATGTTGTTCTGAGAACACTAGCAGCTTCTGTGTTAGATTTATGATTCTTATGTTCTTCTTTGTTGTCTGTGTCCTTTTCTCAGTGAAGGCTTCTTGACAGCTACACATCCTTTCAGACCCATAATGCTGAGTTCTTCTCACAGTGGAAGGATGGATACATCTGATGTAAAGCAACAGTGAAGCTTGCTTTTCTCCTCTCTCTCAAAGATGAAAGTTGTAAGTACTGTTTATCTGATGGGGACAGTTTTGGTGGTCTACCAGGTCTTGAAGGTGGTTGTTAGGAGTCTGATTTTTCTTTATCTTTTAATCATTTTTGAACACCAGTTTCAGAAACTTGTTTTTTCATCTTGACTTTCCTCCTCCTTATGCAAGCGGATTATTGTATATCTAATCTCTTTAGAAACATCTCCTGAAAAATGAATAACTTGTACGTGATGGCTGTTTTGGCTGAAAGTTAGATAAATGAAGAGTGGTCTCTAACTTCTGCACAGCACTCTAGTGTTAACTCTGTGAAACCAGTGAATTGATTATGAAACCAAATACGCCAATTAGAAGCAGTCAGATGAGATTACATCTTTACTCATTACATTTTTCGTCATACAATTTGTAATCAGTACCAGATTACATTTCTTAAGTAATCTACCCAACACTGCCAACATTAGCTCCGTCTGTGTTGAGTTAGCGCACAGCAGTTGATCCTCTTTCAGTGGCAGATGCACAGACAAGTACGAACTGTCCTCGGCAGTCTTAAACTGACTGTCAACTTTGTACAGCTGATCCCACTAAGACTGGTATCATTCCCCTCCTCAGTTCCGTCCCATCTTGTAAAAGTCAGTCTCGAAGGAAACCACATCCATGCTGCCCACTTCGAGCCACTTTCCACAAGATACTTACGTTCTTTCGCCAATTTAGCCCTCATCTCAGCTCTCCAGACACTTTCTTTGTTCTAAAGCCTCTGTAAATGTACTAGGACAGCTCCTAGAAAGAAGCATCCTGCACATTTTATAGACGGTCCTGCACAAAATTGCAACATGGCACATTTCCCAAAGCGAGAACTGATTTAACAATATAATTCATCTGTTTCACTAAACATCTTTTGCACAATCAAAAATACATGTGTCTCAGTGTCATTGTAAATTGATTATCATTACTGCAGTTTACTGAATACAGATTTCAAAAGAGTGTTTCTTCATTGCAGTATATGATGTTTGGTCTCACATACAGCACACCAGTTTCCATCTGAGATTAAACGTGACTGTTTCTAATCAGACTTGTGAAAGAACCCATAGGACGTGGGAGCATTCTCCAGCCGTTTTTTTTCACAGCCTCCACTGTGGTCCTCGTCTGCACAGGTTAGAAAAGGCAGCGTGCTATTTTCACATTCACAAATGTCCTGGTTTACATTAAATCCAGCCAATGGGCAAAGGCACATCCTCTGTCCTCTGTTTCAGTTCTCTACGAAATTGCTTGGCTTATGGCATCAGTTTTGACATCTAAAAGGAGTTGAGAAAAACTCGCAAAAGATTTGCCACGGCAGGACGAGTTCATTAAGCGCACTTTTCCAAATGTACACACAAACTGTATGCCTTTGCCTTTTCGGCAATAATATGTTCCTGCTGTTGTGCCTTGTTATTGTGAAGAACACAGATGGCGTTCGGGGCATTTTCATGGCTGAAGAGTCCAAACAGGGGAAACAAAGACAAATGACATGAGTCACTCCTCTCCTCAATCTTTGACTTGGCATTGGGAGAATAACAACAGCCACACAAAGCAAATGGATCCCAGATGAGGGGGCCGAGTGGAGAAGTGGCTGAGTCGATGCTGCGGAAGAGTAAGACTGGAAGCCTAACACTCATGCACACTTGGCGTGAAAGGGTACGGCTAACGTCTTTTCTCCCCCCTACTCATCCCCTGATGAGTTTCTGGCCCACTGATAGGGCAGGAGAAGCTTGTGGCTGCTCACTTGCACACGTTGACCCACTCGGTGACCCTGCACTCGTCGCACAGCACATAGCAGCACCAGTGGAAGCGGCAGTGGCAGCGTTCGCTGCGCGTCTGCTTCAGGATATTGTGGCCACGGCCGCAGCACAGTGAGCCGCAGCCATCCATGGCCGGGCTACTTTTGTTGCAGATGCGGCCCTGCGTGCCTGGCGAGTCCACAGACGGCTCACGCTCGCAGAAGTCGGGCGACTTCTCAAAGTACACCAGCTCCCTGGAGAGGCTGCGACGCCGTGCCCTGCCAGGCTCTACTCCCGCCGGCTCGGACGTCACTCGCGGGTTGAACACACCATTGTTCTTGTTCTGGGAGTTGATGAAGACGGCAGACAGGAACTTCTGCCGCAGCAAGGAGCCCACTAGCCGGAACTCGGGGGACACGTACCAGCATGTCTTGAACTGGCAGCTGCCGGAGGTGCCATGGCACTTGCACTTTCTTTTCATGTTGTCAGTCACTATCTGTTAAAAGACATAGATACGTGTATGTCAGTATTTGGGAATTGCACACTTGTACACCAGGAACAGACTGACAAACTTAAATACACTGACATTATCAGCATATGCTCTGCTCTGTTTGATCAAATGGAAATGTGTGACATCATGAAATTAAGATTTTTTTAGTTTATCTTTGTATTCTTTGAAAATGGTATTACCAAGCTAGGCACTAAAAATGGCCTTGTGCTACTTAATTGTAATTAAACAAATGGAACAGACTACAAAAATGTAATTGATTGATATCTGGAGTAAAAATTATATATATCATAAGTATATAAGTTCTATAAATGGTTATAAAATGTGGAAGAAAATGTGGTAACACTTTACTGTAGGGTATGGTTCATAAGGCTACATGACATCTACATAAGCTTTAATGACAATTGACATAGACCCTTATTACAATAGGCGTTATTCGCTATAAAGTTACATTAGCCAATTGTAATCTAAGTTAGCTAAAGTAGTCTTTATGGCAGATGATGCCTATTGGAATAAGCATTTATAAACATTTATGTAGGGTTATGTTGGTTGTCATGACAAGCTTACGTGGGTGTCTTGTAGCCATAATGAACTGTACCCTATAGTAAAGTGTTACCAAAAATGTAACACTGTTATAAAGTGAGAGTAATGCTGTCCTAAAACAATTTTACACTGCAACTGTGCACTAAAGTTGACAGTGTAGTGTTACACAATATTGTTACCCAGTGTTTTGCTATATTGTTATGCTAAAGGGGGACATAAAGTGTACAATGTTACACTAAAGGTATATATTAAAGTGTACACAAAGTGGCATTAAAGGTGTCACATGTACACTAAAGTTTATATTGCACTAAAGGTGTTACACTGCAGTGTTATACTGAAAGTGTCTATAATGTGTACAATGTTACACTATAAGTGTACACTGAAGTGTACAATGTTACACGAAAGGTGTGACACTGCAATGTTACACTAAAAGTGTACACTGAAGTGTGCAATGTTGCATTAGAATTGTTCACTGAAATGAGCAGTGTTACACTAGAATGGTATAGTGAAAGTGTACATTAATGTGTACAGTGTTACACTAAATGTGTACACTATACTGTACACTAAAGGTGTTACACTGCAACATTGTACTGAAAGTGCACATTAGAGTGTACAGTGTTACATTAAAGTATACACAAAGTTGCAATAAATGTGTTACACTACAATGATACACTAAATATGTACATTAAAGTGGACAGTGTTGCACTAAAAGTACACACTCACACTGTTGTACTAAAAGTGTTACACTACAATGCTACACTAAAACTATTCAGTAAAATGTACACTATAACCAGATTAGAAAGACACATGATGGGCCATAGCCATATGTTGCTTATGACCATACCTGCCTGCCAACTCGGTTGTTGTGCATCTTCATGCGGGCGTGTATATCTCGAGATGACCCTCTGGAGTCCAGCCAGTCTCTGGAGAAGCGGACGCCAAAACGAGCATCGTGACTGCAGCCCCCCCACTCCCATGTCTCCTGTAGAGAGGTGACCCCATCAGGCAGGGGTTTGAGGAGACTGGTAGGGTGGGCAGAGCGCAGGTAAGTGGGCAGGCTGCTGTGATTGGGGCTGAATTCAGGTGTGCGCCCAATGGCTCCCGCGATGCTCACCCCGCTCCTTTGCAGCGTCTGCAGCTGTAGCTGGGTAAGTTTCAGCCGGATTTTGTCGTCATCCAGACGGCGCTTAGCTTCGCAGCCGCAGCCCCGCAGCTTGCCCAGGCTGCAGGCGGAGGCCACAGAGTGAGCCACACCTGCGGCCAGCAAAGCCAGGGAGAAGGCACTTTCTCTGAAACCTGCAGGCAACAAAATACACTGTGCATGAAGCGTTTAGATACATTTGACCTTCTTGATCTGAATTTACTTGCTATTTCTTTTCAGTTGAGTTTAGAAAAATACCTGTGAAGTTCCTGCTTGTTATCAACATAAAATACCTATTTTGGGTATGCTTTGCAACACTCAGCATCATGTTTAATTTACATTTGTTTTTGTAACAATAAAGACTTTTTTATTGTTAAATGTGTATTAAAAATCTTTTGGCCCAAAGGTGGTTATAACCCCTTACATGGCCAGGGCCCACCAGCAGGCCCAAAGTTTTATTACACACATCCATAACCTAAGAATAGCTCAACCATCCCCTGCTCTCTAGTGCTTTGATTCAAACAGGTTTTGTTTATGTATCTTAAGACTTCTATATGTGATTTTGGCTCTGGTTAGCTGCCCTGTATTGTCCCCTATTCAAAAGCAGACTAGGCTGAAATAAATCAGAACAAACTGTTAGGTTCGGACTAAAATCTTCTGGAATGTCGTAAAAATAAGCATCAGCCACTCCTTTTAGTGATGTGGATTCTTATGAAGGCTGATCCATTTGCTTCCTGACAAGGAAGAACAGTTTTCCCTACATTTTCCCTTGCATTAACTCTGCCACAGACTGTGTGCAGTAACAACACTTCATATCACTTCAGTATGAATGGATGGGCAGAACTGCTGTTGGCTGAAAAGGCGGTCATTTGTAAATTAATACATTTAAAATGGTCTGTTTTTGCAACTTCCATATATCGGCTGTGTCAAACAGGTGTATATCATAAAACGTTTAAGAAAACAATGAAAATGTCACCTTCCATTACCTAATCAGGTCATATGTAAGTCCTAGAAGTGGCTGCCCATCAATCTTTTTGGGTGCTCTCACTCACCCCTGTTGAGTATGGCGCTCTGGTGTGGCACTTTGCCGTGGTTCTCCAGCGTGGAGCAGTTCCAGCGCTGGTCTCTGAGCTGGTGCTGGCATTCGTGAATGGCGACCTGAATGCCCTGCAGGGCTGAGGCCGTGACATCAGGGCTGCGCACACACAGCCGCATCTGCCTCTTACTCAGGCCTGCCAGCCGTAAACACACTGCGTTGGGGGTCAGCACTGGCTCTCCTGCCACCTTCAGACCGAGGATGTCATTACACAGCACCCTGGGAGAAAGAGCACATGATGAATTACACTGACTGATACAGCAACACGGGATTGCATGCAGAGGGATAGTAATCAGTGTGTTCTAAATGATCCCCTGATTTGTATCCCCTAGACTGGACACCACATACAGTACAGTGCACAAGTGAGAAACCACAGTTTATTTAGTTAATTTCCAGTCAAAACAACCATTACACTCTTAAAAGAAGATGGTTCTTCAAAGGTTCTTTAGTAAAGAAAATGGTTCTATATAGCACCAAAAAGGGTTCTTTTACTGTTATGATGTCAAGCTTGTAACAATAGAAGAACCCTTTTTGAACCACTTAATAATGCAATGGGTTCTTTGAGTGTTCATGGTTCTATATTGAACCATTTTATTTACTAAAGAACCTTTGAGGAACCATCTTTTAAAGTGTGTACATACATAAGCTGGTGTTCTGAGAACAATGCTAGAAACAATCCACAAAGAGATTTCACTAAAATAAGTGAAAAAGCAGGAGTTTCCAGAACTGAGTTTAAAAAATGATAAAAAATTACAGAGAAACTATGACTCCTCTGAACCGTGCAAGACCTGGTAGACCACCAAAACTGTCACCATCACACAAACAGAAATTGAAGCTTTGAGAGAGAGGAGAAAATCAAGCTCCACTTTTGCTTCTGAAAAATTCCACAGGTGCTTCTGTCCATCCTTCTGCTGTGAGAAAACACCTCAACACTCAGTCTGAAAGGACGTGTAGCTGTCAAGAAACTGTTACTGAGAAAAGGAAATAGACAAAAAAGACACTTTGCAAACAAAGAAGCTGCTGGTGTTCTCAGAACAATGGACTGACCACCCCAGAGTCCAGACCTTAGCATCACTGAGTGTGTTTGGATTGTGAGAAGCAGAAAATGCAACCAACTTCTAAGGCTGAACTTTGGAGCTGCAAATTTCACTGGAAAGCAGAAAGCAAGTCTCCCAAAATAATGGAAGGGGTAATAAAAGCGAAGGTTGGATGGTTGGATACACCAAATCCTAAAACAAAATTTGATATTAAATTAAAGCATGTGTGTAATTTTCTTCATATATATATATATATATATATATATATATATATATATCCTGGCATTGATAAATGAGTAATGTATTAAATGGCCATTTTGCCTGAAAATTAAATGAAGGAAGGTTTTTGTTTTTTGCACTATACTGCACACACTTAAAAATGATGGTTCTCCAAGCGTTCTTTAGTGAAGAAAATGGATCTATATAGAACCATGAACACTCAAAGAACCTTTCGAGTATATATATTTTTGAAAACAGTTCCATATAGCACCAAAACGAGTTTTTCTAATGTTACAGGATTGACATTGTAAAAATAGATGCTATAAAGAACCCTTTTCAAAAAGGTTCTATATAGAACCATCTACAGCACATTTTCCATCAATGTGAAGAACCATTTAGTGATGCAAAGGCTTCTTTGAGTTTTCATGGTTCTATATAGAACCATTTTCTTTACCCTTGAAGAACCATCATTTTTGAGTATAGGACTATATAATTATAGTCACTAATATATTTCACTATTATAATTATTAGGACACTATAATCCGGGATGGACTTCTGACTGGGCCAATGGGGCCAGTGCCCAGGGCCTTCTGAATGCCAGGGGCTTTGGGGAACCTCAGACCACAAGGCAACCCTAGGCAACTCTAAGACTGGGGACAGTCCACTGCAAATGAAATTAGACAGCTTTTGAAAATTTAATGACAAAATAAATAAAAGATCCTGCCACCATATTTAAACAATTCCAAAACTGTGCAGGCAATAAAATGCTATTGCACCCAATATTAATTCATTAATTTTGTTTGTTTAGATTACATTTTTGTAGCATTATTCAATGTGTATGTAAATAAATACAAGCTGTGTGATAAAGTCATTTTTAGATCCTTTATTATTTTTTTATTATTATTTTTTGCATTATTGTCAGAGTGTATGGGTAGGGGGCCTCTAATGACACTTGTGCCCAGGGGTCTCACAAGACTGATCCTTCTCTGACTATTATAACAAATAGAATTTGTTATTTAATTAAACAATTTCATATTTCAACTATCACACAGTCCATTATTGGTATTCTGTGACTGTGGTGCACCTACTACCTACTGTAGTGCACTGTGGGATTGTAAGAGCACTGGATGTAGTCTTCTATGCTTTCTGATTAATGCAAAACAGCATCCTCCTAAAATAGCACACTAACCAGTGCAGGACATTGATTTCCAGCTTTGAAATATAGCATTGTTGTACATTTCAGCTGTTCAGAGAACATCCACAGGTGTGATGAGTGTGAAAATTCTTCTAAATCACATCAACAGATCACATCAGTTGTATAGAAGTGAACCGAATCCCTAAAAAGACCCACATTTCCTGATCTGGCTCATTTGTAGAGGAACGCTCAAATAAGTGCTTGAGGCAGGCCTGCACTGGTGTGATGTCATCTGTGATGTGATGTCATCTGATTAAGCCACCCAAAATAGCTCCCTTCGCTCACTTCAAGCTGTGGAGGAGACGACAACATTCTGCAGGTGTCAGGGGAAGGGTAGCAATGTAGTAATGCAACATTTTGGAGCTGCGAATTCAAAGGACAATAGCTTCCACTGCTGATATCTAGTTTTCAAAACAAACAAGTCTGTTAAAACAATGTGATGTTCCCTACCACGTTATTGTTGATAGCATGTACACTATAAGAAATAAAGATACTGCGCAGGTACATTTTTTGTTCATTAATGTACAAACAATGTAAATGTACCCTCAAAGGTGCAATAGCGGTTTTAAGGTCTAAATGTGTACCTTAGGTAAGCATTTCCCAGGTGAAAAGTATATATTGGTACCTTATAATAACCTAATGTTTTAAAACAGAACAATAAAATAAAAAGCCTGGAGTTGAGATGGGGTGTGTGGAGTCAATACAACTTAATAAAAATAAAAAATAAAAAAAAATGTTGGTACAATTATGTTCCCTGACTAAAGGTACTGAGATGTACCCTTGAGAGTCCTACCCCAGAAACAAGAGGGGTACTACCTTTTTCTCTGAGAGTGTAATATGTTAGTGGTGTAAATCATGGCCTATGAAAGGAAAGCATATCCATTTGTATGACAGAAGTATACATATATAATAATGAGGGGATGATCTATAGCATCGTAAGCATTTCATTCAATATTTTGAAATACAAATGTTTCACAAAGCTTATATTGTAAAACAAACAAAATCATGGCATGGACTTTGCACTTTTGCTTAGTGCACAAAACTGGAAACATCCAAAAGCAATTATTAATGACCTTTAACTTCTCTTTTGTTGCCTCTCACTCTAATCCCCCAGAGTGAAGGCTTCAACACAATGGATGGATAGCAGCTATTCCAAAGCCCTGTTTTCTCTCTTCTCTTTGGCACATTTATTAATAAAAGAGGAAAGAAGAAAAGACACTCTGACACAGTCTGTGGAAAGTGTTGCATCTTCAGCCCATCAGTGTTCACACAGAAAGTTTGTGTCCACAGACAGCTTTAGGATTTGGGAAAGACAGAGGACATTCTTAAGCCTGCAGTTTTCCCTGGCACATACATAACTGGTTTTGATTAGTGCGTTTGTATGTGTGTGCCTGTGATTGGAAGCCAGGCTTGTATGGCTGGAACTGTGCTCACAAAGGACAGCAATGCAAAAGAAGTGTAAAGACATGACCACTGGTGCAAAGAATGTAAGTGTAGTGTTTACTGCAGGCCCAAATCTGTCATCCACATAACGCAGAAAGGTGGAAGCCTCAGTTTTCTTAGCTGTCAATCATGGGAGAAGGCTCCTAACCCCACACACATTATTAGGCAGCCTCATTTTTACTGATAAGTGAAATAGACCTCACAGATGCACGGCACCCCTTGCAGCTCTGTACTCACGTGAAGGCAGGTGACAGAAGTGCTGCGGCCAGAATCAGGACTCGTCCCGGACGGCGTTGGCGCGACGTTTCCATTCCGATAAACGTTTTTGTCGACGTGACATTAAAACAGCCTTTGTGCTGATGGCTTTCAGCGCGCGGAATGAAGACAGACCGAGTGCACGGAGCTCGCGGTGAGGAGGCAAAAGAGGAGTAAGGGGAGCGCGCGGAGGAGGAGGAGGAGGAGGAGGAGGAGGAGAGGAGAGGAGGAGGAGGGCCAAACGCAGCCTGCGCGCCTGTTTTCAAACTATTACAACGAATTGTGGAAGAGTGCGCGTGTCTATGCAGTAACGATCTCCAAGCCTCAAACTAGCACCAGTGACGTTAATGATGATGATGATGATGATGGTGGTGATGAGGATGTAAATAGCATTCAGTAATAAACCCAGAATGGAGCTGCACTGACTGAGATGTATGTTTATTCATATTGGCTGAAATGTTTGCCACTTTGTTAAGGCAGGAAAGAAACAGCAGGCAGGCGCGCGGAGCAGGGGGCAACTTCACGCGCTCAGCAACCCAACCACACACAGACAGACAGACAGACAGGCAGGCAGGCAGGGAGGCAGGCAGGCAGGCAGACAGACAGACGGACAGACGGAAGGACAGACAGACAGGGCTCCCACTCAGACCAGCACATTCAGCACTTTACACGACGTGCTCTAAAAAAGATATCCTCTACACGCTTAAAATGGTTCTTCAAGGGTTCTTTAGTACATGTAGGCTATGTAGAACCATGAGAACTTAAATACCCGTTCTTTGCATGCTTAAGTAGTATTAATAAGAAATAATATTAATAAATAGTGTTGCATATGGTTCTTCAAAGAAGCTATAAAAATGGTTCTATATTGGACCACAAAGGGTTCCACTATTGTTACGCCGTAGAGCCTTTTTTGGGACCGAACAGAACCATTTATTTGCAAAAAATGTGTTCTTCTTCTTCTTTTATTATTATTATTTATTATTAACATTAATAATTGTAATAATGCTCATATCGGCGTTATTACTGTGTTATATTATTTTTATTATTATTATTATTATCATTATTATTATTATCATCATCATCGTTATTGTTATTATTATTGCTGTTGTTGATGATGATGTTGTTAATTTTATTTACTACTTAAACCGTATTGTTATTACTATTGTTATTATTGTTGTTGTTGTTGTTGTTGATGATGATAATGATGATCACTTGCACGTTCTACTGCCTACATAATGTTCACTTATAACTTCTTTTGTCTGCTTTCCTTAAATGTCCTGATTTGTAGAGCCTCAACATCAATCTGGGAAAAATCCGAGAGGAGATGAATCTGTAAGAGGTTATTTTTAATAAAATCCTTCTTCGCCCCTTTTTACAGTTAAATAATAAACTTCTTTTCATAACAGTCGCCGCTCATTGAGCAGAGTGAGTAACCCCCTCTTCGCTCACTGTGGTCATTATAATGGTCAGAATTCTTTTAACGGTCTAATTAATCATCTCCGACGTCGGTATTTTACGTTTCGTGCATCCACAGGTCGTGACACAGAATCGGCTTATTTTCTTAATGTGAAAGCGGCCTAAAAGCGGCGGGATTAATTTAATAAAATTGAGTTAAAACCCACCCATAACTACTATCAACAAGAGACAGTGACAATTCTTCGTTTAATCTCCTCTATTTCGTTGCCTAATCTCTGCCAATGAAAAGTGCATTAGCATTTTGCCACGGCGTGTAAGTCTAAGTGGCTTAAAAAGTGATTTGAAGTTGATTTGTGTATAAAAAGGCGCTGCCTTTAACCGGATTGCCACTTAATCTGCTCGGCGGCGCATGAGCGCTCAGAGACGCGGTCTAAGCGCCTTGGAGAAGCGAGAGAGAGAGTGAGTAAAGAGCGGCTATCATTAAACAGAGCCAACAAAGGCACTTCCTTCAGTTAGCCTTTTGCTGCAGACCTTCAGAGAAAACGGGGCTTTAGGCCACTCTGTGTGTGTGTGTGCGTGTGTGTGTGGTTGGGGGGGGGGCAGAAATTGCGCTTTCGGCACCCAAAAAGTGAGCAAAAAAAGTAAGACCAAAAACATTTCTTCGACTTTTAACAGCAATGAAACTCTTTATTAGTGCTGTACGGAATCACATTTTAAAAACAGCAGTTTCTCCATCATACACTGTGTTATTGTTGTTAATATTGGTACCACTAAAATACAACTACTCTTATAAAGCATCTATGAATAGTTTACAAGTAATTTGTTAATGGTTATTAGTTAATCATACACACTTTAAAAATCATTAATAAGCACACTTTAGTAAAAACACTTTAGTAAAAAGAGCAAAAGTTTGCTGTACATCTGATGAATATGACTGTGATGAAGCTTAGGCTTAATGCCACTGATGCAGAAAAAAAAGTAGGATCAGTAAAAATCCAAATCTGAGGTTTAACCGTACAAATGAATGAGGGTTCATTATTAGGCAAACAACAGGTGGCTACTGCCCTTTTATTTGTGTTGTAACTGCTAATTAATGATTATAAGGTGTTTTTGATAACCATTCATGAACACTTTATAAAGGTGGTCTTAATTTAAAGTGGTACCGAAATATTTCCGTGTTAAAAATAACCCAAAATGTGTTGCCTCCATCTAAACTGATGTGTCTAGTCAGAGGCAGAATGTGTTGCTTTTAACAGGTGTGTTTTAAGAAAGCAGAGAAGAATCATTTAAACATTCAAATGACTCTGTGAGTGTCATCCCTTGTTTTTACTAAACAAATTATGAAGAACTCATTTTTCTAAAGGGTGCAGACCCTATGAGAATGTCTAAAACACAGCACAGACAACATCCAAAACCTGACCAGGGGTAGTTCTTATTGAAAGACTGTGCAGTTCAAAATAATACTAACAACAACAGCAACAACAACAATTATAATGAACACACTTTCTCATAAGAAAGTGTATTTAAAGTAGCTGAAACAGACACTCCACTAAAGATTCGCTACTTCTGTGAAATAAAGATTCAAGTAAAAGTACAAGGTCAAAAAACTACTTAAGTACTGATTTACTTACAGAACTACAGCTGAACTTCATTCTTAAAAAATACTCTTTAACTTTTGCCATATAAAAATAACTTTTGCTTCCCTAAAGAACCATGACTGCAAAAGAGATCTGTGAATGTGAAGAACCTTTAAAAGCTTAATGTGATGAGTTTAAGGGTTTGTCCTGGATCCCTTACATCCCACTCACACATCTTCCTTACCAAACAAGCTTCTGCAAAAAACAATCCACTGAAAGGTTCTTTGGGGGTTCTTTGTGTGGTGCAAAGAACCCTTTCAATCATCTTTATTTAAAAAGTGTTCTCAGCAGATCCAGCATCTTTGAGTATAGGAGCTGTTCTTCTCTTTTTGAGATGATAAACCTCAGGTGTGACCAGACACAGACAATGGTGACACCAATGGAGTTAAAGTTAAATGTTAATGACTACAGTCTAACTGGGTAAAAATATTAGATTCCTTGACATTGAAGCACAGAGAAATAACACTCAGCAAGGTACAAATTCATCAGACTTTACTTTCTCTACTCATGAGCTTTATTCTAGTGTTAAGTAATTGTCGACTTAGTGGTGGGGTTTAAATGAAGGGAGCATTTTTTAAGTTATAACACCAAATCTTCTCCTTCTTCTTATTTTTTCATTTATTTTTTTTTACAGTGGAGTGCGTACTGTACTGTGTGCCACAGCTCTGGCCACATGTGTCTCAAAGAAGGTCTGCAGTCCAGATGTTGGAAGCTACATCTCGACTTAGTTCCTTTCCCTATGTGGTGTCACCCCTTAAACCTCTCATCCACAGAGTTATTCATCTACTAAAATAACTTCCCTTTCATCCCGGCACTGGAAATGACCAGAGAGAGAAAGAGAGAGAAAAAGAAAAAAAGAAAGAAAGAAAGAAAGAAAAACAGAAAGAAAGAAAGAAAAGAAAAGAAAAGAAAATAAGGAATGAATGAAAGAAGGAAAGAAAGAAAAGAAGGAAGAAACAAAGGAAAGAAGGACGTATAGAAGGAAAGAAAGAAAAAAGGAAGGAAAGAAAAAGAAAGAAAGAAAGGAAGGAAAGGCAGGAAGGAAGAGAGGAAGGATGGAAAGGAAGGAAGGGAGGAAGGAAGAAAAGAAAGAAAGAATAGGAAGGAAGAAAGAAAGGAAGGAAGAAGGGAAAAAAGAAAAAAGAAAGAATAAGAGAGAGAAAGAAAGAAAGAAAAGAGAAAAAAAAGAAAAAAGAAAGAAAAAGAAAGAAAGAAAGAAAAGGAAGGATGGATGGAAGTAAGTGAGGGAGGAAGAAAGAAAAGAAAAGAAATAAAGACAAAGAAAGAAAAGGAAGGATGGATGGAAAGAAAAAAGAAAGAAAGAAAGAAAGAAAGAAAGAAAAGGATGGAAGGATGGAAAGAAAAAAGAAAGAAAGGAAGGAAGGAAAGAAGGAAGGAAAAAAGAAAATAAAAGAAAGAAAAAGAAAGAAAAGGAAGAAAGGAAGGAAGGAAGGAATAAAGAAAGAAAGAAAGAAAGAAAGAAAGAAAGAAAGAAAGAAAGAAAAGGAGGGAGGGGTGGAAAGGAAGAAAGGAAAGAAGAAATGAAAAGAAAAAGAAAGAAAGAAAGAAAAAAGGAAGGAAGAAAGAAAGAATAGGAGGGAAGAAAGGAAAAGAAGGAAGGAAAAAAGAAAAAAGAAAGAAAGAAAGAAAGGAAGGAAGGGTGGAAAGGAAGAAAGGAAAGAAGGAAGGGAGGAAGAAAGAAAGAAAGAAAGAAAGAAAGAAAGAAATGTCCTCCACAGAGTCGTGGATGAGTGTGATGGTGCTGCTGGGCTGATAAAGCGCGGCTGGTTCGCTGTGGATGATTCAGCTCTCACTCAGTTAAACAGAGGGAAAGCGGGGGACTCCGGCGCGCAGGTGGGGCAGAGCTCGCTACTGTAAGAGGGAAATAGAGGGTGATGGCTGGGTTGATGGACATTAGCTGGAGGAAAGGATCTGTATTTAGTGGGAGAGAGAGGGAGGAGACGCGGTTAAGGGAGTAAATCCAAACACTCCGGAGTACAAAAAAAAAAGAAAGACAGAAAAAGGCCACATTAGATGCTTCATATTCCGCACTTACTGTAGTGCGGAGTGACCGCGCGCGCGGATAAAACGCTGGAGAAAGACGTGCCGCGCGCTCATCCGCGGCGAAATGGAAAACTAAAATGCAAACGGGATCAGGCTTTTGGATCAGAGGAGGAAAAAAAGTTTCACCCTTCCTTGTTACGCGCGTGATCGGAACCGTTGGATTCAGTTCGGACTTGCCAAATGATACTTCGCTTTGAAAAAAAAAAAACAGAAGGGAAAAGAAAAGAAAAACATCGTGTATGTGTTCTTTTCCTCTTTTTAACCCCCCTTTTCTTTCTGTCTGTGTTTTCTTTTCTTTCTTCGCCGTTCCCTGCGAGGAGAATTAACCTATCCGTCTTTTCAGCCCTTTTCAAAAGGAGGGGAGGAAGAGAGGAGAGGAGAGGAGAGAAAAAAGACAGAGGGAGATGAGAGCAGCAAATCCCTTTTTTATTCATCTTGTAGCGCTCAATAAGTGAAGAATGTGTCGCCTATCAGTCACCAAGGGGATGAGGAGCGCGAGCGCCGTGCACAGCATCAGTGAGGCGCAGACACAGAGCGCGAGAGCAGCAGCAGCAGCAGCAGCAGTTTCGAGCTCCCTCACACACACATAAACCACACACACACACACTCACACACACATACACACAGACACATACACAAACGCACGCGCACATACACACGCGGCTGACCGGCCCTGCGCATCGCTGGAACATGTGGAGTGGTGAGTACAGCCTGCACGAGACAGGATCATATAGAACAAGAGCACGTGCACATTATGGAACGGGTTATTTCAGTTACATAGGCTCGTCTGGGGGAAGCTGCAGTGGACACATTCGCCAACTACTCAATGCACACCTACAGATTTGAGCTCACTCTCTGTGTGTTGAATTCATTTTGAATGTGTAGAAATCACTCTTAGTGTGTAGAATTCACTCTGAATGTGCTGAATTCACTCTGAATGTGCTGAATTCACTCTTAATGTGTAGAATTCACTCTGAATATGTGGAGTTCACTCTTAGTGTATCGAATTCATTTTGAATGTGTAGAAATCACTTAGTGTGTAGAATCCACTCTGAATGTGTAGAGTTCACTTAGTGTGTAGAATTATTTTTGACGTTTTGAAATCACTCTTAAAGAGAAGAATTCACTCTAAGTGTTTTGAATTCAATCTAAAACTGTTGGATTTACTCTTAATGTGTTGCATTCACTCTTATTGTGTTGAATTCACTTAGTGTGTTGAATTTTCTCTGAATGGGTTGAATTCACTCCTAGTGTGTTGAATTCATTCTAAATGTGCTGAATTCACTCCTAGTGTGTTGAATTCATTCTAAATGTGCTGAATTCACTCCTAGTGTGTTGAATTCACCCTTAGTGTGTTGAATTCACTCTGAATGCGTTGAATTCACTCTTAGTGTGTTGAATTCTCTTTGAATGTGTTGAATTCATTGTTAAAGTGTAGAATTCACTCTTAATGTGTTGAGTTCACTCTTAGTGAGTTGGAATCACTCTTAGCGTGTCATTCCTACAGTGTTGAATGCATGTTTACAGCTGAACATATATAATCACTGTAGGTTTTAATTGAGCTCTGGGGATTTGCTGTGATCTAATGATATAATGATATAAGCATGCCATTAATATCTCACTCATGCAGCGGTCAGTCCATGGAGAGTGGACAGTACACAGCAATTCGCCACTGAACACAGAATTAGAGAGAATTCAAGTTAATTTAACATTTTGTGTACAGCGCTGAGTGTACAACGCTGAGCTCTCTTCTGCTGTCCAGCTGGGCGTGTTTATTCAGCACTGGAGGCTTTTCTCTGTAGTGGACAGACTGTTATACCAGCGTAAAAGTCCAGACAAACTCAGTTGTTGTTATATTATTTTTTGCTATTTAGCTCAATTATTATTATTTTTACTATACTCATACCTTAATTATCATCATCATCATCATCATCATTATTATTAGTTATTTTGTTTGTTTGTTTGTTTGTATTATAATATGATTTTAATTGGTGTGAAATTATCGCCTCTGTTTGCAGCCGCCTTGCGCGTGCTCGCGCTGCTGCTCGGACTGAAAGGCGCGTGCGTGCTGCTCGTGTCCGCGCTGTCGGGAGCGAGCGCGGCGAACAGCAGCGGCCGCTGGTGGTGAGTGAACTTCAGTTTGACCAGGCAGGGATCACTGTAAAGGGTCTCAAGCGTCTACAGGGTCAGTTCTGTCCGATTTAAAGCAGGGGCGTGACTGAGCTGCTGCTGCTGCGGTCGTTGTTGTTACTGTTGTCTGTATTGAGTTAATCATGCACTTACTAGAGCTTTAAACAATTTAATATAACCAGCTTGCACTTCATTTACAGTGCTGTCTTAGCTATTTTTCTAAATTTCTGTTTTGTTAAATGGTCAAGAAGTAAACAAAGCCATTCAGAGTGGTTTGGTCTGAAATGCTCCGTTCTGCAAAGACTTACAGCCAGAATTGTTCACAGTGGTGGTGATGGGAACCAGACGTCTGAAGCGTTTAACGCCTCTAAAAACGACTTCACAGTAAGTTAGTACACGAAATGTCTGAGACACTGTTTTACAGTGAGGTTTTGGTCTAAACCCTGGTTCCTATCAAAACCACTGTAAAGAAACCTGAGTCAGAAAGTTTCATTACAGTTAACCATTGAACATCAAACCACTCTGAATGAGACTGTTTACATCTCAACCATTTAACTATGCGGAAAATTTGAAAATTTCGGTGGATTTCCCCTTTTAACCGCAAGTCCAAGTCAGGAAGCCTTTAATTTAACAGAGTGAAGACAGATTTACACAAATGGGCCTGAAGATGAAGCTAAAGTGAACGCAGTGATCCCGCTGTACAGTCAGAGCTGCTCAGACAGATCGAGGCGGAATGTTCCAGATTCTTCTAGAACATGTTCTGTGTTTTAGCCTTTATTATGATGCACAAATGATATTATCGAGAAACTCTCGACGCCTTGATCTGTTTAGACCGAGCGAGGCTTTATGCGCGTGAGTGGAGGATGAAGAGGAAGGAGGAGGAAGAGTTTTACTCCAAGCAAAAATATGCAGTTTTACAATGAAGCAGCCCGCTCCTCCTCCTCCTCCTCTCAGTGCCTTTCGTTTTGAGAGTGTGGCTTGAACCCCAGACAACATTTCCCTCAGTCCAATGTGGGATAAATTAAATGTGGATTTATTTCATGGCTCCGTTCAGGGTCGCGTTCTAGTAAGACGCTGCGCGTTCACGCTACTCCAAAATGCGCGCACTCGCCAAATTCTATATGTACACTCTTTAAAAAATATGTTTTTTTCAAGGGTTCTTTAGCACAAGGAATGGTTCTATTTAGAAACATGAGTTCTATATAGACCCATTTGTATACTTGGGGTTCTTGGCATGGTGAAACGGTTCTACAGATTGATGGAGAATGTGTTGTATATGGTTCTATATTGAACCTTTTTGAAAATGTTTCAATATGGCACCAAGTAGCAGAACCCTTTTGGTGCTATATAGAACCATTTTCAAAAAGATTCTCTATAGAACCATATACAACACATCCCCCATCAATCTGATGCAAAGAACCCTTTAAGCATGCAAATGTTCTTTGAGTGTTCATGGTTCTACATCCCTCTTTCTCTCTTGAGGAACCATCTTTTAGGAGTGTATGGTTTCAGAAAATGGTTCTATATAGGACCAACAAAGGTTCTGCTATTGTTACGATGTTGAGCTTGTAATGATAGAAGAACCCCTCTGGCACTACATAGAACCATTTTATGAAGGTTCTATATAGAACCATCAACAGCACATTCTCCATCAATCTGAAGAACACTTTCATGATGCAAAGACCCCCTTAATCAAGAAAAGGGTTCTTGGAGTGTTCATGGTGCTATAAAGAACCATTCCTTTTACTAAAGAACCCTAGAAGACGCATCTTTTGTATGTGTGTATGCATTACAGACTGATCATGTTGAGTGAATAAAGTTTCTGTTAATGATCTGCACACACTGCCCAGAATCCTGCAGCCATTTCTAAAACGTCCTGATTTTTATGAGAGCAGAGGTTAAAAATGAACACCTACAGTGTTTTTAAAGCAGAATTCCACCCACTATTTTAAAATATTCTGCATAATTCAGTGGCTGAGATGTAAACAGGGTCATTCAGAGGGGTTTGATTTGAAGTGGTTCATTGTAGAGAAACGTACTGACTCAGATTTCTTTGCAGTGGTGGTGATAGGAACCAGGGGTCACAATAACACACATATAACCATTTTATTTACTATCCATAACCACCAGTGAACCTACACGTCTTGTGAGTGTTTCATGTAATGTTGCTTATGGTGAAATAGTGATGAATCATCCCAAAAATATTTTCTTTGGGGACTATTTTTAGTATATTCTAGTTCAAAAGAATATCTGAAAACGATCATAAAAACAGTGTCTCAGGCATCAGGCAGCATATTCATAACTATTTTGTATAATAACTTTCTGTGAGGGAGTTTTGGAGGCATTAAAACTCTTCAGACATCTGGTTCCTATCACTACCACTGCGAACAATTCTACAAATCTGAGTCGGTAAAATTGTCCAGAATGGAACATTTCAGATCAGACCCAGAGTGATGATGCTGTTTAGATCTTTACCATTTAACGATGGATACTTTTGAAAATTTGCTGGAATAACTCTCTTATGAACGCTGTAAGAGTGAACCAAAGTAATTTTGCTGTGCATACTGGAAAATAGGTTTTAAATACATTATAAAATGGAATGGCCGTCTTATTAATGGTCCTGCACCGCAGGCACATTATGGGCGCGGTCAGTTGACATGAGTTTGTTTTAAAAATCGAGCAGTGCACCAAATGTGATGTTGAGAACAACTCAAAAGTGATTACGTGGTCAGAAGCTTTAAATAAGCTATTTTTGTGAATAATTTCCAGTTTCACTTGATATTACTGATAGGCAGGGCATTACTCTGGCCCAGCTCCAGCCATGTCTGACTGCAGACGCTCTGCTTTATATAATAACAGCCTACTGGTACAACAGAATGAGAGCTGTGAGGTCCAGGTTAATGAGGAGTTTCCGATTTGCTCTGAAAGATCTATGAGAGATTCTTCTGCTGTTCTTGGTTGTGACTGAGCTCTGTAACCTGAACACTGATGAAAACTGATAAATTATTCTTTTTAAATAATTTTTCTTTTATCAATAGTAGAACACTTTAGTGCTACATAGAACCATTTTTTCCAAAGGTTCTTTTAAGAACCATCAATTTCAGATGATTCTTTGTCACAGCTAACAATCTCCCTTACTAAAGAACCTTTGAAGAACCCTTTATAGTGTTACTGCAGTAAGCCTACACTCTTGAAACAAAGGTGCCAAATGTGTTATTAGGAGAACGCCATAGAAGAACCTCTTTGGTTCCCCTATAAAGCCTTCCAACAGAGTGGTTTCAATTGAGTTTTTGACTTTAATGGTTCCGTAGAGAACTGAAAGCGTTTTTTCTATGGCACTGCACCAAAGAACATATTTTGGCAAAAGTTTGGGCGCCCCTGGTGAAACTACATGTTTTATTCATTTTGAAAATTAGTTAAATTCTCCACAGAGAACACACTTATATAACTTTTATTTTTTCCTTTAACAAATAGTAATCGCGCATCAAAATGTGCAGAATTGTGTTCTCTGTAGAGGATGGGTTAACTGATTTTCCTTTAGAAATCAACAACATGTGATATGACCAGGGGTCATCTGTGACTGTAAACGTGTTAATGCTGTATGATTCATCTTTCTGTCATCATCTTTCAGATTCTGTACAATCAATCAAAATGTCAGAACAGTGATGCTGAGGGTGCACAGGCTCACCCTCCTCTCCTTTCCTCCTCCAGGGGCATTGTGAACGTGGCATCTTCAGCCAACCTCTTGACCAACACCAAAAACGTGCAGTTGGCGCTGGACCCCAGCCTGACTTTGCTCAGCCGTCGTCAGAGGAGGCTGATCCGGCAGAACCCCGGCATTCTGCACGCCATCGCGGCCGGCCTGCACACGGCCATCAAAGAGTGCAAGTGGCAGTTCCGCAACCGCCGCTGGAACTGCCCCACCTCACACACTCCCACCGTTTTCGGCAAAATCGTCAACAGAGGTGAGCTTATCTCGTCCGCCAACGAGCGCTCTAGTGTAATAGACGTTTTCCACACCCATTTTTTTAATCCCTTGAAGGGGAATTTACCTGCATTTTTTCATGATGATAGTTTTGAGATTGAGAGAGCTTTAGGCATAAAACATACTTTTTACAATCCATTCTTAGTGGAAATTTACATGCACGATGTTATGAGGCAATTACTCCCCAGAAACTTAAACATTGCCATTCCTGGTTCCTATCACCAAGATTGTAAAGAAAATCTGAGTTCTTCTCTATAATGCACCATTTCACATCAAAACCACACTGAATGACTGTGTGTACATCTCAGTAATTTAATTATGCAGCTTTTGATTTTGAAAAATCAGTGAACTTGCCCTTTAAACTACAACCTATTCAGTCATTAGTTTACAGACTTCTAAAACAATAAGTAACACTCTAAACAATGAAGGTGCCAAAAAGAGTTCTTTGGAGCGATAGTATAAAAGAAGTGATTTTGGATTCTTTAAGAAGAACCATCTATTGAAAAAGCCAAGAACTATTGTAGTTATGAAAGTGAGGAACAAAAGTTTGAGAGGTTAATATAAGCCTACCTTACATTTGAATGGAACAAAATGCAGGCTTGTGTTCTTGGCCAGTGGAACAGAACCCAACCGCAAGAGAGGCTTTTGCGAAATGATTTATCCGTTTAAAAAGCAGGCGCGGTGGGAATTCCTGAATAACATTGTGGCTGTTGTTTTGTCAGGTTGCCGAGAGACAGCCTTCGTGTTTGCCATCACGAGTGCGGGGGTGACCCATGCAGTGGCCCGGTCCTGCTCTGAAGGCACCATCGAGACCTGCACCTGTGACTACAGGCGGCGGGGCCCCGGCGGGCCGGACTGGCACTGGGGCGGCTGCAGCGATAACGTGGATTTTGGCCGGGTGTTCGGACGAGAGTTTGTGGATTCCAGCGAGAGAGGCAGAGACCTGCGATACCTCACTAATCTACACAACAATGAAGCGGGCAGAATAGTAAGATATACCATCAGTTACTAATATTCACTAACAGTCATTGATTAAACTATGAATGATTATGTTTAAGACATAATGTGAATGTTTTTGAACCCCTGAAACTCTGAGCTTACTACTCAGTCATTAATCTTAAGACTTATTATTCAGTAACTACTATGAAACTAATATGTGAGTTGTATAGATATGAAAGGGAGGATTTTTAGATCAATATGGAGGCCTACATATGGTCCACTGCACTATGATGGTCTAATCACTAAAATGCTAGGCTCATTATTCAGTTATTATTCTTAAGACTTATAATTCAGTGACTACTATGAAATTATGAAATGAATATTTAGCTATGAGAGCAAAAAATTAAAGTCTGGACCTGCCAACAGCTCCAGCAGACTATTATCATTATTATTATTATTATTATTATTATGCTATATGGTGCGGCCAAGAGTCTTGTTTCCTCTCAGTGTTTCTTATGCTCTTAGGGAGTTTTTCCTATGTTGCCCTTAGCGACACTCATTAGGGGTTGGGACAGGGGTTTGTGGAAAGCTTTGTTTATGGCAATATGTGTTATTAAAATACCATACAATTTAATTAAAATAAATATATATATATATAAACTGTCAAGTAAAGCAGAATTGCAAACTATGCTTCTGTGCTTAAGACAGCACTTTATAGTTAAGACACAAATTATTACATTATTTGAACTTTTTAAGCCCCTTAAACTGCAGGCTTTTCATTTAAGACTTAAGTACTATGATTTAACCAGCAAGTACTCTGTTACTAATGTGCAAGTTATGTAGCTGTGAAAGTGAAAAACAAAGTTGGACCCACATACAGGCTCTAATGTGAGTTTAGGCGATTAACCCCTTGAAATGTAGGATTATTATTCAGTTATTAGCATAACATTAAGAGTTAATACACAGTAACTACTATGAATTACTCAATTAGTAAACTACTACAAACCCCATGTGTAAGTTGCATAGATATCAGAGTGAGAAAATGAAAGTTGGACCCACATACAGGCTCTCAGATTAGTTTAAGGGATTAACCCCTTAAAATCCTTATAACCCCTTAATAGGCTTATTATTTATTTATTAGCCCAACATTAAGTGTTATTATACAATGGCTGCTATGAATTATTCAATCAGTAATGACTCTGAAACTAATGTGCAAGATATGTAGTTATAGGAAAAAGGGACTAAAAGGTGGACCCACATACAGACCCTTAAGGTTTAAAGAGTTAACCCCTTAAAATCTAGGCTTATTATGTATTTATTAGCCTAACATTAAGTGTTATTATACAGTAACTTTAAGGAATTACTCAATCAGTAACTACTATGAACCTAACATGCAAGTTATAGTTGTGACAGTGAGGAATTTAAAGGTGGACCCTTAGGGTTTAAGGGGTTTACGTATTAAAATGTACACTTATTATCCAGTTATTAGCCTAACATTAAGGGTTATTACATGTTAATTATTCAGTGACTATTATGAAGCAAATATTTAAGTTATGTAATTATGAGAGTAAACAAGCATAGACCCACTGATGGGTACTGATGGGGAGTTAAAGGCACCTCACTGATTTTATAACTCATTTCTCTCTCTTTCCTCCAGACTGTTGCCGCAGAGATGCGTCAGGAGTGTAAGTGTCATGGCATGTCTGGCTCCTGCACTGTGCGCACCTGCTGGATGCGGCTGCCCAGCTTTAGAGCAGTTGGGGACGTCCTAAAGGACCGCTTCGATGGAGCCTCCAGAGTGGTATATGCCAACAAAGGCAGCAACCGGGCATCCCACCGTGCTGACCCCCGCCACCTGCAGCCTGAGAATCCAGCACACAAACTGCCATCTGCTCGCGACCTTGTCTACTTCGAAAAGTCACCCAATTTTTGTTCTTACAATGGCAAAACGGGCACGCTGGGCACATCGGGACGCACCTGCAACAGCTCGTCTCCGGCGCTGGACGGCTGTGAGCTGCTGTGCTGCGGGCGGGGCTATAAGACACGTATTGAGAAGGTGACGGAGAGATGCCACTGTACTTTCCACTGGTGCTGCCACGTCAGCTGCCTCAACTGCACCAGCACGCAGACTCTGCACCAGTGTTTATGAGGGCAGCGCTCCTGCCACATTCAAACGGGCATAAACTGGAAATGGACATTTGGACTATAGGCGTTTTTCCAGGTTTAGTGTGTATATATTGGAGATTAATATCTTTGTTTTTAGCAGTTGCTTTTATACCTGTTAAAAGAATGAGATAAATTGACAAAAACAGTGGCTGGGTAAGTCAAAAAAGTGAGTACATATGGCAAGAAATGTGCTAACTGACCAATTCTTTTATATCATTTTATTAAATGAATACAGCTGTCCTACATGAGCTTCTTAAAGTAATACCCCAACATTTTTCAAGCTAATCTCTATCTACCATATATGTAGCAAATGATCTATTATGATGGACAATAATTGTGACACATTTCCTTGTACTTAAAAAAGAGCAGCCCATTGACTCAAGAGCCACAATAGAAGCCGATGGGCAGTTGATTCAGCACCTACCCATTGGCTTCTATTGTAAATGAATTTTGAGTCAATGGGCTGTTCTTTTACAGCACGAGGAAAGTACAAGGAAATTACTGTCAGTGGTAACTGATCATATGCTACAGAAGCAGTAGATAGAGATTAGCTTGAAAAATGCTGGAGTGTTCCTTTAAAGGAGAATTCCACCAAAAGTTTCAAAATTCCTGTTTAAGCAATTGTTTAAGTGTGTCAGAATTCTTCACAGTGGTGGTGGTAGGGACCAGACCTCTGAGGTGTTTAATGCTGCTAACAGCTGCATTACAAGAAAATGACTGCATAAAATGATTATGTATACACTGCTTAATGTCTAAGACACTGTATAACAATAATTCTGAGATATGAATCTGGCCCAAAATGTATTTTTTATTGAAATAAAAACATTCCTGGGCATATGCAAGGTGATGTAAGGCAAAATAGCAATTTAACCACTATAACATTATCAGCACATTGCATATAACAGCCCATGTAAGTTCCATGGTCATTTAGGATTGTAAATAAATAAATAAATACTTCTGTTATAGACATCATGATCCCTGGTTCCTATCACCACCACTGTGAAGAAAATCTGAGTTTTTCTACAATGAACCACTTTTAATGACTTTGTTTACATCTCAACGACTGAATTATGCAGAAATGTTGGAATTCACATTGGAAATATGTTGGAATTCCCCTTTAAAGTTGATAAGCTCCAAGGGTTTACTCAAAATATTAGAACACTAGAGAACTAGTGCAGCTCTGGCTAGTGTAAAAAGCTGAAATTGATACATCAAATTAAATTAGGTGGGATGCAGACCACTATGCAATGCTACCCACTGTGCTACATTATATAGGGAATTGCTGAGAGGGATCCAGTCCAAAAATACTTATAGATTTTGAGGCTAGAACCACCAATCTGAAGGCCTCCCTCTCCGGGTGTCTGATTCTCTGCGGAGCAGGAAACTGGAGAGGCAAGAACTGGATGCAAAGTCTGACAGATGTTCCTGTGGCCAGAGAACCACAAGCATGTTCTCTCATAAACCGGTGAAAAACCCTTACAAGAGGAGGGTTATTTAAAATATCAGCATGTTGTTTACTTTAGCTACAGTTCTGCTTTTCTCACTGAGAACAACCCAAAAAGCTGTATGATGTATATCTCAAGACGGGATGTGCCGTCTTTTCCCGATTTCTGTGTAGTGGAATCCTGGAGCCCACCCAAAGCTCTTACGATTTCCCACTCAAACTCATCCTACTTCCCGGCGTTGCTTACGCGCTTCTGTCATTCTGTACCAGCATTCACTAATGTGCGGTCTACCACACCACAGCACTGATAGACAGTGATTGGAAGCAAGCATTAAAAAGAGACTAAAATTTCCTCTCAAAATGAATGAATGTAGAGCTTAAAACACTGAAGAGAGACACTTGTTCATCGATTTGCTTTTTGTTGTGGAGTAGCACTAAACAGTCTGTACAGAGAAGGCCAGTAGTCTTCACTACTGCACTGAATTTTACTTGTGCACACTCTCTATATGAATAGAATATATCACATCAGCACTTTTACTGCCAAAACGAGTACAAGATAAACGTGTGTTGATGTAATATATTTTTGTTCATGTGGAAATGATGTACACATTTGAATCACTTGTTTCAGTGCTATGAACAAAGAACATAAGGTAAAAGAACAGGAGCATCTGTATAACAATATAAAAAAAATGTGTGATGGTATAAAGTACTGTGCAGAAGTCAGAGACCACCCTTCATTTGTTTATTTTTAATTCAAAAGTAATTCATTTTTGAGCTTCAAAGAAAAAAAAAAAACAGAAAACATATTTAACCCCGTAATGTTCCAGGGTTAATTTCATACAAAGGCTTATTATTCAGTAACTACAGGGACTTCATTGCAAACTTATGGAGCAATTCTTAGTCTGGTCTCATGGCTTGTTAGGGGTTCAACAGACAATTACATAGACACCTAAACAACTAAATATAATAGCAATTCTTTCAGTATTTTTCCTTGTCCTCTTTTTGCCTTCATTGCAGCTTCCATTCCTTTCATTAGGCTTACTTTAAGTTTTTCAAAGAAAACTGCAGGGATTTTTTCCCACCTCCAAAGTTCAGTCTTAGAAGTTGGTTGAATTTTCTGCTTTTCATGATTTAAATAATCCCAAACACATTCAGTGATGTTGAGCTCTGGACTCTGGGGTGGCCAGTTCATTGTTCCGAGAACACCAGCAGCTTTATTTGCAAAATATTTGGCCATTTCCTTTCCTCAGTGAGGCTTCTTGACAGCTACACATCCTTTCAGACTCATAGCGCTGAGTAGATTTTCTCCTCTCTCTCAAAGATGAAAGCTTTAAGTGCTGTTTATCTGATAGGGACAGTTTTGGTGGTCTACTATGTCTTGTAGGGTTGTTAAGAGTCTCATTTTCTCTGTATCTTTTATTCTTTTTGAACTACAGTTTTGGAAACTCCTGTTTTTTCACTTATTTTCCTGTGAATTCCCTCTTCCTTATGCAAGTGGATTATCTTACACCTAATCCCCTCAGAAACATCTCCTGAAAATTAATAACTTATACTTACTGGCTGTTTTGACTGGAAATTCAGGGAAATAAATGGTGGTCTCTGACTTTAGCACAGTACTGTGGAGCTTATAATGTGTAAAGATAATCTTGTAAATTCCCTAGTTTACAATGGACATGTAATCCTTACTGAAACTGTTCTGTATATCAGCTGACTTAACCAAAATGTTGTAAATACTATACATAGATGAATATATATTTATGCTGACAAAATCTGCAAGTGATATTATCCAAAAGTAGAGTGAAACAAAGCTATCATTACTTGCAAATGTGGAGAACTTTCATTCATTCAGGGGTGTGAAGATATATAAAAATCACTAACATATGAATATGACTTGTAGGTTTACCTGGTTCTTCCAGGATGGGACCAAATATACCGTAGAGACACGGCTGCCCTGAAAAATGCTTTGTTCTCTTGTCTCTGAAAACCTGTTTTACATGCACTGAACATCATTTTTGTGAATAGAAATATTTATTGCTGTATGACGGAGCGCAGTGAAAGTATTTTCAGTATTAGGATTTCAGTTTAAGACTTAGAAACGTGTCCTTGTTGTCTTCAATAGTGTTATAGGAAAATAAAGTTTATATTTTCAAGTATGAAAGAGTCCTCTCTCTCAACAAAAACATGGTTTTAAATGAAATTCCTTCAATTCATTCTATTCCTCATTTTTCACTTAGATACCGCAACATATTCTCATCAGCTTTGCTTCACTTACTGTCTGTCACTCACATTCTGCAAAAAAACATAACGCAAGTGCTTTTATTAAGCTAAATCAACACTGAGAGTGCACTAGTCTATCAGACGCTGTGGTCCCGAAGCCGCTGCTGTGAGCCTGTGAGCAGGCCGGCCCTGCCCAGCGAATCCACAGCAACCGCTGAGGCAGTCTGAGCAGTGCCATAACACAGCGTCCATTCTATATGTTTTTACAACACCAAAGGTTTTGCTTCATTTACTTAATGTCGGAAAAAAATAAAGAAATAGTAAAAGAAATAATGACAGGCCGTTTTTTTCCCCTCCATCCGACTGGAAGGCCAGCGTGACCACAGGAGTTTGGATGCATTTCGGTTCTCTCTCTCAAGCCGGCGAAGGCGCAGCGGTGGGCTACCGAGGGTCAGCCAGCCAGAGCACTGCAAAACCACACTGAGAAAGAGAATGAGGGAGAGAGAGAATGTTAAAAACTATGCCCTATTCATTATACAATACAGTACTGTCACTATCAATTATATTAGTAATACTTTATAAACAAGTAAACAAGAATACATGGGTGCCTAAACTTTTTGCCTTGGGGGGCCAAATGTTTGAGGTGAGCTGAAACAAAACCATACATAAATAAAGAAGGTAGTTATGTTGCAAATGAAGTTTTTAGGATTTTTTTAAACATGTTTATAATGTGACACCATATTTTTTTACTAAAATACTTAAAATATACAACTAGAGAGAACTTAAGTTATGTATGGTATAAAAATATGTTTTTTCTCCATTGGCTGAGGGGGTGGGGTTGTGGTAACTTTATGGAGAGCCAATGTGAACGTCCTGACAGGCCAACTTTGGCCCCCAAGCCACACTTTAGGCAGCCCTGCTTTACACTGTTATGAAAACACCTCTGTTTCTTACTATAAGGGAGACCATATGAGAATTTGAAATATGCATTATCATCATACAAATGGCCACAAGAAGTTGCAAAAAGTTTAATTTAAAACTATGAGTTTTTGAATTGTGTTATCAAGTTTAATCGAGTCATTGTGACTATATCTGGTATACTATTTTAGGAATGTGCCATTGTGCAGCAATAATGACATTTATAATTCAGTGGCGAACCATGACTTTTAGAGCTAGGCCTTCATTTTGGGCCAAAAATGTCAAACTCAGTCCACAATGGGGAGAAAACACCTCTACAATAATGCCTATTTCTGCTAGCACCCCTTTGGGATTCCTGTAGTATGTTAGCGCTAAGCTTAGGCAATTCACATTAACTTTTTTGCCTGTTCAAGATTAAACATCAACATTTGAAGCCTGGAAAAGATATGTTATATTTTATTTGAAGCTTATAACAGACATATTAACATATATTTTACCTTGTAGCAGTTTTATGGTAACTCTTTTAGTAAACTACCACAACTGACTGAAACCTGGTTAGACTATGACTCATTCACAGCTCCTGACAAATCTAGGACTTTAGCATGATGTTACTTTCTCACAAAACTTGTCCCACGCATTGTAAATCAAAACGTGATTCCACTGTCAGTTGCTAATTATATTTAGTGGTTAATCTGACACTGTAATCCTTCAGTTCAGCTCCTGAAACTCTAAATGTATTACTTGACTAATTAGTTCCCTCTTTAATTCTATTTTACTCTATAAAACCCACATAAATCTGTACAAACTGGCAAGTGCAAGAGAAAATTAAATAGCTTTCCCTTTTTATTAAAAGTGACAGCCAACCACAGTAAACATCATTAAAAGGCCTGTCACTAACCCCGCCTTTGAACAAGACAGTTATGCATACATAAAATTGCGAACAATCATTGCTGTTTAAAAACCGAGAAATTAGCTTCTAGAAATGCTCCAAAAGCAGCTGCTTTAAACTAAAATCTTACAGAGCTGTTTCTGCATGAAAACTGATGCAGTGTCTCATTGCTTAATTCTGATTTTTTGCTCAGATCTGATCTTTCTAACTGGATGGTT